GCACAATGCTTAACCGGCAAGATCGCCGCGAGAAATTGCCGGAGAGCAATGTGATCATTCCTCATATATAAACTTCTTCTCAATGAGCTATGCTGGAAGAGCCATCAGGCCACCATGACACCCTTTTTTGTCTTCCACTTGCTCGCTGCCAACGCGCACACATGGCACACCACGTGAGGCCCCCGAGAGGGCTGGCGATGGGGAGATCATGGGTATGAACCTCAAAGGCTGTAGGGTGGCTAGGGGCTCCGAGTAAGCTTGAAGGGACAGTTACTGGCAGGCCTGCAGGCTACCGATGGCTTCCGAAGAAATTTGGGAAGTCTTCGATGCCGAATTCGGGCTCAACAGGCCATGGTCAGCTGTGCTCACAGCTCAGCCGTCTCAGCCGTCGTACTCGCCTTCCTCTTCGTCAAACTCGCCTTCCTCTTCGGCAGTGGCATCCTGGTATTGCTGGTACTCAGACACCAGATCGTTCATGTTGGACTCGGCTTCTGTGAACTCCATCTCGTCCATGCCTGTAGCCCGCAAGCCGCCGAATGCTTATGGCCCTATGGCTGCATGGTCTCTACTTGCTAGCAAACTGTGCCAGATTCACATGGGACTCTTTCATCAACGCCGTGCCCCGTTTCTTGGGACCTGCCTTCACCAGTGTACCAGTGCAAGAAGGCTTTGCGGCGGAACATGGCCGTGAAGTACTCCGCCACGCGCTTGAACATCTCCTGGATGGCCGTGGAGTTTCCAGCGAAGGCCACCGCCATCTTGAGGCCCTTGCCAGGGATCCAGCATTGAAAAAAAAGGCCCCCCAAAGAAGTCCCCTTCTACATCCCCCCCCTTCACATGAACACTTCGGCACGCCCAAGAACTAAGCCTCTGCTTGTCCGGCCTTGGGCGGGATGTCGCAAACAGATGCCTTGATGTTGTTGGGAATCCACTCCTGGCGGTCACGGATTGCCGACGCGTGTGTGCTCACAATTGCATGCAGGACAACGGGGTGGGATGTCGCCGCACAAGTACTTGGCCCTGACACCATTTCCCAAGCTCAAAAGTTCCAATCTGTTCACTCAACACTCGTTGGACAGGCAAGGCTCCACGAAGTAGGACGAGTTCTTGTTTTGGACGTTCAGCATCTGCTCATCCACCTGCAGGTCTGTAAGTGAAGCAAGATGACACGGTCTTCACTCATGAAAGATCATGCGCGCATCGTGCGCGCCACAAGCCTGCTTCGCTCTTCGACTGGTGTGTGCAAAGCGCAACCGAGGCCTCCTTTGTCGACATGCGGCCGCGGAAGAGGGCGGCAGCTGTCAGGTAGCGCCCGTGGCGTGGGTCCGCCGCGCACATCATGTTCTTTGCATCGAACCTGGGTGGTTCTGCTGACGGAGCAGAGAGCAGAACAGTAGCATGCATCTTAAACGCTAATTATTCTGTAGAAAACAATTGCAAAAACAACATGGGACTCGAGCCAAGATGCATCTGCTGAGTGAGCTCCGGCACCGTGAGGGCGCGGTACTGCTGGGAGCCGCGGGAGGTGAGGGGAGCGAAGCCAGTCATGAAGAAGTGCAGGCGCGGGAAGGGCACCAAGTTCACGGCGATCTTGCGCAGGTCGCAGTTCAGCTGGCCGGGGAATCGCAGGCAGCAAGTCACGCCGCTCATCGCAGCTGAGACCAAGTGGTTCAAGTCTCCATACGTAGGTGTCGTCAACTTCAACGTCCTGAAACAAATATCATACAGCGCTTCGTTGTCCAGCAAGAAGGACTCGTCGGAGTTCTCCACGAGCTGGTGGAAGCTCAACACTGCATTGTACGGCTCCACCACCGTGTCCGACACCTTCGGAGACGGAATCACGGAGAAGGTCTCCATGATGCGATCAGGATACCTGAAGGAGCGTGGCATCTGCAGGCGTGACGATGACAGTGACAGAACCTTCAATGAAACGCGGGTGTGAGAAAGGCAGCTGGGTCACTCCTCACGCACTTTGGAGATAAGGAGAGTGCCCATGCCAGCTCCGGTGCCACCTCCAAGCGAATGGCAGAGCTGGAATCCTTGAAGGCAATCGCAGCCTTCGGCCTATGGGAGAGCACATGGGTGACTCGAGGCGGGCGTTGAAAGGTTTGAAGGGCTAGGGAGTTCCTTTTCGGGTTCGTTCAGCCACCGCCTCTTTGCGCACCACGTCCAAGACAGAGTCGATCAGTTCCGCACCCTCGGTGTAGTGGCCCTGCGGCCGGGTGTTTTCTTCCGGAAAGCTTGTTGAATCTTAATGACACTATGAACTGAACGTTGTCAACGCATGCACTGCAGCCCACCTTAGCCCAGTTGTTGCCTGCGCCTGTTTGACCAAACACAAAGTTGTCCGGGCGAAAGAGCTGACCGAAAGGTCCGGCACGCACGCTGTCCATGGTTCCTGGCGACGGCAACATATGGAAAAGGCAACGAGTTCAAAACGTTTGTGGTTAAGACACCCGTATCCATCACTTTGCCTGGTTCAAGATCCATCAGCACAGCCCGCGGAACGTAGCGTCCGCCAGTAGCTTCGTTGAAGTAGACATTGATTCGTTCAAGCTGAAGGTCAGAGTCCCCGTGATAGGTGCCTGTCAAGTTGACCCCTTTTAACGACTTTTACGCACTGTGGGGGATGATAGAAGCCTAAGACGTGAAGTGGTCCGGGCGAACACTGTGAGCCTCTGCATGTTCATCCTCTGCAAAAGACTATGGTTCTAGACTTCTGAAAGCAACTCAGGCCAGAATACGTTTTCATAGTTGCTGAGCCCTACCTACATCGACATGCGGACCTGCATTCCGAGTCTAGTCTCCATGGCCAGGCGTGCACCACAGGCGAAAAATCTTGGAACATCTAGGCCTTCTTTCAAAAAAGGACGAAAACGCAGACCCCCTCTGTGTACCTTTCTGTTTGAATCTGTGACCCCTCTGAATCAAACACATGTGGCTGCCCTTCACTCGCACAAACAACCCGCCCGTGCCTGTCGGATCAATGCCATGCTCATCCGCGATTACCTCCCAGAACTTTGCACCGATTTGGTTCCCGCATTGGCCACCCTGGACGTGCACGAGCTCACGCATGGTGCGGCTGCGATGGGAAGAGTCGGGACACGGGAGATGCTGAAGGCTGCTGCCGCCTACTGCTGAACCTTCGACACAGGAGCGCGAAACGACTCAAGCACTGCCCAAAGTCAAGATGCGACGGACGAAGTCCGTGAAGATTGATGGCTCTAGCAATCAAGGTGTTCCGAGCTTTTCATTTTGGCTGTCCAGGGACGGTCTGCAGGTTGCAACGTGTCTTTGGCCAGGCCTGTGCCGCCGACCAGCGAGCTAACAAGCTCGTCAAGGATAAGTTGCACGTGAATTTCAGAGCTGTCTACAAAACCAGGTGGCCAGGGGGGGGGCAACAAGGCCTCACAAAGCCCCCCGAAACCGCCGCTGCTGTCCTTCTTTCAAAGAACGGCTGACATAATGGTACGGGAAATCTAAAATCTAAACGTGGGCGGCGCCTCCAAAATCGGCACAGGAAGTCGGCGCCGGCCAAAAGGGGAAAAAATGTGACACTGTGGCGACCCTCAGGCAAGTTTTCTCAACGAGTCAAATCCAGATCAGTGCTGCAGCGACTCAAGCGCGTCTTAGGCGGCGGTCTTCGCGGGCGTCTTGATGACGGGGATGAGGCCACCGGCCACTGCCGCCATGATGGCGGCGGGGATCAGTGCTGCCTGCGCGCCCCAGATTGGATGGGTCTCCATGGCCGCCACGCCGCCAAGGCCGAAGAAGAAGATGCCGGCACCGAAGAGGAGGACCTTCAGCAGGGTAGGCGGCTCGGCGCCGTCCGCCTGCGCACGTGCCCACAGACCCAGGCCGACGCCGAAGTCGGTGAGGTAGCCGGTGAAGTGCGTGGTGCAGATCGGCAGGGAGCTGCATCTTCGTGTGATGCCGTTCTGGATGCCCTGCGCAAAGGCCCACAGCAGCAGGCACTCGGAGGCGGCATCGTTCGCGACGCCAGCCTCAGCCTTGCAGTAGTGAACCATGCAGCCGAACACGACGGCAAACGCTGCGGCCAACAGGTTGGGTGAGTAGCGTCCCTGGTAGACTGCCTCCTGGTCACACTTGCTGTATCCAGCCACGAAGGATCCGGCGCCAAAGGACAGCATCAAGTGAAAGAACTTGGCCCCCCCGTTCAGGATGAGACGTCCCGTGTGGCTGGTGTTGCCGCTCTGGTGCGAGACGGTCATGCCCATGTCGATGATGGCCAGGGCGTTCACGTACCCGGACGCGAAGCAGAGAATGTTCTGGATCATCAGGAAGCTGTTGTAGTCCGCTCGCTTCTCTGCTGGGCCCGCTGCTTGCGGCAGCGCTTTCTCGGTGCACGCAAAGGCACCGCACACGGCCATCAGGGCCAGAGACATCAGCAGGGCATGGTCGGCGATGATCTTGGTGAGGCCCGAGGACTCCTCCACGACCGGCGCGCCGCTGAACGCCTGCTGGCCCTGGAAGCTCCACAGCGCGCACGCGCCCAGAGCCAGGAGGGCGCAGCCGCGCGCGCGGCTGCTCCTGGCGCGAGTGCTCAGCAAGGCCGGCATGCTGTGGGGGGGTGCTGCGCGAATGGAAAGCTGAACCGGCAAACGGCTGCAGCACAAGGACAGCTAAAGCGTGACCTTGCGACAGCAAGGCTTCATCAAGCGCGTTCTCTCGTGCGATGGGCATAGATCGCCTCACACAAAGTGCGACGCATTGCCGGGGCATCTCAGGGGATGGCAATGATGGCACCGGCACGAAAAGCAAAACTTCAAACAGAATCTGTCATCAGCACCCGCAACCTTGAACCCTCTTGGCCCTCCAGCAGCACAGAAGGTTCTGAGGCCTACAAGCCTGGAAATTCAAACCATCAAACAACATGGAAAAACACATTACCAAACACAAAAAGCCATAACAGTCAGTCATGACAAGGCGAGAGAAAGGAATACTACTGCAGCGCCTGCTGTCAGGGCTGGGGGCCCTGCTGTGATTGATCAGCAGCCTGCCGGACTCACGCTATGAGAGGGCTGCTGAGCCGTCTTGCGTGTTTTTTGTTTTTTCTCTCCTTGGGGCTGCTGAAATTCATGTCTCAAACTCCCTAAACCTTACTCCCTAAATCCTCAAATCATCTCAAGTCTCTGTCGGTTCCTTGCTTTTTTTTTGTCGGGGTTCGGCCGGTTCGGGCTGAAGTCTAAATTTCCCAGGCGCGCGCCCACAGAGGATGCACTCTGCCTCCGCCTGCCCGTCTCTGTGAGGCTCCTCGAGCGTGCTTGAATCGCACCTGGGAGGACAGCATATACATAAACAAATAGATACATAAAAAATATATATGAATATAAGACAATATATATATATATATATATATATATGTATATACATATATAAATACATATAAATATATAAATATAAATACAAACATAAATATATATATATATGTGTGTATATATAATATAAAATATACAAAATATATAAAATATAGAAATACAGAAATATAGAAATATAGAAATATAGAAATATAGAAGTATAGAAATATAGAAATACAGAAATATAGAAATATAGAAATATAGAAATATAGAAATATAGAAATACAGAATGTATAAATATGTACATACTTATTTATATAAATAAATAAACAAATAAATAAATCTATATATGTATATGTATAGTTATTTATGTACTTACTCCCCACCCTCGGTGTGGGGTTGTTCCCCAGCCTCGGTGTGGGGTTGTTAGATTTTAGGCTCAACTCTTCTCCTGGCCCGGAACTCTTATCCTCGCCCCCGGTCTACTCCTCGCTCATGCCTGGAGTGCCCAACCCCAGAGTCCCTGGAGTGCCCAACCCTACGGAGTGCCCAGACAGAGTATCTCTCTACCGAGAGAGGGTGGGGGTGTTCGAAGTAAATTATTTATTTATCTATCAAATTTATGTATTATCATATGTATATGCTATATGAATACATACAAATGTACATGCGTACATGCTATTTATTCATTTTATATCGAGGTTTCTTTTCGGTGTCAGGCAACAAAGCAAATGAGCCGCTGGAGGCAAAAAGGCCTACTGCCCGGTCTTCGCACTCTTCGAGGGACTTTGGTGCTGAAGGATCTGGGTTTACATAGCTCTTCGCGTGACCGCGAACTGGGGAAAGCCCCTTAAGCATACTTGCCGGCTTCTACAAAAGAAGGATCACACTCGGGGACGAGGTCGCAGACGGTGATCAGACTGGTGATGTCTTCTATGCCTGTGTTGGCACGACACAGTTGTCGCAGGAATTGCTTGCCTTGTCGACGGCCCTTACTACGGCTGGCGCCGTCTTCTCCCCAATGATTTTTAAGAAACAGGTCCGAACTTACCAGGTAAGCACACAAAACCTCGCTCGAGTTGACGTTGTTCAGCGGCACATGCTTTGGGGTCAAAAGGGTTTCAGATCTGAACAAGAGGCAACAAGCAGCAAGCGCCCAAATGATCTCCCACCTTTGGAGCCTCGCTACGCTACTGTCGGTGTTTTGATGGCATCGAAAACGGTTCAAAACAAGAGTCAGAAGCTTTCTGCCCGGTTTTGCTCAAGTGACAGCAAGACTACAGGGGTCGGAATAATTACCATTATCCAGTAGTCCCTTAGAGTGCTATGTAATATATTTATCAGTTCTACTATAAGAACCCCCACAACCCATTTTTTACTTTGTTAAGGCCCCCAGATTAATCCGTCCATGGGCGGGGCCCTGCCAGGCATCTCTCACCGAACCCCTTTGCAAGGGCGCGAAGGCTTCGACAGTAAGGCCTTCGCTAGGGTAACCCGATTTGAGGGTTTAGGGAAACCCCTTTTGTTACCCTAAACCCTAAGCCTTTTTTTAACCCTAAACCCTAAACCCTAAATCCTAAACCCTAAACCCCAAACCCCAAACCCTAAACCGAACCCTGAACTGGGTTCAGGGCTTCATCGCTCTTTCACACACGGTCCTGAGTCCCTGACTTGTGGCCCTACTCAGGCCCTTGCAGGGTGGGGCAGCAGTTTAGGGGCTTTAGGGTTTAGGGCTTAAGGTATCTGACTTTTTTTTGACCCCTCAAGTTGAGCTCTCGATTTCATCAAGCCCTAAACTCGAGAACCCCCTAAACTCCCAACAGGACCTTTCGGGTTCATGGTTTATAGGGTTGAGGGTTCAGGGCGTCAGACTTAGGTTTTAGAATTTACAGGGTTTAGGGTTCAGGGTTTCGGGTTTAGGAGTTATAGGGTTCAGGGTTTAGGGTTTCGGGACTTTTGGGTTTAGGATTTATGCGGTTTAGAGTTTAGGGTTTCCGCTGGACCAGGGCCCCCGACCGGACCAGACTCGGCCTCCACGCGCGCACGTCAGCCAGTTTGCCGTCGGCCTGGCCGCTGGAGTGCGGACCCTAAACCCGGCCCTACACACACCCTCTGAACCCAACCCTAGAAATCCTAGAACCCCTTAAATGCTTTGAACCCTATACACCCTAAACCTAGCTGACACCAATGCGCCACTCCGCAGGGTTTTGGGGTCTGGGGCCTTCGGGTTTCGAGACTCACATTTGCACACGCGGGAGAGGACTGGGTTCGATTGGTATCAGTCACACGCCTCCAAACCCTAAAAACAACTGGATGGGATCCGGGCCTGCTGCACTTTTTCAAGCAGCCGTCGATTTTCAACAATGAAAGCCAAGTACCCAACGCTAGAAGGCTGCTTTAAGGGGTTCGAGGCACTATGCTTCTCCTTATATGCTTGCTGACGGGTTCAGCGTGCAGGGTTTCGGGTCCCTAGTACTTACAGTACACCACCCAGCCCTTTCGAATAAACCCTAAGGCCCTAAGCCCTAAACCCTAACCCCTAAACCCAGGATCCAAGGCTGCCGGCCTCATCTTCGGCTGAGGTCCTGTTGGATGGGACTCGGGGGCTTTGGGAAGTAGGCTTCACGATGACAGGAACTTACACCAGAGCTGTCACGACTACATCGAAGGACAAGAACAAGATGGTCAGCATTAACACAGCCTCTGCGAGCAGCCGTAAGAGTTCGACTGCGTGACCGGGTGATTAACCTGATTTTTTGCCTGTAGGATGGGCGCGCACACGCGCACGACGAGCCCTAGGAAAGTCCCATATTCCTTCGCGCGGAAATTGAAGCTCGGTGCCGAAAGTGCAAGGTTGCTCTCGGATGCACTCACGGTCTTTCATCGCGAAAAGCGCAAAGTCTTGGCAGAATCACCTGTCTCTTGCGGACCACTGCACTTGCTATGACATACCTGCTTTTATGCCGAAAACAAGAAACCGTGTACTTGCACTGTCTACGACACCTCAATTCCTGCTGATGCTAGTACAGTAACTGGTAGCTCCTACTGCTGCTGCTGCTGCTGTTGCTGCTGCTGTTGCTGCTGCTGCTACCAACACCAGAGATGGAAACCCAGGTTGCAAAGCAACTGCTCCAGCACATTTGCCGCGCCTGAATGGTATGTGTCGTAGCCTCCTCACGGGGCTTTTCTCCAGATTGGCGGCCTGATGCATTGTCATGAAAGCTTCACTACGAACTCCAGCGCTTCGCATTCGCGAATTGAGGTCCATCCATCATCCGTATGCATTGCTGCGCAGAGCCTCCTCCGATAATCTGGAGGAGTCGAACCTGCATCAGGATACCGACAAGCGAACTGATTAACGCAGTGCAAGATAGGAGTACCCCTTTCCTGAGGACCCCTTTACTCCCTAAACCTGAACCGCAAACCCTAAACCTAACAGAACCTTGCAAGCAGGCCCCAGATCCCCCTCCCGCGATGCGCCTTGGCACCTGTGGCTGCCAGCTACGGACGTCTCGAATGCGCTTCGACTGCGCTGCTTTGGGGCTGGTAGCCTTGCCAAGTGAGGGTTTAGCGTTTAGGGGTGTTTTGGGCTTATGGGGTTTAGGGTTTTGCCCAACTAGCTTACTTGGAGGTTCATGGGTAGTGATAGGCGGAGTTAGAAGAATGGTCGTTATATGCTTGTAACCCTATTCAGGGTACTTATAACTACTTTTCACCACCCATGAGACTCCAAGTAGGCCCCTAGAGTTTTGGGGGGGTAGAGGGTTGAGGATCGCTTGGTGTAAGAGGTCTGTGGGGGGAAGTGCGGATTTTCTGGCATTAGGGCCTGAGGGCTTTTGGGATCTGAGGCGTGGAGGTTTTTTTGCAAGCCGAAGGGCTCCGCAGTGCAGACGAATAACGGTGTTGGGGCAGCTCACATGCTTGACTTCTGCAGAGCCCTTCCAGCACATCGGGGATCCACTGCTCAAAAGGGGGTAAGGATGTTCGGAGTTGAGAGCCGTGCTTGAGGAACACCTAGAGACTGTAAAACGTATATGAACGCGTTCGCGCTCCTGGTTCTCGACCCCCCATTCCCCATGGTATCCGCCGCCCTCAAGCCCTGACCAACCCTGTTTAACCCAGGCCTGCTGAGGCTCCGGACTGAACCAGGGCTTAGGGTTTAGGGTTTAGGGTTACGCCAAACCTGCTAAACTTATACCCACCATGAACTGAACCACATGACCATGAAACACACGGGGGGCAGGGGGCGAAACCCTACACCCAAAACCCACGATGAACCCAAGGAGGGGGGGATGGGGTGAATGCTGGTGAAGATAAACCCCATCCTGAACCCCTAAACCCTTTGCAACAGGCTTCGCCCTTTTGCAGCAGGACTGCTCACCACTGCCTGCCTCGCCCTTATTCCCCCGCGGCCCTAAACCCTGAACCCCAAACCCTGTATTTCAACAGGGTTTGTAGGGCGGGGGTCGAAAGAGGCCCTGAGAGTGCCGCCGGCAGCTGTACGGGGCTTGGCGTGGCCGCTGCAGCCTCCAAACAGTGCAGGGTCCAGGGTCCAGGGTCCAGGGTCCAGGGTCCAGGGTTTAGGGTTTAGGGTTTAGGGTTTAGGGTTTAGGGTTTAGGGTTTAGGGTTTAGGGTTTAGGTTTAGGGTTTAGGGTTTAGGGTTTAGGGTTTAGGGTTTAGGGTTTAGGGTTTAGGGTTTAGGGTTTAGGGTTTAGGGTTTAGGGTTTAGGGTTTAGGGTTTAGGGTACGAGTTTAGGCCCCCAACCAAAAACCCCAAAACACACAAGAAAGGAACAGTGTGAGAGTCGAAGCACTGAAATGGCCCACGCCATCCCACGCCAAAGAACGAACAAACCCCATAGACCATGCACATGCTCCTCCCCTCTCCCCCCAACAAAAACAGCAAAACCTCCAACCTCAAAAGCCCCCATTCTCCGAACCCGCACAACCCGAAGCATGGTGGGTGCTTGGTTGCCTGAAGTTGTTACCCTACAGACCTGGAGATGCACCTAACCCTTTCTTTTTCTATTTTATTTTTTTAATCCGCTTAGATCCACCTACAGATTCACCCACCCCATAAACACTTCTGGACTCACGAGATTACGCGGAGGACGTCCGAAGTGGTAGTACAGACATAGTGCTCTCGGGCTGGTCTTGGAGAGCGTTTACAGTGGGCTTCCAGTTTATTATATCATAATTCAATTTTCTTTCTTCTCATTCTCTTTAGTCCTTGTAAGAGGGATTAGAATCCGGGCATACAAAACTCCTTACTAAGGACTGTTCGTATAAGGGGGAACCCTAAACATTAAACCCTAAACCCTAAACCCTAAGCCCTAAACCCTAAACACCAATATTGAGTACAGGGATTGAGCTGCAAGTTGGCCGGGCCTGCGCTGCAAAGGAGCTGAGAAAGGCATCTGCTTCGAGAACGACCTTGAGGGTTTCGGTGCGGTTTAGGGTTTAGGGTTTAGGGTTTAGGGTTTAGGGTTTAGGGTTTAGGGTTTAGGGTTTAGGGTTTAGGGTTTAGGGTTTAGGGTTTAGGGTTTAGGGTTTAGGGTTTAGGGTTTAGGGTTTAGGGTTTAGGGTTTAGGGTTTAGGGTTTAGGGTTTAGGGTTTAGGGTTTAGGGTTTGGGGTTTAGGGTTTAGGGTTTAGGGCTTAAGGCTTAGGGGTTAGGGTTTAGGGTTTAGGGTAGATCGATAGACTGCACCTTCCTGCATGAAGCGGCGACACCGCCGCAAAGACATGGCAGCTACAAAGCCCGAGCGCGCTTATTGTTCGGGTGGAAGCTGGCATGTGTGTTGCACATTGTAGGTTCTACAGCCACTTTCAAGGCTACTGATTGAAGCTTTGATAAGCTGCTTTATGCCCTTCCTTGTCACCCCCATAAGCCCTCAAAAACCTGCTGGTTCTTGGTACGGAATGAGGGAGTCCGGTGCCTGATTTCCAGGGGTAGAACATGATCATGTATTTACAATGCATGATTCATTGGATACAACAAACTCTCACAAACAAAAAACAAGAAGAGATATGGGGTTTTGTCTAAATGTCTTTGCCTTGTGGGCAAGACACAAAGCTAAAACCTTAACATGCCCAATGTCAGCCTGCACACTGCTCATGGCCATCTGCTGAAAAACGAAAGTTGTCAACTAACCACGAGCGCACAGCTAGCGCGTCACCAGTGCTAAATTTTACGAATCTTTCTCCCAAGGCATCCTATGATACAACAAGTACTTTGCTAGGGTTTAGGGTTTAGGGTTTAGGGTTTGGGGTTTAGGGTTTAGGGTTTGGGGTTTAGGGTTTAGGGTTAGGCTATGGCTATTCTAGCGCCACATGGGGGTTTCATGTGCGCACTGCACACACTCGGGCCCCGCCTCGTAGCGAAAAGGACAAAAACCTGATCCGAACGTAACAGTGGCCACGTCCATCTTGATTCCAATACCGGCCTGTTTGACAAAACCCCATATAAAGGAAATTTACGATATGGAATTTTTAAATACTTTTCAGGTATTCGGTTTACAAATGACACGTTTGTTTTGGGAATCAAAACAATTCAAAAGGAGTATGGGACAAAAAAACACTGATGCCCTACTCACAGTTGCTCCGGGCTCCTGGGGCCCCAGGCGGAGCGCCCTTGCGAACCCTCGTTCTCCTGGGCGACACTCGAAGCATTGGTTTGAGGTGCTTAAACCCTAAACCCTAAACCCTAAACCCTCTTTTTATGGAGGGGCGCGGGGGGGGGAGGTTGAAGGAGGGAGGCGAAGTGGACGTTAACGGTTTGAGTTGGGCCTTAGTACAACCACACATGTAGATGCACAGACTTAGGTGTGGTGGGCCCTGTGGTGGGAGGGCACTACCAAGCAGCAGGCAGGCCCTGTTCCACTAGCCGAGAACCTTTTTTTGCGTCTCGGCTGGTGTGACCGAGAGCCCTAAAACCCTAAACCCTTGGTGAAGCCTCAAACCCCTTACCCTAAACCCTAAGCCCTCAAGCCCCTTTGCCCCTCAAACCCGTCAAAACCCCCCAAAACTCTCAAAACCCCAAACCCTAAACCCCCCTCAATCCCCGCAACCCCCAAAACCTTCAACCCCAAAAGCCTTAACCCTCAACCCCACGAAAGCGTCGCACAAATCCCTTAAAGGGGATATGTATAAATAAATACATAAAAAAATACATAAATAATTAAATAAATATATAAATATATATATATATATATATATATAGAGGGTCCGACTTCCCTCATTCCCTACTAAGAACGAGGGCCAGCCCCAAACCCTAAACCCTAAACCCTCAACCCTAAACCCTAATTAAACCCTAAACCCTAAACTCTAAACCCTAAACCCTAAACCCTAAACCCAAAACGAAGGCGCAAAGCCCCAGCCCCCCAGAGCCCCGCGCGAGCTTCTGCAGCGACAGCCAGGGATCCTCGGAAGCCTTCGGCTTCACGGGCCTTGGGCCGGCCTGCGGGCGCTTCTTGTACTTGTTCTTGTTCTTGTTATTGTTCTTGTTCTTGTTCTTGCTCTTGCTCTTGTTCTTGTTCTTGTTCTTGTTCTTGTTCTTGCTCTTGCTCTTGCTCTTGATCTTGTTATTGTTCTTGTTCTTGTTCTTGCTCTTGGTCTTGTTCTTGTTCTTGTTCTTGTTCTTGTTATTGTTCTTGTTCTTGTTCTTGTTCTTGCTCTTGGTCTTGTTATTGTTCTTGTTCTTGTTCTTGCTCTTGCTCTTGCTCTTGCTCTTGCTCTTGCTCTTGCTCTTGCTCTTGCTCTTGCTCTTGCTCTTGGTCTTGGTCTTGGTCTTGTTCTTGTTCTTGTTCTTGTTCTTGTTCTTGTTCTTGTTCTTGTTCTTGTTCTTGTTCTTGTTCTTGTTCTTGTTCTTGTTCTTTTTCTTGTTCTTGTTCTTGTTCTTGTTCTTGTTCTTGTTCTTGTTCTTGTTCTTGTTCTTGTTCTTGTTCTTGTTCTTGTTCTTGTTCTTGTTCTTGTTCTTGTTCTTGTTCTTGTTCTTGTTCTTGTTCTTGTGCTCTTGCTCTTGCTCTTGCTCTTGCTCTTGCTCTTTCTTGTCTTTCTTGGTCTTGTTCTTGTTCTTGTTCTTGTTCTTGTTCTTGTTCTTGTTCTTGTTCTTGTTCTTGTTCTTGTTCTTGTTCTTGTTCTTGTTCTTGTTCTTGTTCTTGTTCTTGTTCTTGTTCTTGCTCTTGCTCTTGCTCTTGCTCTTGCTCTTGCTCTTGCTCTTGCTCTTGCTCTTGCTCTTGCTCTTGCTCTTGCTCTTGCTCTTGCTCTTGCTCTTGCTCTTGCTCTTGCTCTTGCTCTTGCTCTTGCTCTTGCTCTTGCTCTTGCTCTTGCTCTTGTTGTTGTTGTTGCTGCTGTTGTAATAAAAACACAGGTAGTAGGAAGCCGGAAGACAGCACTCCCAACTTGGCTTTGGGGCTTGAAAGGCCATGTCAGGGGTTGCACAGGAGTTTCAGCATAGGAATTAGAGCTTAGGGCCCGCCTGAGGGAAAAACAAAACGAACCCTAAATCCCACTACACTCCAAACACCCTTCAAATCCCAAAACATGCCTAAATCCGTAAACACGAAGCAACCCCCTGACTCCCTAAAACCAACCTAAAGCTCTGAATTCTGAGGAGCTCAGCTTTCTGTTCCTCAGACCTGCTCAAACAGTCTTCGTCAAAGCAGGCAGCTCGCGGCCAGAGCCGCTGCCCCTGGTCATTGGAGCTGGCAGTTGCACGACAGCTACACGAAAAGAAGCTCCCACCTTGAGGGAAGCGTGCCCTCTGCATTTGCAGAGCGCGGCGTCTTTAACGGCATACGTTCCTTAATGGATGGTGCCGAAATGCACTGGGATGCTGGCTGACTACACCTCATTATCATGCCAAGGAGCACTTGCTGCCACCTTTCGATGTGTTTCCTGGATTCCTCTTGTCAGACCCTTCCAGTACTCCTTCGAAGCCAGCTTCTGAAAAACGCGTTGCCTGTCATGCTTCAAGCGAAGACGTCCTGTGTCAGGTCCATAGTTCCACTCAGCCCGCCAACCTGCTCCTGACAACTGCGAAGAACTCTCAGTTGACACTGCGAAGCTGGCATGACCACACTGACGTCAACGGCCTCCGTCGACGTCATCTTGCCTTCGGGCGTGTGTGTTTTCACGAGGTTTCATGGACAGTGAAAGACTTGCTCCGCGCTTGGCCTTCAAGCACTTGAACTTTCGCTTTGTACATCTCCTCGAATAGTTGGTAGGTGCTCAGGGCGGACCACAAAGACATCTCCGTGAGCTGAAGCATCGTCAGAGTCTTCCGTATCTTCAGTGCAAGTGAGACACGAGACCGGCTTCAAGCGGCTTGAGCTGGCTGCTTAGCCTGCCAATCTCCTGGTGTGTAAAAACTGAGGCTGGACTAGAATGTTCCTTGCAGCGCATGAAAGCAAGGTCTACTTTGATTTCTGTCAGCTGGTTACTCACAAGCTGCCTCCTCATGACAGCGGATTCTTGTCATGCAGTCCTCGTGCCTTGCATGTCAGCTGCCGACCCAAAACTGATTCATACTTCTCATGCACCCTGCAGACCAATCGCACGTCCAAGCAGCTGTCGAGCCCTGATTTCAGTCTCTTTCTTCAATTCATCCCGGTCCCGCTCCCTGACAGCAAGTGGTTCATAAAGTTCATCCTGCACTAACTCTAGCACATCCGACGTCACGAAGTCAAGCCAAGCCGCTCATTCTGGCAAAAGCCTTGTAAGTCTTCGTGCCTTGGCCAACCGGCACGCCAAATCCCCCCCCCCCGCACACATCTCGTCCTCGTAGAACTGCTGTTCTACAGCATTGCCCGTTAACATCCGTTGACCCAAGCCCCCCTGCAGCTTTGTTGCAACTCTTGAATACGTTTCCCCAGACTGGCTTCTAGACGCATGTCTTCCTGCTGCAGCACGACGTCAGCCTGCTGCAAGGCATCCTCGGATGCTGCATGCGCAGCATGCGCCAAGGAGCTCTCGAGTGTTGACGGAGCAACAAAGCGGGCAACTACCACACTGACTGCGCGGCCACGGGGCCGCACGCTGTTGCAATGCGCAAATACTTTCACCCTGCGTGTTGCACAAATCGTGGAGCTCGTTCAAGCTCGCGCTGTGTGTAGCGGATGCTTCTTTCAGGCGCTCAACCGTCAGCACCAAGTTGGCAGCTCCTGTGCAAGTGAAACAGCTGGCTCCGGCTTGAACTTCAGCTTGCACAAAGGCTGCGACCACAACAGCCACACAATGCCGAGCCGCGAACAACTCTGGCAGGCGCCTCCCGCACCCTCACTTTGCAGATTTCCCCTCGTTGCTTGTGATTGTTCAGTTGGGGGAGCCGGGCATTGGTTGTATCGTCGCCAGGCGAGAAGAACCAGAAGGCATACTTGGTGTCTGCCTAGAAGGATAGTGGCTTACTTTCGTTTGCGTGCGGGGGGACCCACCCCCCAAACCCTATGTCCGAAAAGAAGATGGTAGCCCTTTGTTTCTTTCACTTCTGTGGCTTGTCGCCAAGTTGTGGCTCACAAGCTACGAGTTGTAACAAAAGCCGTAAACCCCAAGAAAAACATGTAAGATGGACCCTATGCCCTGAGCGCTGAAAAAGGGCGATGGGGGGTTTAGGTTAGGTTGGGTCTTCGGATGCAGGTCGGGACTCGGTCTTTGGATTTCAGGGTTTCGGCTTTCGGGATTGGATTTTCTTTTTTGGACTTACATGGACTTGCATGAATGTTGATTTGTGCCCTGCTGTTTTCCGACTCGCCTATCACCATCAACGGAGCTACCATTGGGTGGCCAAGCCCGCGAACCCGAAAAGAAGATGACAAGAAGACGTCTGGCGACCACATGAGCCTGTCTCTGACTTTGGGGATATTTGTGATTTTGATCTTGATATGTTGGGTTGGTGTTGCTGAACACGGGCCCCTACATGTTTCAACATTTGCTTGTACTTCATCCGTTGCCACGGCATACAACTCTGAAATCTTGCCAGGCTTATGGGCATCCCGCAAAACTGTGCAGCAAGTATCATGACTGTCGTGCCGTGTGGGCGACTTTCCTGAATGGCACCTCCACACAACATGCATTCCTCATGCGCGCTCGGAAGCCGGGGGCCTGGGGGCCGCAAACCCGTGATAATCATGAAGCTATCTACGCCAACATTGGACTCAAGTATATTCGGTGCTTCTATTCCTTAAGGTTCCCTTTTTGAGAAAACGGAGGGGGGGATGTCTTCCATGGAGCCTCCGCAAACCCATTAAAGTGGCCTTTTGCTTAGGCTTAACCAAAATTTGTGAAGGATCAAAACCGCGACTCTGGCCTGAAGCTTCCCTGTCGAATGTAACCTAATTACTGCTCATCAGCGTGCCAGGGCCCCAGGAAGCTGACAAAGCTCGCGCGCACAAGCCGGAAGGCACAAGCAAAGAAAGAGATCGTTTCTATCGGACGTCTTCCTTTCCCGCTGTGGCGAGGCTTCATCTTCAGCCGGCGAGGACGACTCCCGGGTTGGAACAGGTCCCCAACTCTGCGACCAAGTATAGCTGTCAAACCTGGGTTCTTAAACTTGCATTCTCAAACCTGGTTTTCACCTGGGTCTGAAACCCAGGTTTGAAACCAAGTTTAAGCCTGTTTGAACTACCGTTTCGCTGAAGTACTACCTACCAAGGAACTACCATCTGCAACATGCGAGGAACAGCTAAACACCATGCGGTGATAGCTTGCCAGCAACAGTAGACCGAGTGGGGGCAGGCGAGTGTGCATGAGGGGCCTGGCGTCGAAGCTTGGATGCATTTTACTCAGCTCGTGTTGGCGTGATCGTGTTTTGGATCTCACGCTCCATTCCTGGCAACGCCTTTCCATGTCCGATGCGGCCCCCTTGAAAAGCTTGGTGGAGCTTGGGCGGTTTCAAGCGTGAACTTCATCTGCTCGACTGCAATCAATTACAGTCGTCCCACTGCTCATGAGTGACGCTTGCTGTCGGTTTTGGCCGCAACAGATGCGCTTGCAGCACCAACTTAAGAGAACCGCAGCATGCACTTGACGAAGGTTTGTAGATGCGGAGTCCGACCTGCCTTCGGTCAGGCCAAGGCTTTCCATGACATTCTGGATGTCAGCCTAGCGGGCTGGCTTCTCCCACACCAGTGCATGAAGTACCTGCAGCTTGGGAGGCCTTCAAGCCCTCCAGCCTGTTTGTGAAGACTGCTTGACGCTCATTACCTCGGCTGCACTCGCCCAATGAAGCTGAAAGATAGTAAACGAGCAGGCCGAATGCACGCAGGCGCAACACACGGACGCACAACACACGCACGCGCAACACACGCACACACAACACACACGCAATACACGCCACATGCACACGTGCACGCACCCGCACCCGCACCCGCACCCGCATGAACACACACAAACACAAACACAAACACAAACAAAAACAAACAAGCAAGCAAGCAAACAAACACACACACACACACACATACACACACACACAAAAAAAAAAAAAAAACAAACGAACGAACAAACAAACAAACACACACACACACACAGGTTTTGCTGCTCCGAGGCACTCTCTTGTTGCTGTCTTTCTTGCACGACCTGAGTTTGCCAAAGCAAATTCCAAGCGCAACAAGACTCTGAAGAACACAGTGATGTACATGCACTAGAAGACATCCAATGCTTGCTTGCACGACCTGCATCCGCATGGTTTGCTCATGCCTGCGTGTCAAGATAGACAGCTCCTGCCAGGGCATAATACTGCGGCTTCCAAGCGTCGCATGCACGAAGCTTTGTAGTCCTCGCTCGTGCCCTTCGCACTTGCCACGTGCTGCTTGAGGTTCGCATTGGTTTGACCCAGCTTGTGATCCAAATCCGCAATCGTCTTGAGGATTGCTTTGATCCCTCGGCAATCAGAGCTTCAAGCACAAGGCCCAAGAAATTTGAAGAGATCGCGAAAGTCCCTACCTGTCCTAAGCAAGATTGACATGCAATCGAGAGTTCGCCCAGCCACTCAATTCCTCTTGACGTCGCTGCCGGCCGTGATTTTCCAGGAAGGTATCCAGCTCCTCCCTTTGCTGCTGAACTCGCTCTTCGCTCTTGCCTGAGAAATCAAAGGGAGACCAGCATCTAGCGGAACTAATGACAGTAAACCAGCCACAACACAGCACAGGGATGGGACTTCGTCATGAACCCGGGTTGCCACATGCTGCCACCAGGGACCAAACACAGACATTTTTGCTCATGCTGGCCAGATTCGACAAGACTCCTCTGTCCTGCACTGGCCCTGTGCAGCTCTTGCCACTTCCGCTCGCACAGGATCCAAAACGATATTCACCTGTTTGGCCACCATGTCCTCATTTCTGGAAGCGATCAAAGCGAACAGAAGCCTGGACACCAAAAGCACAAGCTCTTGAAGTTCCTGGGCCACGGGGAACTGCAACCGAGTCGCATCAAGCTTCGCGAGTTCGCCGGCCAACCTCCGTACTTCCAAGTCGGCTGCGCCATTTATCCGCTTCACATCCAACATCATTGAATGGCTTTCTCGGTGGCGGCGGTCCAACTGGAAAACATCGTCCTTGACCTGTCTTCGCGTAAAGACTTGCAGAAAGGGATGTGCGCAGCTGGCAGCTAGACATCCCTTTGGGGGCCGTAGCGGCATGCCTTCTGCGCGTCCTTTTTTGCAGCTGTAAGCTGTGAGTCCACATCAGCGAACTGCTTCTGCTGGTTCTCCTTGGCTCCACAGGAGGGAGAGAGAGCGAGAGAGAGAGAGAGCGAACGAGCAAGACAGAGAGAGAGAGGGGGAGAGAGAGACAGAGAGAGAGAGAGAGAGGGAGACAGAGAGAGAGAAAGGGAGACAGACAAAAAGAGCGACTCGTGTTTGCCCTAAACCCTAAACCCTAAACCCTAAACCCTAAGCATATAAGCTGGGCGGCCCTGACTTCGAGCATGCTCATCTTGGTTGCCTTCAGGTCCGCCTGAAGAATCTCCCGTGGTCGCTGCACACAACTCATGCAGTGATTTTAGGGTTTAGGGTTTAGGGTTTAGGGTTAGGGTTTAGGGTTAGGGTTTAGGGTTTAGGGTTTAGGGTTTAGGGTTTAGGGTTTAGGGTTTAGGGTTTAGGCCTTCATCACCTTCAGGGTTTGCGAGTGGTCCTGCATGGCAGGGACAAGCGTGTCGAGTGGCCACAAACGTGCTCTGGACAAGAGCCCAAAGTCAGAAGTCCTGCAGCTGCCTCTCGTGGCCCGAAAATGTCTCAGCCATCTGGCTTACTACACCTTGCACCAATAGGCTGGCACAGTGCTTCCGAGCACCATTAACTGCGCCATGTCAACTAGCTGTCAATGTAGTGTCCGAAGCGAAGCCAAGTGTCCGTTCAACTCGTCGACCTCAGTCCATCTAGTGCTGGAGCCTTCCCAAACTTCATCCTAGTTGTTGCCGCCATACGATCCCCCATATGCTTGCTTTGCCACAGAAAAACTCATGCAACAGTGTGTGGTAAGACGCTGACGCTGTCAGCAAACGGCTGCAGAATACTGTTCAGGTGCTTGTGGATGAAGGCCATCATAGTTTCTTCGCCCATCCCCTTCTCATGGGAGATGTCAGCATGTACGGAACCTGGCTCGCTCTCAAGGCTGGCAAGCTTTCGAGCATATGCTAAGTTGAATGGAGCACCGTGTGGGATCGCCATGCTGGAGGCTTCAGGAAACACGTCGGTTCTCAATAACTTGCAACTTGTTGAGCGCTTTTCTAGCCAATGAGTGGAGCTGCTGCCAACGATTCCGACAGTTCTCAACCGCTGCCAGCACTTGTGCATCTGAGATGGGATGAACTGTACAGCTTTGGGCCACGTAACATGTCCGCCGTCAAACGAAGCATGGAACTTCCACGCCACTGGGACATGCCCATCAAGTACATTGGGCGCGCTGCAGCAACTGCGCATTTCTTTTCGGCATTTCTCGCGTGCTTTTCTCGGCTTTCGCGTCTATCGGATCTCTGAAATCACTTCTTCTTGGGCATTTGGGCCTATGGCAAGCAAGCGACAACCCTGACTGCACAGCTGCTGTCTGATGCTTTCGCGAGTTGTTGAGGATCATCCGTCCTGATAGTACTTCAAGTTGGCTGATTGATCCCCATCTCGAAGCCTCGTGCGAATCATCTCCTGACAGCGTTTGTAACATGCTGCGCCGGTCAGGACATTCGCAGAACTTCTGCCGCTGTGTGCAGCCACCTTGCCTGCTCCAGGCGGTTTTGTGCCATCATTTCTTCACGCCAGGCCTGCGCGGGACCGCGGATGCTTGGAAAAGCGAAACAGCCTGTACGACTCCATGGGCCAACATGATTCCTACGTTCGAGAAAGGATCGAGATCCAATGATGCAACAGCCTTGTTCTTCAACAGCCCTTTCATCATCCTGCAAAGATTCGGCTTGCGCACTCTGCGCAACTGGCTCGAACTGAAGCGTTACTCCGGCAACAGTGGCGGTGACAATGCAATGCAGCTCCTTAATGCTTTGAGCCGTATCTCGGGTGCACCAGACAGCTCAAGCCCAGCGCGCACCCTGCAGCATGCAAGAGAGAAATGGTGCGGATGTTGGGCCACGGGAGGCTTGACTTCCAGACAGGCAAAGAAAAGCTAAAGTCTGCTGCAGGCTCCGGACTGTATGAGTCGGGAGAAATCGCAAGAAAAGGCGTGAGTCAGGAAACCGCGGCGGCATGAATCGATGAAAAAGAGGAATCTGGTAGAATTGTGAGATGGATCTTGAAGCCGCCAGAAGCGCGAAGAGTTCATGTAGCTGTGGTAGTGTGGTAGTGCCTTCTGCTGTACATGTTGCGGTGGTAAGGGGGTGGGAATGGAGAGAGACAGCATCAAGTATGCGAACGAGCCTTGAGACAAGGCAAGAGTTGAACATATTCTAGCCGGTTCTAGCCCAGGTTCCAGCAAGCAGCCATGCACAACATGTGCCTTTCCAGGACGGACGGCAGGAAGCTGTCTCCAGCCTCTGTAAATATCCGGCTCAGTTCTGCGGCTTCTCTCAGTAGCCACCGAGAGAAAGAGAAACTAAGGCATTGGCAGGCAATATTTCGTTTACAAGGCCACAGCGGTGCATTTCCTAGACCAGTCGCTCAGAAGATGCCCTCGGAGGATCACATGACGTCTCCTCCGGTGTCTTCTTCTTGGACAGCAACACCATCTCGGAGGCTACCATGGGGCCTTGGATGCTACTGCTACAGGAACTCTTCCCACCGCAAGCCACCGCACCACTAGCACATGCATCAATCCTGCAAGCATTCCTGCAGTGGAAGACTCCGACTCGCTGAGCCAGGCTGATCGAGGATGTGATCTCTGGGACCACTCCAAATCTCGCAAAGGGCGCCCAGAAAAATGACGACTCTGCCGCATAAATTATATCGCCAAGCCTTGGGGCACCATCCTGTGCTGCGTCTGACGCTATCTTGAGGCTACGTCGACCATACATCCAAGGCCCGTGCATCAATGTCGTAAATCCTGCCGGCATCTGGCGAATGATGTCTACCACAACCCGAGCGAAACCCAACACGTACCCATGCAAATTGAAATGTCCTTCCCCAATGGCGGGGCCGTTTACAGCAATCACCAAGGGCTTCGAAAAATTGATCCAGGCATCCTCCACACAAGGGGGACAGTCGTCGGTGGCCCACATGATCATCCACGAATGTCCATCGCAAACTGCTGCGGAGGCACATACATGTTCACGTCTGACCAGGTGTTTGCATCGAAAGGGTCGTACTGCGAGAGGACCCTCTTGATCTGCTGGACGCGTGGTGGATCATCAATGGCATACGTATCTTTCTTGCCCGTCCTAGGCTAAGATCACGTGACGGCCCACAAAGCGTGGCATCAGCAAGGGATCAGAAGGCATCCTCATTCTGCCTTCCAAATCAAGAGGCAAGGTTCACGTCTGCCCCAGAACAGAAGTAACGCCCAGCTCCTATGAGAACTGCGCATAGGACGCTGTCGTCGTTCTCTGCCTGCTCGAATGCAGCCTCAACTGAGCTCTGAGTGTACTAGCTCTACGCCAAGTACGCCAAAACACCCCAAGGCCGTTAGGAACAAAGCGTCAAGGCGACGCCAGACGAAAGCTCACCACGGTTCAGTCAAGATTCTATCATGTCGCAGTGCACCTCAGGCAGATCAGTTGTACCAGGGGCGAGAAGCTTCTAACGACCCTCCATGACCCCCCTTGCCGGACAACTCATTAGAACTTGTTTGCCTTTCAGTCTGAAACTTCCAACCCAGAATTTTTCCTTGATGAGATCTCGCTGCTGAAGCACTGCCAAGACGTTCCAAGCAAACGTTGAATCAACGGTTGGCCATGCCCGAAGATCAGGCTCCAGCTGCTGGCATCAACGACACGCAACAACAACAGAATACCTTCCGAATCCAGCCCCGTCTGAGCGAAGAGTTCATCGTTCCCCGAAGCCTTGTCAAACGTAAACATGCCCAGACCAGAAACAGGCCTCCCACCTGAAAGTTGACTGCGTTGAGAACTTGAGGTCGATTCCGCGTGATGATGGCCACTCCGTCCTTTCCAGACCAAGAGCACAACATAGCACAACTCTTCCAATGAACGAGTTGCCGCCATGGTATCGTCATCATCAGCACAGCTGACACAACAAAGGCTCTGCAAAGGCCGTGCTCCTTCACTTCGTATGCCACCGTACGGAAGTTTAGTGTACTCGGCGTACTCGGCTCAGCAGCTGGGAAACGTCGCCAAGGCAGGCGAACACCTTCTACATCACACTTGTCCTCGCATTCACAGGCAATACGTCTGTGGTCAATGTGTCTGTGTCTCCATGTCTCCATGTCTCCGCGTCTCCGTGTCTCCATCTCTTCGTCTCGCCGTGTCTCTGTGTGTGTGTGTGTAGGTGTGTGTGTGTGTGTAGGTGTGTGTGTAGGTGTGTGTGTGTGTGTAGGTGTGTGTGTGTGTGTAGGTGTGTGTGTGTGTGTAGGTGTGTGTGTGTGTGTAGGTGTGTGTGTAGGTGTGTAGGTGTGTGTGTAGGTGTGTGTGTGTGTGTGTGTGTAGGTGTGTGTGTGTGTGGTGTTGTGTGTGTAGGTTGTGTGTGTGTAGGTGTGTGGTGTGTAGGTGTGTTGTGTGTGTAGGTGTGTGTGTGTGTGTAGGTGTGTGTGTAGGTGTGTGGTGTGGTGTTGTGTGTGTGTGTAGGTGTGTGTGTAGGTGTGTGTGTGTGTGTGTGGGGTGTGTGTAGTGTGTGTGTGTGTGTGTAGCTGTGTGTGTGTGTGTGTAGGTGTGTGTGTAGGTGGTGTGTGTAGGTGTGTGTGGTGTGTGTGTGTGTGTAGTGTGTGTGTGTGTGTGTAGTGTGTGTGTGTAGGTCTGTGTGTGTGTGTGTGTAGGTGTGTTGTGTGTGTGTGTGTGTAGGTGTGTGTGTGTAGGTGTGTGTGTGTGTAGGTGTGTGTGTGTGTGTGTGTGTGTGTGTAGTGTGTGTGTGTGTGGTGTGTGTGTGTAGGTGTGGTGGTGGTGAGGTGTGTGTAAGTGGTGTGTGGTGTGTGTAGGTGTGTGTGTGTGTGTAGTGGTGTGTGTGTGTGTGGTGTGGGTGTGTGGGTCTGTGTGTGTGTGTGTGTGTGTGTGTATGTGTGTGTGTGTATGTGTAGGTGTGTGTGTGTGTAGGTGTGTGTGTAGGTGTGTGTGTATAGGTGTGTGTATAGGTGTGTGTATAGGTGTGTGTGTATAGGTGTGTGTAGGTGTGTCTGTGTGTGTAGGTGTGTGTGTGTGTGTGTGTGTAGGTGTGTGTGTGTGTGTAGGTGTGTGTGTGTGTAGGTGTGTGTGAGAGTAGGTGTGATGGAGACAGAGGGTAGGAGTGTGTGTGTGTGTTCATTTTCAAGCCCGAAGTCGCTGCGGTAAGGCCCACTTGCAGTAGCATGTGCCGACAGGACCGTGACCCGACGCAGGGCCATTGCGCCAATGCACTTTGCAAAAGTGTTGAAGCTTGGCTGGGTGAGGATTGCAACATGCTTCAGGCATCGTGTGAGCACAGTGCTTCTCAGTGTTTTTCAGAGGGCAGCTGGGTTGGCCTTGAGGTAGAATCACGCTGCTGTGGCTGGGTCAGCAAGAGCTTCTGTGGTGCATGGCGGTCACACATCATACAAGCAGCAAGGGAGACAGCACACTCGTTGCATGAACGCGCCATCACGCGGAGTCATGTCAGCGATTGGCTGCGAAACTAAAGTGCACGTAGGATGCGCACTTCTGAAGCTGTTGCAAGTGCCGGGCCTGCCACTTGTAAAGGCTAAGGAGCAGCATCAACTGTCCCACAACCTCGACGATCTGCGCTTTCGGACCGGTGGACGCAGCTGGCCTCTATGACTCTATGATCCACCCTGCAACCTCCACTACTGCCCACTACTGCACTATCACTAAGTCACTAATGCTCCTGTTTGCCCTGTATTTGGGGCAACGAACAAAGAAACTACCGGTCCAGTGCTCGGCCCAGCAGTCAAACAGCGGAGAGTAAAGTCTACCGGCATACCAAAAAATGTCACAAAGGCTGGGTCTATTGACCTCCGGCCTAATGTGGGCACGCTTGTGCTGTGCCTGTCGATGCTTGTGGGATTGCGCACCAGAACAAGCCCAATCAGGCACGTGCATGAATTCACTTGAAACACAGTGTGATGCTTGTCGATCGTGAAGTAAGCAAACGAAACAAAAAATGGCTGCATCAGGAATCATTTACAAGGCACTAAGTAGGCATGTTATACAATTACAAGACCAACTCCCATCACACTCCAGGAGCATTGCTGTGATGCCGGAATTTCAAAGTGCAGCTCTTGATAAAGTTGCATCCCAAGCCTTCGATGATCTCTGTTCACCACACCACTAAGTAGCAGCAGGAAGAGCGCCACAAGTCTGTCACCATTGTGGCGCTGAAGATTTGGCAGCGTTTGGCGCCAGCTCTTGAAACACACAGGCTTTTGTGCCATGCACAGGTCGGGAAAACCACAACTGACCCGGCACTTCTCCTAAGTCCGTGAGGGAGGCCTATCCGTCTGAGAACGGCGTCCAGGCAAGCTTGGTGGCAAAGAGGAGGGGCGCGCCTTTGTGCTGCCATCTGTTCCTGTCGGCGCCGTCTCAAAGTGGAGGAAGGTGTTCTTCAAGCGCACATTGAGTTCGTCGGATTGTTCCGTTCGTTCAGGTGCTTCCATCTCCGAGCTGCCTGCGCGACTTGCTCTTGAGCTGTGCTGCCGAGAAGAGGGCTCAGTCCGCTCGCTGGGCTCTGGGAGGCTGAGTAACTGAGAAAGCGGCAACTGCCGTCGTGGCTCTTCTGTTGTCTGCCGGCTTAAGTTGCTTGTGTAAGAAGGGTCCTCAGTCGTTTGACGGCTGAAGGTAGTTGTCTGGCGGCTGTAGTTTGGATCCTCCGTCGTCTGCCGGCTGAAGCGGTTATGGTCATCTGGTACCTCTGCTGTGGATTGCCTGCTCCAGTTGGCTCCTCCCTTGTCTATCGCGGTCGGTGATGGGCATGCCCTTTGCGAGGTGTCTGGAGCAGCAGGTCGGGCAGAACTATGCATTTGCAGGGACTCCCTTGACTGTCCCGATCCCTGTCCGCTTATCCCCTGCAAAATCAAGGTGTACATGGCGGCGCTGTGGATTATGCCAGCCTTTGCAGCTGGAGCTAGCGACTGAAGCTGGGCGAGCGGTTGATCTCCTTGCAGGCTACCAGATGTTGGCACCTTCCGGGAGGCCACTCTCGCTCTGCTTGGCGCTTTCACAACGTCACGTACCATGCAATAGTCATATATAGTCATGCAACGCAACGGCTCACAAAGTCTGCGCCTGTGGCCCATCAATGGTCGACTGTGGAGAAGCTGCTTGTGCAGCGGCTGACCCAGCTGACGTGCGTCGGGACTTTGCAGAGGAGATGTAGCTCGGCCGAAGCTCATCACGAGTATGCGCAAATTTGCATTTGGAACCTTGGTATGTCTCGTTCCTGGGAGACAGTTGAAAACGACTCGCTGCTCGCACTCGTCTCTCGTGTTACTGCCGAGAGGCCTTGCTCGCATTTGCCACCTCAGAAATAACTAAGCTCATTCACCTACCACAACATTCCGCCAGGCTTAACCGCGAAAATGCATCGAAGCTTCTCTTCATAAACGGCTCGCACAGCCTGGTCTTGGAGAAGTCCGGAAAATCACGAAGATTGTCGACGGAGTGTGCAAAATTGCAGGCTTCCCCGCGTGAGCAGCAGCCAGCTAAGAAGAACTTGCCTGGGGAAAAGGCGCAGCGCAAGAATGCAAAAGATCGAGATTGCACATTCTTGCTCGCTGCGAACAGAGAAACGGCGCTCCCCCCCCCCCCCCCCCCCACCTCACTTCTAAAGGTTGCAAAGGTCACTCAGTGCAAGGCTTTACTCAGAGTCAAAAGATTTCGTCTCAGTGCTGCAGGTCTCCGTATCGCTCCTCTTTGAATCTGGTCTTGCATGGTCTGGTCTGGTATGGTCTGGTGGCTAGCCAGTAGAATCAGTAGAAGTTACAGATGGGCACTGGTCACCTTGGTGCCCTCCAAGGTGCAGAGACGCGTTCCCTTGAACAACCTTCGTCGTGCTGCTTCTTCCTCTTCTCCTCTCGTCTTGGTCGTGTCGGGCTTGGTTGACATCTCTACAGGCAACTTGCCGCTACCTGTCCTGTCGCTGTACACGAGCTATTGGGCACAGGTAACTACCAGAGCCATCATAGACAAACAGCAAGCTGTGGCACATTGTGGCGCTGCATTGCCTCCAACTTTGCATTCCGGGAAAAGTAACGGTCTGCAGACCAGTCAACTCAGAAGTCAGAGGCCTTTTTTCAACGGCATTGAACAGATTCAACTGCAAGTCCACCAGGTCTGAGCGATTTGTCCCACTAATGTACTACTGCTACTTAGTTCTTCTACGACAGTGTGCAAGAATTGATGAACTCTGGAGACAGAGGCAGCCTGCTCCTTCTTGCGTGAGATGTATCCTCCTCCCTGGACTCCGCACTCCCTGACTAAGCTGGCGCGTAGTCCATCCATGTTACCGGCAAGGTTCGGTGACCTGCAACGGCCCAGTAGGACCCGAATCGACAGCGCTGAGGTGCCGAGCCATGAGTTCAGCGACAACTACCTGGAAGTTGCGATCGAAGAATGATAGCCCGATCCTATGCTGGAGAAACGAATCAGTGGCGCCACGTGCGGTCATTCGATTTGGCCGTTCATGATCGCATACACGGAATAAGGAGAGCATCCCTGACACTACATGCTTATGTCGCATTGACAACTTTTTACTGTCCTCTCTGGACACCGGACCCCATCAGTGTGTGACATGAAAAATAGCCGTTAGTAGCTTGTAGCTGCGGGAGCATTGGGTAACGCGCTTAGAGAGGCTGCAAGCAACACGATGAGGCTTGGTCGCTGAGAGCTCACACACAAGCTCACTTTTTTGCCATCCTGCCTTGTGTGGATTGTCGCTCTGCAAGCTGCTCTAGCAAGACTTGCCGAGTAAACACGAAGAATATCAGCATTGCTGCTAAATGTCCGAGGTGTGCTCCGTGGAATCCACTCTTATCACCGGTCTCCTCTGGCTTCTTGTATATTTGTTTATTCTTTGTTTAGTTCATGTATGTGCTCTATATATACACATATGTACAAGCGTACAATATGTCATGTATAGAATGCAGATGTACAATTGTTACACACGGATGTACACATACACGTGTGCTTGTTTAGATGCACATGTAGTGCATATCGTCGTGGGATTCCACAGTCACAAAGCACCAGTTCGGCGTTTTGGAACGATCTGGACGCCCCTTTGCTGAAGGGTCGAAGCCAGCAGGTGCTGATACACTCTTCGACGCGAGGTCGGTTTGCTGCCTCCTCGAGGTAGTGTGCTGCTCTTCTTGCTGCCAACTGCTGACCTTCCCAGCGACAGGGCTCGTCAGAGGATGGACATGCTGGAGCACTCGCGCATCATCAGTTCACAAAATTTGATGGCGATGGAGGCTGAGGGCCCCTACAGAACCAAGGCTGCAACGGCAGACCCGTCAGCCCACATAGGGCAGAGGATCTCCACCATCTTGGCCTAGACTTCATGGATCGCAAAGCAAGCTGGCGACCTGCCTGCAACACAAAAGCACTGAGGGAAACGCCAGTCCACCAGAGACCCAGGGGACCCTCATAGTACCACCAGAATGCCCCTGCATGGGCAATGTATTTCCGGTGTGGTGATGCCTTGCACCTTCCTTCTGCCAGTCAAAGCTGGCTTTTGCGATTCTGCGAGCCCACCCGCAGTACTATAGAACTGATGAGATAGTATCATACTAATGAGCAATATGACTGTCACCCACTTCGGCTCAGCAAAGCGCGCGTTTGATGACACCGGCCGAAAATGTAACCCCATCGAGGGTAATGTTGCACCCGCAATATTCTAGGGGGACGCTATTATGAAAAGTTTTCCGGCTATTCAGGATCTGGACCCTTTGTTTTGGGGGTCCGCTATAATGAAAAGATTTCGGGCCGTGACTGTTTTTTTGAGGGTGTCAGGAAGGCATAAGCTTCTCGAGAAAGAGAGATACTTGAAGCCTGAAGCCTCGACCTGTCCAGGATCTCCGACAATCTTCTTTTTTCAGGGCGCCTTTTCTTTATAAATTCTTACTTAAAACTAGATGATTCCATAGGCGAATCATATCCGGAAAGGGGGTACCTTACGGAGGCCTCCGGACACACTTTAATACCTTTGTTTGGGGGCCCGCTATAATGCAAGTCTCCCGGGGCCAGGGGCTCAGTCCTTCGGTTTTCAGGAAGGCATAAGCTTTCTCGAGAAGGAGGGATACTTGAAGCCCTCCTCGACCTGTCCAGGATCTCCGACAATCTTCTTTTTTCAGGGCGCCTTTTCTTTATAAATTCCTTACTTAAAACTAGATGATTCCATAGGCGAATCATATCCGGAAAGGGGGTACCTTACGGAGGCCTCCGGACACACTTTAATACCTTTGTTTGGGGGCCCGCTATAATGCAAGTCTCCCGGGGCCAGGGGCTCAGTCCTTCGGTTTTCAGGAAGGCATAAGCTTTCTCGAGAAGAAGGGATACTTGAAGCCTGAAGCCTCGACCTTTCCAGGGTCGCGGGGTAGCTTAGGGAGGCTCCGGACCCCCCCCCCCCCCGACTGTTTGGGGTCTTTTTTTATTCAGGCTCGCGACTGTTGAGGGGGGGGGGGGGTAACTTATTAAAGCAGGTCCAACATTACTTGTGTAAATGTGGTTTGTCTGTTTTGTGCGTGGGAATCTGTGTGAAGTTTTCTCGTGCCGAACTGGGGAAACGGTATGGTCCATCCCACGACCGCCCGGAGGATCACCGCAGCGGAGGATGGACGCGAGAGCAACAGCAACGGTGGGCTCCTCAGCCAGCAATCGAAGTGGAGTGGGCAGAAGAAGCAAGTTGGTACTTTGCTTTGGCTGGCACAAGCCAGCTGAGTAACCGAGCTGGAGCCAGGAGCAAGGGAAGGATCAGGGTTGGAATCGCGTACTGGGGAAGGCGAGGGCAAGCCCAACAAAGACGACCACAAAGGAAGCGGTCCGCGACCTGAGATCTGGACCTAGAGAAAAGGATGACGAGAGTGTACGCCAATGTGTGGCTTTGGGAATTGGGCCAGTCAATGTACGTCAGGAATGAGGGCATTCCTGCAGGCTCAGCCGGCTGTCAGCCGCGATGTAGCCACAGCAGAATGCACCAAATAGAAACGGAATTCGCCTAATTTCAATAAGGGCATCTATGAGCGAACTAGTGATGAACTCAGATCTGCAGAGTGTCCGGGCCCGGTTGCAGACCGCCTCTCTCCGGTCTTTTACTTTTCTTCACAAAGCTGGAGACTCAGTGGAGGCGGTGCAAGATACATAGCATGCGAACCAGAAATTGAGCGGTTCGAAGTCTGAATTGCTTTCATCTGAGCGCCGCTGCGCTTCACAGACCTTCGACTTCTTGCGTGAACTCACGGACTTCATTCCGAGTGAGATTCCGAATGGCTTCAGATGTTAATGGGATCGAGGAGATCTTGGAAGATGTTGTAGATTTTCGGGGGCTGGGCAGCATTGCGTGGCTGCCTTCACGGGGCTGCTTTCATGGTCGGACCACTTGGGATGCGTTCCCCCACAACCCCCGCACATTCCCCCAGGTGGCAAGCTGCACAAGCTGCTCTGCGCGCACAGGCCTCTGTCACCCTCGTCCTGTCAGTTTCTTCATGCTAGATGCAGTCTTGCAGGCTCGGCAATGCAGCTACATGCACAAGATTGCGCAAGTCCTTAAATTGGACCCAATGTTCCCCCGGAGGGGGCGATGGCGTCGGTATCTGCAAAGGCAGACACTGTCACCCTCTCTGCGCGCTGGCTGCGTTTCCAACCCAAGCCTGCACGGTACCTCGGTTGAGCCTCCATTGGCAGTTCAGAACGTCTTTGCACCCACATTTTATCACATGGGGTGGACTCGTGTGTTCTCATTCTCTGCCTGAGCTCTGTCTTGATCTCTGGCTTGACCTGCGACGCACCGAGGCAACACACGCGAGAAACTAAAACACATGGACCGCTTGACTGTATTCTAGATGCTTTTGGTTAAGCCTTAGACCCGAATTCCGCAGGCTTCAATTTATTCGGGGGGTGGGTGGCTGACTGGGTGGGTGGGTGCACACATGCGTGCGTGCACGCGTACACGGCCGCACTTGCGTGCATGCGGGCATGCGCGTGGGTGTGTGGGTGCATGGGTGCGTGATTGCAGCTACGGGATGGTGCGAGGGTGCGTCATGGTGGGCGTGTGTGGATGTGGGCGTGTGGGCGTGTTGGCCTGGGCGTGGGCGGTTGCGAAGGGGCAGGTGGGTGGCGGGTGGTGTGCATGGGCGTTCGAGTGGGCGAGGGCGCGGGTGGGTGCAGGTGTGGGCAAGTGACTGGGAAAGGTGGTGGGATGATGTGGGATGTGGTGTCGTGATGGAATGGGGATGGGATCCCTGTCTATGCACAGGCCAGACAACATTTGCTCCTCTAAGTCGGGTGGAATGCAGCTCTTGCCAATTGAGCTTGTTGCATCTTCCATGTCGCCAGACACCTCAGAGTTTCAAGATGACCACACGGCTGACCCTTCTGCTGTCGAGTCTTGAAGGGTCGCATTCCAGACTCTGCGCAGCTGACCCGAAGGTTTTGACACCGTTCCGCCAGGGCAGCATCCTTGCAGCTGCAGGCTGCGTGATCTGCGTGATCTGCGTGTGATCTGCGTGGTGATGAAGGGAGTGAAAGTGTACAACTTGCATAGGCCTCTTGGTCATCTGGCAGTGGCCTTTCGTGCAGAATTGGAAGAACAAGGCATGGCAGAAGAGCTGCACAAGTCGCACGAAAAGGCTGAAATTTGAGTGACCTGTCGGAGTCAGACCCCAATGAAGGTGACCGAGAATGCCTTCACGCAAACTTCTGAGAACTGCCTGTCCGCTGAATCAAGCCAAAGTGTGCCGAAAGAAGCCTGCGGTGTCGTCCGGAAGATGCAGATGAGGACACCTACAGCTTCATCACAAACATGACCCCCAGTGAGATTGTTATGGGTGTGCTAAGCACCTCCAGTGTCTCCATCGGCTCGCGCGCCGCCTGTTGTTGGACGGATTGTGAAAAAAGAACCGTGGAAGCAGGCATGCATGTGCAGGATTATAAAGGCATGTCATCCGGCTACCAACCTGCGCTGGCGCTGCACTCGCCGGTTCGAAGGGCGACCGCTGTGATTCTCTCGGCCGCCGATTTGCCTGGATGCCCCAAGAGTTTCTCCAATTCTCCAATTGCGCAAAGGTGTCCAGAGGCACTCTCATGGCCCTCTTTCGCTAGTCAGCTGGTCCTTGTCAACTTTTCTCAGCCGACTCCCGTTGATCTCGAAGCGTCCATCAACGTCGGTCTCCTCCAGGCGCATGTGAGGAGGCGCATGTGAGGATGCGCATGTGTTTCGTGTACAATTTGTACACGCTCGCACTGCGAAGACGCAGCACGTGCAGTTTTTTCAGTTCAAGATAGATCAAGTGTCACTGCTGCCCCCAATGCCTGGAGGTACAGCTTCAACTTCTCCGCGTCAAACTCTCCGAGGTCTTTCCTTGATCGACGCGGGCTGACTATCTGATCTGGTGCACGTTGTTGCGCTTGTCTTGAGGCTGTGGTCCTCTTTAGAAACATGTCGATTTGAGACGGGGCCTATTCCGCGTGACTGCCGCCGCAATGCCGGAGAGGTCCAGCCAGCCTGAATCATCGGCGTGGCACCCTTCTCGAGTCTCAGCAACTCTCAACTCTTACTTCTCAACCGCCTTCCAAAAAAAACAAATGGCTGCCTCCTTCTGCCTGCTCGAGGCCGAGCTCCTGCACAAATTGCCGAGCGGCACCAACACATGCAATTCGATTTCCCAAAGAGCCCAATCTTGCTTCATTAAGGAATGTACCTTAAATCAGACTAAGGATCCCTATATGATCTACGGAATATTCCTTAATTAAGCAATATTGGGCTCTTTGGGTTGTTATAAGGCTTCGAATGTACAAACGGAATGCTGGATTGCCCAACCTTGAACCCCGCTTTTGTCACCCAGGAAATGTAGCGGTGCATCTTCTCGGCTGGGCCTCAGAAGCCCAGCCACATGGGTATCTCCCAAAATGGGCTACCCCTTTTATCCCCCAAAATAGAACAGAATCCCTTTAAAAAGAGACCCCCCAAAGAGGGTACCCCTATTTCGGAAACCCCCACATCATGCTCAGCACTTGCTAAGCACACGCTGGACTGGAGCTGTGCCGCAATCAAATCTATCAACATAAACTGAGGCCTTCACTCCATTTGCCGCGGGGGCGACCCCGCGTCTGCAAAATGCTGTCGTTTTCATGTCATTTCCATTCATGAGTCATGGCATGCCCCCTTTTGACTCTTACCCGACGAATTCCCGTCCATTTCAAGCGTGCAGCCGGCATCACAATGCACACGGGATTGCGCCTCTGGTCTGTCACTACCTGCAACACCCCAGGGCCACGGGTGCACTCAGCGAATTCTCAACGAGATGCCTCTTCCATTTCGATCACCATGTCTGTCTTGAGGCGGTTTCCGCAGATGCCTCATGCAAACGTCGTCGGACACAGACGGCGAGTAAACACAGCAAAGCAACGGCCGAAAAGCTGGATGCCGTGGTCCGGACATTGTGTCTGGCGTTAGGCCCATCTGCCGGAAAGAGTGCCTGACCTCATGTCCCACTCTTTCTGCTGCAAAGGATTCATCACATCACTGGGGAGTGCAGCGGGATGCGAGTTTCCCCACATCTTTCAGCAGCATTGAGTCCATGGATTGAGTCCATGGCCCTCTCCTGCCTAGCCTCATTCAGCTCATCCGCCTGCCAGCGAGGCGAATTGCAAGCAGCCTTTAGAGCGGAAGCTTGAAATACAGCATAAAAATTGCAACATGATGGAAGACAAGAACTACGAGCTCTTTGAACAGAGCTTTATTCTGTCCAAGAAGGTCCCAATGCTATATCAAGCCTCCAAACTGCTCAGCAATGACTTTGTGTGTGTGCGTGTGTTGCTGGTGTTGTGTTGTCTTGTGCGTTCTTCTCTCGTACATGTACGATCTGTGTCAGAGACCAGGGGAAGAAATCAATGTGGCCTCTAAGTCTATGACTTCGCCCCCAATCAAGTCGTCCTGGCAGCACTTGATACCGCCAGCTGTCGCCAGTCATGGAGTCATGGCCCTGCAGAACTGGAGAACCACACGAAACATCGGTCCAGCGACATTGACAACCTGAGATACCACAGGAGCTGCCGCATACAGTGGAGCGCCGGACATGCGCGTGCAAGAAAACACAGCGGCTGGGCTTCAAGCTTGTCAGACAACGCAGGCCTCGGATTAATCAGTTGTCTCTCTCGCTTGCAGGCTCTTCCTGTGCCTCTGTCGCAGAGGCTCCAGCGGCTTTGTTCCATTGATAGGTCGCGGCCTTGTAAGCCACTTTGGAAGCCTAACTGTTGCCTTGCATCCTCTTGTGTCTCTGGCCTGGTATGCGCTGGCGTCTTAAGCACGCTCCCGATCCTTAGCCAGATTCTGACCCACACCATTGCCACTTTAGCCAGGAAATGTGAGATCCCAGCTTCTTCGGTATTCGCCTCTCTGGTGGTCTCATGCCAACCCTGCAAGTGCGAAAAGGGCAACTCAAGTGCAGAAGGACGCTGCTGGTGGGTGAGGTATGTGAGGTCTGCCAGGGCAATAATACCTACCTCCTAACTTGAGGCCCTCGGCCCTAGGCCCTACAGTGCAGCCCTGCGGCACTCACGCGGCACGTTGTTCCGAGGCTCCCACGCAGGGAAAAGGACTCCACTCTGAGGCGACGGATGGCGCTGGCGCCGGTCCGATCGGCCTTGGGAGAAAGTGGCTCTAAGGTGAATCCCCCGGTTCTGGCGAATACCACAAGCATAGAATGTCATGGACAAGGCCTTCATCTTCCTTTGGCATCACCTCTTCACCCAACACGCGGCCAACCAGCAAAATCCAAACAGGGACTGCGTGAGACTGCTTGCTCATGCTTTTGCGAGTCCCGCGCGCGTATCACAATACCTCCGTCGCTGTCGCCTGCGAGTTCCCGCCCCGCACTACATTGACCCTTTGCCCCGTGGCCCCCCAAAATATTGCTGGCCGTCAATGGCAAAGCGAAGAGACCCACCGTGTTCATGCTCACGGAACCTGACTGTAAAGCTGCAATTCGATCCCTCATCTCTTTTAGAATGCAGCAAGTAAGAGTGAAAAGCTCAGGATTCAGCATGTGCCGTCGAACCTCAGCCGACATGTGACATGATGTCACATACGCATCTGCTTGCAGGCTTTCTTCGCCTGCATTTCACCTGCTACGCGTTTTGTCATGGGCCACATCCAAGACCCGGGTTTCTTCATCATGCAGCAGCTATTGCAACTGCGGTGGCCCTTTGCTCTGAGGACTGGTAAACGTTATTCGAGGTTCACGAACCAAAATCTGCCTCACACATCTGCTTGCGGCCGTGCATCAGCATGCAAGATGTCCGTTTCTCGAAGACCAATCCTGCAACTCAGTGCTCTGCCACGAGACTGGCGACTCTCGACACTGCGGAAAAGCTCTGCAACGTGCGGGGCACCTGTCTCCCCAGAAGTGCATGATGTCCTGCACGCTACTGCGCCATCCACATCTCGCTTCACGTGCACATTCTGAACTGCTGCAAGGAGTGGATTTAATTCACATTAGTTCGCTAACATCCAATGTGGGTGCTCCGGAGAGATTTACACATCAGTGGCAAAACTACATGTCGGTAAGTGTGACACCCCAATGCGAACGCTGCGCATGGGTGTCAATGGGTGAGGGCTCGAAACTCACAGCACAATACCTGACGGACTCTGATGCTTTAGACAATCTTTCAACAGTTTGGAGTGCCCTCTTGGCAGCCACCCCAAAGAAGACGTTGTTTCTTGTTTTTGTTGCTGTCACTTGTGGAGTGTACTCGAACGCCCGGTCGCCGCACACACCCGAGATGCACGTGTCGAGCGTTCATCTTGAAACATCCGGTTACCCGAACACACCCGAGAAATACATGCATCGAGTTTCAACCTTGAAGCGATCGACAACAAGAAGTCTTTCAAAAAGGTTCGATGTGGCTGCCTGAAGTGTGATTCCCCAATGTGGACACTCCCCGATGCGGATGTCTACCAGCCTGTGCCACTAGCTAGATTTCGTGCACTTCCATGGCAATTGCCTTCGGAATGCCCTCTTCCCCAGTTCTAACACACAAAAGAAGTCGTTCCTCCCAACCCCCACCCCCCACCCCCCTCCCCAATGCTTGCCATGACTTCTCGTCTCGGGCGCCGGCATCTAGCTTCATGCAGCCATCGCGGTCTACTCGCAACCCATCCGGGCGTTTTGACACATACCGGCCTCTCTTCGCACAGGGCACGACAGACTGAAAAAGTTCTGTAAGTACATGCTGCGAATGAAGATGAGGGCTGCGCCGAAACAGGCAATAGTGCGAGATATCTTCAGCGAGTCTGTCGGCTGAGGCGATCCTTGAAAGGGCAGTACACATGGACTGTACACCTAGTGACTTTTCAAGGTCATAAGTTGTAGGTCATTGTAGGTATCTCAGGGCTTTGACCTGAGCCTTAGGTGCAGACTGGAGCGAGCGCTGCGGGACATCCTGCAACAAGTCAAGACTGCGCCGGAAATCCAAGCTCTCGTTAATCGTATACAGCTTTGTGTAGCTGCTCACAAAGCTGCAGTTGATGTGGGCAACACTCGTGCCTGGATGCCGTGCGCTTTTCCACGGGGACCGACAAACCCAGTAGCCCCAAGGTCTCAAGCACGCTCTGAGGGGTGCCCCGGCCAGCGTGAGCGAACTTGCAGCAGGACACATGCAAAACCATGCGATATGCAATTGTGTGCAACTTCTTGCAGGCAGCGACCTTTTTGGGGCGAATTCCAGCAGCTGCACGTCACGGCCCGTGCCCTAAAGAAACGGGCTTAATGGGCGGACATCATATATGACAAACGCGGATACTTGCATCTGCGTGGAACGTATGAAGGAAGCATCCCTCTGCTCACATCTTCGATGGTCAAGACGTTTGCGAACCTTTGGGTTTGCTGCATTGGTACGACATCGAAATCCACAGAACCGATTGAGTGCAGCCGAAACAACTGCGACATCAGCCAATCAACGTCAGACTAGAACTCTGGCAGCTACAGGCGGTCTCTCACGCCCCGATCAAGCATGGGGAAGCAGGTGAGCTGCACGTCCCACTTGACGCCCCCGTCTGGATCTGAGGAGTGTTGAGTAGGTCTGTGCTGAGGCACCCGACCGGGAACGGTATCCTCACCATCATTCATGGGGTCACCATCGTCAACCCCAAAGAGTGTGGCAACTTCTAGTCACTGCGTGATGGCTGTGGCTTCGATACCCTGTGCAATACACATCTTCCGATCACAAGCCCTGTCAGAGCCATGTCAGAGCCCAAAACTTGTTCTGCAAGCTGCTGACATGCATCAAGTGTGTTTCGACCTGCCACAAGCAGGCCCCGGTGTCTCCCACCACGAGCAACGACTCATGCACTTGGATGCCAGGAGGTAAGTAGGAAATCCTATCAAGTTGTCAACTGCTCAGCCTTGGCCAAGTCAAAGCCACCACCTTGCTCTGTTTCCGCGGGCTCTCGCAGGACTGCACGCTGCCGCACAATTACTTGGATTGGGCCTTGGAACTGTCTTGGCAAGCACTTGCAGATGTCGTCTCACATACGACAGTAGCACACGACCCGCTCATTCTGCAACCCATAGGTGGTGGGATGCCCGCCCATGACAAGACACTTCAAAACCCTTCACGGTGCATGCAGCTGCATCTTCAATGCCTAGGCATTGGCGCAGGTGCACACGGGAAAGAAACCTTGGATGACTGTGGATGCTCAGGCATCCCGTTTTTGATGCCTCACCACCCATCTCGCCCATCTTCCGTCGACTGGAGCGGGAACATGCGCAAATCCGCTAGCTCCCGGGCCTTTTTGCACTTGGACTGGGAGCCTTTTTACACAGATCTTTGTCGATCGGATGGACGAAAGATGGACTGGTGCTGGCAACCAACCTACCTATGTCTTGTAAACTCCTGGCAGGCGGTGCCGGTGACAACAAGCATTGGAACCATGTCTGGAAGAGAGAGCACGCGTAGAGTGCCCGCACTAGGCACCTCAGTGCCCAATCTTCGCACCGTTATGGTGAAACCCCATCCAAAGGATGAAGAAGCCAGGTCATAGCCAATAGCTGGCCAGTTTTTGGTAAAAGGCAGCTCAATAGGCAAAGCCGCAAATACTTTCTGCAGCCTCTGCCGTTTTTCTCTTGTAGTTGAAAGCATCTTTGAGGTGACGGTGCACTGTCAGAAGGTGTCAGTGTCCAGCACAGCAGGCCAGCCAACTGGAGCTGGGTCCTTGGTCGGCTTATGTCACTTTGTGTCGCTAGTTGACGAGGCGATAAGCTGGAGTTGCCGACCTGGTTCTCGCCTCTTCACGGGAGATAAACCTCCCATGCGCGGGCCTGCGGACTCTAGCACTGGCAGCTCTCTTTGAGTTTTCATTCCCATACTGTGGGCAGCACTGAAGCGACTCGGGTCCAGCGCTTGTGTCGCCTTCGGGAATCCGAATGGCATGCCCATGCACGCACGCAAACACACATGCGCAACATTGTGAATTAATACCTTACAACAAAAGCAAGAGGTTTCGTCAACACGCATTGACATAGAGTTGAATACAACCTTGCGCGCAGGACTCTTGCCCGTGTGCTCGCAAAACTCGAAAAACTATGAAGAAGTTCTATTGCCGTCTTAGACAATTAGTTCTATTTGAATATGAAACCTATATTTTCTCTACATTGCAAACCTCTACTTTTTCTAATGCTGTACTGTCATCGTTTCCTCCATATTTAATGTGGAAGACATGATAGAGGAATACATGAGAAACTAATTGTCTGTGTTATCTCTCTATGTGAATTGCAGTTAAAACTAGGTACTTTTGTTCATGTTTTCCATTTTTGCGGCTAGGACTGCTGCACTGTTTTCCATATTCTCATAACACAAGCTCCTTTTTCTCGATTCTTTACTCAGAAGACACTTTTGTCTCTATTGTTAGTCGGAAAGTTCAACTTCCACGAAATACTCTGAGTTTTTGTACTGTAGGATGCAATCATATATTCCTCTTCTTGTTCAGGCGGGGTTGGGGGGTGCGCAGGCCCCCGATTGCAAACACAATGCTCGTATCATGGGTTTGGAAGGGATTGGTATGCTTTGAAGCAAGCTTGCCCGGCTTAAACCGAGCGGGGGGGGCAGTCCCCCCCCCCATTTGCAAACACAATGCTTGTATCATGGGTTTGGAAGGGAACTCGTCTGCTTTCAAGCAAGCTTGCCCGGCTTGACAAACGCGGGGGTGTTGGGCAGGGCGCAGGCCCCCGCATTTGCAAACACAATGCTAGCATCATGGGTTTGGAAAAGATTCGTACGTTTTGAATCAAGCTTGCCCGGCTTAAACAAGCAGGGGTGTTGTGGGCCCGCACCAGGTCACTCGCTCACCGGCGGCGGCCCCGGAAATAACGCCCGCAGGAGGGGCGCGTTGTTTTTTTGCTGCGGGTGCGGGGGCGCGCTTTTTGCTTTGCTTCGGGTGCGGGGGCGCTGTTTTTTTTGCTGCGGGTGCCGAGGGCACCGCGCGCCAGGTCACTCACTCACCACGGGCGGCCGGAAAAACAAAACACCCACAGCAAAAAAGCACCCCCAACAAAAAAAAACGGGTTCCCATCTAAAAAACCCGCTTATAGACTCAAATTCATAAAGTCTTAGTAATTACTAAAAGTCTATCGGCCAACCACCTATTGACGTGACTCACACTAAGTTGGAGCCTTGTTGCCGGCAGGGAGGGGAGGAGGATTGGGGCGGAGGGGGGGGGGGGGGGAGGTTCGCCAGGCTTCCCCTGTGAAGTGCCCAAGTAAAGGCAACGCACTCCCTTTTTGACAGAGTCAAGACTTAGGTTTCATGGCTCTGAGTAAACATATCATTCATGGACAAATGAAACATTTATGTGACGTAGACCTTCGGCTAGTGAGGCTGTGACAAGAAATGAAACTTGCTTAGGTTCTAACCAGTTGTTAAGATGAGTTCTTACAACAAGAGTCAATCTTGCTTATTATGCACACAAACTTCTTGCAGAAAAGAAACATGACGCAACGGAACGTACTTTTCATCAAAGAACAAAACAAAAGCATCCAACGTTCTGAAAGAACACCGGGGAGCTTTGGGGGATTTTTATGGGTTCTCCAATTCAGATGTTGGGGGCTATTTTCTGCTAGTGATATGTACATTTGTGCGAGGCGGGCGTCGCCTGGCGAAGTGACCATTTGGAGTGTTTGGGACCCCCTTTTGCTAGTGGAAGCGCACTTGGGCTGGAAAGGAAGGCCTTTTCACGAAAAAGACTGTTTGGACTCCACAGAACATAACTGTTGAGAGTAAGACAGGCGTTTCAGCCGGATGTCCCGAACTCACGGTGCACGATTTTCCTTCATGCCCAAAACAAAGCATCTTCCACCTGATGCCTGAATCATAATTGCGCCCCCCCGATCACCTCTTAGGGTGTGGTGGGTGGGAAAACATCTTTCCCAAAGAATGACCCTTGGGTTTGTCTGATAAAACAGCCGCCACCACCAAGCAGCTGGCTCCTTGTCCTACATTACACTTCGTGCACTCACTGTAATCGCGCGACAACTCACAATCGCTGCTCACGCCCTCCCACCCTACGAGTGCAGAACCAAGAAGGTGCGCACGTTTTCATGCTGGATGCTGAAAGCACAGGTCCTGCATCTTCCACCTGATGCCTGAATCATAATTGCGCCCCCCCGATCACCTCTCTGCCGAAGGCGCGCTGGGATTGCACCTCTTGCATCCATTGACAAAGTCGCCAGTGAGCACGTAAGAAAATTCGAGTGGCCGAAGGGCCAGCCACAGCAAGTCCTCCACAGATGCGGAGTCTCGTCTTCATAGTTGCGATCCACATCGTGCACAATGCCACTTCGATGAGAGCGGATGCGCAATGCTCGTACTTTTGTGAAGTTTGTTGCCAAGGGCTCCGCGTTTGAGACTTCGCTTTGAGCCTTCACAGCGTCCTTGACAGCCTCCAGTTCAAGCCAGGGGTCGTGCTTCAGCTTCTTGCCTTCCCTAGAAAGGTTGTCCACCAGCTTCGCGACATCCACCATGAAGTCGCGTTTAGCGAGCGGAGAGTCGAACGCAGGCTTGGCGGCCAGCGCTTCTTTCGCACACTCAAGAACGAGATCGGACTTCCATCGGCCCAAACGCTTGACCTGCGCCAGAGCGTGACCCTCCCGCACGTAGTGAAGAGCTCCGGACCTTCGCGCAGAATGGCCAGTCACTTCGCAGCCGAACCACGCCTTCCAGGCCTTCACAATGTCTGACTTCTTCGCCTGACCGCCGTCAGCTTTAGGGGAGAGCCACAGCCTAGTGGACGACTTTGACTCATGGATGCTCTGCACTTTGGACCGCAGATTCTTCGAAACCTCCACGGGACATGAGGGCGAGCAGAACGCACTGCAGCGTTCTGATGGCGCCTTCTGCTTCAGGATCGGTCTTGGACTCAGATATCCACAACTGCACGAGGTTGCCGCCCCGAAACGTTACATCTTCTACCTCCAGGTTGCTCAGCTCAATCTCCCGTAGCATCCAAACGGAGGAGAACAAGTACGCTTCCTTGGCCAGCGGGACAGTGTTTGCCGCCCTCCCTGCTTTGCCTCGCCGAGGCCTACTTGCCAGGGCAGCAAAGCCACATGGACCTCTCCAGCTGATCCGTCCAGGGGTGTCCTGCCTCCACACGCGCCAGCTTGAGCTCCAAAAGGCAGGCGCCGCCCGAAGAGCACTTGGCCTTCTTAAAGACAGCAGCCACCTTCTCGAGCAACAGAGGAAAGAGTGGGACTTCTTCGACGGCAGGAGCAGAACTGGTTGCCAGGTGGTCCGTGGAGGAACTCCCGAAATTTGACAGCTCTTCCACAGCTAAACTTCTTCTCCATGAACTTCTAACAGATGAAAGGAGCGCCAAATCAGCGGCGTCTCTAACTGCCTCTCTTGGGATTTCCTCCGTTTCAGGCAGCCGTTCAGCCCTTGTGTTCAGAAGGCTACTACGATGCTCCTCATTGGCAGAGGCCACTGCACTAGTCACAGGGGAACCTTCAGAGTCGAGCTCGCCCCTGTTCCTTTTTGCGCCGTGGCACCGCCGCGAGGTCGAGCAACGGCGTGAGGCCATCGTTTTTCACTCCCGGTTCCAACAGGCAGGGGCCTTGAGGGGAGTTGCCAGGCTTGCATTGTCTAAGCAATGCAAGCAAACCTGAAAACAACGAAGCCCAAAGCCCTCATGGTGTACAGGATGAAGCCCAAGAGAAGGTTGCGCCTCTGAAGGCCCCCTTGCAAGCTCCACAGAGCATCGTCAAGGTATGTCTGGCGCGCTGCTTCCACAGGGCCCATTGCGTATTGCCCACGACTCTGCTCCACAACAACGGGGCCGTCCGGAATCCAAAGAGGAGGGCGACGAAAACCAAAATTTCGTCATCTGACAATCGCGCCATACAATGTTTGAGATCACTCGTGTCCACCGCTAGGTGCGTGGAAGCATCGCTCACGTCGATGACTACCCACACAAAGGCCCAGTCTTCTTGACTCCAGTGGTGGCGACGGTACTTCGCTTGTAGCTCGCGCTTGCCGTGCCTTTGTTCTGGAACTTGACCATCTTAACTGCGTCTCGCGGTCTCGGGAGGACAAGCCTGTCAGGAAGCGTTGCCTTGGCGTTGCCCGACGACCTTTTGAGATCGATGACGATTCGACGCTTCAAAGTCCCGTCCTCCTTGGTTTTGAGGACCAGCCTAGTTTCGAGACAGTGCCAGCGCCGTACTTTTCCCGGGCCTCCTTCTTCGAGATGCGCTTGAGATAGCCTGCGTTCTCGTACCTGTTAAGTTCCACCTCTGCTTCGCCCTCGTTCTGGAGCACGGAGAGGTAGTTGCCGAGGGAATCTGTCGCAAGCACCTCTGCTGCCATGATGACGTCCTCATCGTTCTGACGTCCTCATCGTTCTGGGACCCTTGCGACTGAGGAAAAACGCCACAAGCAATGATCTCCTTGTCCACGCCAAGAGGAGCACCGGACTTCACCCACTTGGGCACCTCCGTCTCAGGGTCGCCTGCTTTGGCGACATATGCCTCCAATTGATCTGCGTACAAGGGTGACTGGTACTGCAGGTCTTCGCGCAGTCTTACTGCATCCCTGCCTTTGGAGCATAGCACGCTTCGAAGTTCAGCACGCTAAAGTTTTGTGATCTGTGGGTCCTCCGCTGCTTCCGGCGTGCCATACAACTCTTGAAGAAGAAGTGCTTTAGGGTACTTTGAGTCCCACGCTGCAATGCGCAGGCCCCCCACGCGCGGGAGGTGTTCAGGTTTCAAAGGAACCCTTTTCAAGTCCCATATGCGCCTGCGCCACCAACCCAGGGTTCGGGCTCAGTGCTCTTAGGGCAGGTGGTAGTGGTGAGGATCAACTTCTGGCGCTTGGCGGATTGCTCCGTCGAACTTTTGGCTGCACTTGTCCTGCGGCTGGAATTTGGCTCCTGTTCCGTGGAGGACTTGGCCTTCTTCGTGCAAGGGGCTGCAAACGTGTCCATGGGCATGGGCCTTTTGCTTGCTTTGGAGACGCCACTCTGCAAGTCCGCAATCTCCTTCGTGAGCTTGTCCTTCCGAATTCGAAGCCACTCCATGTAGGCCATCTTTTCGAAGTGCGCGGCGATAAGTTCGGCCATGAGCTCGCACATGGCCTTGGGGTATTCTGCGGCCTCTTTGGAGTTGGTGAGACCCACGTGCACATGTCCTCGACCTTGCCTACAGGTACAGGCTGCCGACATCTTGTGTAACTGCAGAACTGAACCTAGTAGCCTCTGAGGTTTGAAAAGTCTCTCCCCTTCAGGCAGTTCTGGCTGAAACGCACATGTCGGGAAGGCAGCCCACTGCAGTTTGGCCGCCGTCATGCCACTGCTTGCAAATTTTTCTACTTCCGGCAACTCCCAAGCTGACAAAGCCTGAGAACATAGTACATGGAAACCCAGCGGTAGCCGTCGTAACCAGAGGACTTGGCTTTCTCAAGCTGCTTGAGGTAGGGCTCGTCGGAAGAGAGGTCGCAGCCGGACGTCAAATCACAAGACTCAGCCTTAACCTTTAGGCCTCTCAACCCTGCTTTGGCGATCAGCGCTTTGCCTAATGGATCGGTGGGGCCGGCAAAGCGGCGCAAGAAGAGGAAATGCCTGCGGCTCTTATACAGCTCAAACGTGGGCAGCACCTTCGCACCTGTGTGATGCTCCAGCTCGCCGTCGTTGTCCTTGCCGCTGTCTTTGTCGCCCCCCCCACGTCACCAGAGGCGTGCTGCCACGCTGCGCCTTCGAGCCGCTGCCATCGCTCCGCATCCCGATTGTAGACAAGCTCGAAGAGCCCAATGCCCATGTGACAAGGAGGCCTGCAAGTTTGCTGCATCCATGGTGATTGATCAACTTTTCTTCTTTTGCGGGCAATCCTTCGAGGGATGGCCAGGCGACCCACACGAAGTGCACGCGTGGTCCCGCGTCAACCTGCCGGGGCCATTCCCATTGTTCCACCCGAAACAGCGCTGCAAGCCGGACGGCGTTGTGGCACCGCTCTTCCCTGCACCTTTTGAATTTCCGCCTCCTTTTCGATTGCCACCATCTTGACATTGGCTGGTAGCTGTAGCGCTTGCACGAAGTTGCTTCAGGTCTTCCTTGTCTTTGGCCCGCTTTCTCTTCCTTGCCAATGCCCTCGTGTTCATCACCTTCGCCGCGTCGCCAACGTCGTCCATCGGTACGGTGTAGGCAGCCACACCACCTTGCAAGTTCGCGGCGATGTACTCTTCCTGCGGCGTCTGCACGTGACCCCTGCCGCCCTTGGCAAGCCAAGTCAACGCTGGCTGGTGGAGTTGCTCTTGCCAATAAGCGCTGTCGTCGAGCAAAGCCTTGAACACAGCGGCCGGAGGGGGTGGACTGTCCCGCCGCTGCTTTTCTGAGGAACTTGTGGGCCCACCTTGTCGTGCCCCACCCTCGGAAGAAGCAGAGCCCACAATGGAACAGTTTTTAGCGCTCCAATGCGCTCCAGAGGAGGGTGAAATCGGGCCTCTCTCCGTATGCGGAGTTTTCAGTCTTTGTTCCGTTTGCTCGACGGAGCCTGAAAGCTTCAAAGTACAGGTCGTACGTGCCAATCGGCGAAGGCGAGTTCATGATGAAGGACCTTCCAGGCCCAGCTTCACTGCTCCAGTGGTTAGCCTGCTTCAAGGTTTACAGGACAACGCTCATCATGCTCGACGCGGTGTCGGTTGCCACCTTGCAGAACTACCAGGACTTTGTCGAGAAGCTGGCGAGACGATACCCTTCTTGTTGGCACCTCGTCCTTCGTGCTGTTCTTGTCCACCAGAATCTCCGTATCGTCGCTCTGGTCCAGGACATTGGCCATCTTGACCTTGCGTTCCCCGACCGTTGGCGCAGCAGGGGTCGTCAAAGTTGATGGGCTCGCCATTGCCGGTTCCCTACCCATTCTGTGACATTTCCACCCCCAGCAATCCACATCGTACGCCTCGCCAGTCTCCAGACCAACCCGACTTGAACTATTGAGAGGTTGGAGCCGTCTGGCAAAACACATGTCGCTGCGGAACGGGCGAAGATATCCGGGGGAATCGCAGCAAGGTTGCGGACGTCGTTGCCGAAATCCCCCAACTGAGCTTGCACTGCATGCATCCCAGACAGCTTGCGTCACCCCGTACAAAGTACGGAGGTCGGCTATCGTCCGCATCGCCGCCGCAGCTGCTGCTGAAGGAAACATGTCCAGCGCCACTCGCGAGGCAAAGGAGGAAGGGCCAGGCTAAAAACATCTTTCCCAAAGAACGACCCTTGGGTTTGTCTGATAAAACAGCCGCCGCCACCAAGCAGCTGGCTCCTTGTCCTACATTACAATTCGTGCACTCACGGTAATTGCGCAACAAGAACCAATCTTGCTGATTATGCACACAAATTTCTTGCAGAAAAGAGACATGACGCAATGGAACGTACTTTTCATCAAAGAACAAAACAAAAGCATCCAACGTTCTGAAAGAACTCCGGGGAGCTCTGGGATTTTTAGGGTTTAATCGCTCACACTCGGTTTAGGGTTTAGGGTTGAGGGTTTAGGGCCTAGGGTTGGGGACTATTTCGCGCCAGTGATATGTACATGTGTGCGAGGCGGGCGTCGCCTGGCGAAGTGACCATTTGGAGTGTTTAGGACCCTTTTGCTAGTGGAAGCGCACTTGTGCTGGAAAGGAAGGCCATTTTCACGAAAAAGACTGTTTGGGCTCCACAGAACAGAACTGTTGAGAGTAAGACAGGCGTTTCAGCCGGATGTCCCGAACTCACGGTGCACGATTTTCCTTCATGCCCAAAACAAAGAAAATGGGCGTATTGAAAACTAGAGCATCCACGTTTGTTCCTTGCATTTCTTCATCTCTGGCGGCATCCGTTGAACGAACTCCCGATAACACATGCATGCTGCATTGCACATGCGTTAGCATCAGAAAGAAACAAAAAGAAAGAAAGAGACTGCAAGAGAGAGCGAGAGAGGGATAGACGAGAGACAGAGCGAGACAAGATAAAGCGACGAGTGAGTGAGGGAGGGGGCAAGACATCACTACTTACTACTGACGTGGCGGCCCAGGGGGCACAACACGCATGCGCACACGTACACCCGTGTGCAACCGGCCGTGCATCATGCTGAGTGATGGACTGCACCCAAGAGCTCCATGACACGTTCGCCACGAGGCCTCACCACATGCTTGGGGGTGACCGCATCATGCCTAATTTCGTAAACTGGGAAACGAGCAATGGTCAGTTAACGCAATGCCGCCACGAGTGTACATCCTGCCTTCTGCTGGAGCTCCAAAATGCAACATTGAGATAATATTGCTTCCTCGAGATTGACAGGAAGCCCACGCAAGCAGCACAAATTGCAACAAGTCATGCCTGCAAACGAGAAGACCTCTAATCAAGCATGTCAAGGCAACACAATCTGGCGACCTGGCCTGGAATTTAGATGTCCTGGGAGAGTAAAAACCATGCTGCCGCAAGCATTTAACCCATGTACACAACTGACTCAGATGATGCGAGCAAGAGGCTTTTCTCATCTTGGGAGTTGCTCATTGTGTATATAACGACCTGCCCAAAACACCACCAGCACGAGCCCAGCTTGAACATGTCGTGGAAAGGCCCCACTCAGCCCTCTGCATGTACAGGTGGTCCCCCTGCGAACCTGAACGACAGGGCACATAGCTGACTCCATCCACATGTGGTGGAATTCAGCAAAATCGGAGCCGTGCTGATCCATGTCGAGACGTCCGAGGAGCGGCAGTTTGAGCTGAGCGCACAAACAACCAGACAAGCAGTCTTATTTTGAGCATGCTCCGGCTGCCCTTGGCAACAACATGCAACGAACATAACGTAGGACCTAGAATCATTCACACTGGCCTGCCAGTTCAGCTTGTCCAGCCACTGGGAAATTCCCCAAAAGCAGAGTGTGTAGGTCGGGCCAACCTGGCAGAGCTGTCCATCCAACATTTCCTCTACTTCGGGCAAGGCACAGGCGGAACTACTCAAGACACAAACGGTGCAACTGATCCTGCGTCTAGCGCAATAGCACATGTGACAATGTGCGGCCTCGAAAACAATGTTGTCCAGCTCTTTACGGAACTCGGCAACCTTCTTTCGACACAAGCAAGAGACAACTTCTGCTTGACACCTCCCCCTTGTTTCTTGCTGCGTATATCACTTCGCGCATCCGTGTCACATCAAAATTCTCCAAGCCATCTAAGATCCGTTTGGGCCCGTGGCTCTGCCCGACCGCTTCGACCCTGCACAAACATCACACCGTCGTCGCAGCACAGACATCCCGTCTATCCGGTCTCGTATACTGTTGTTTCAGGAGATCTCTTCAGGAGATCTCTTGGATATTTCCGGGCTTAAGCTCTGCAAGGAACTTCCAGTTCAGAACTCTCAGGGTTCAATGGGCCCATCCAACGCACAACTCTCTCGAAAGCGCACGCTTGTGAGGTAACCTGCTTGCATCACGAAAGGAAGAGTGGACGCACCTAGCTCTGGGATGCATTCGTCGTCCAATTCTGGAGGGGTTTCCTCGGCACGACTGCATGAGCCCTGCAGACCTTCCGGGAAGTTCCTGAAGGCCCTCGCCCCCTCGGCGGTCACAATATACTGGTCAAAGGCCCACATGGGCATCGCAAATGTCGGCCTGACCGAAGAGCAAAAGCCGAGAAAGGCCGAGAAAAGTGCCATCAATGAGGCAAAGGAGCATCTCGAGCTCTGCATCCGTGCATTCCTTCACTGGAACTGGGGCCGAAGGGGGCCCAAGGCTTTTTAGGCGTACAGATCTTATGGGGCTTGCGCCAAGCACAAATCTTGGTCACCATTGAATTCTCCACATCCCGCCTCTCTCCACATTCCCCCGTATACCCATGTTCGTTCACGGTGTGTCGCTGTGTGTCCCGGTGTCCTCTGGGTTGTCACCCACACTGTGGTAGATCTGGTTTCCCACCACCTAGGGCGCATCAAGGACATGGCAGCCTTGGCCTTAGCCGCCTTTAGCCTCTGGAGGATGCTGAACCCAAAGAGCCCAAGATTGCTTAATTTAAGGAATATTAACCTTAAATCGTATTAGGGATCCCTGATATGATTTAGGGTATATTCCTTTAATTAAGCAATATTGGGCTCTTTGCGAATCTGTGTAGGGGCCGAACACCCTTTAACATGCGGACCACACCATCCATTGTCCGCTTAACGGACCGGGACATGGGCACCTGACAAGCCAGGGTTCTGCCTGTTCAGCATGGGTTGAGGTCGCTGTCTGAGGCTATTCAGAAGCTGACGTACTTCTCCAACTCAATGCCGAAGAACCTCTCGTTCATCAGAACTTCACTACGTCAGCTTGTGGCATGAACTTGCCGCAGCCCAGGGGCATTTCAGACTGTATTGGAGGCTTTTTGAACTTGAGCCTGCCAATCTCACAAGCTGGAGCGTGAGATCACATGGAACTGAAACTGGGCCATTGGCTGCACACGAGTTTCCCACAAACGCTTCTTGCCGATGAAATAGCTCCTGCCATTTTAAAACCATCCTGCCGCTTGCTTAAATGAAGAATTCGGCGGCGGTCCCGTACGGGTAGTCGCCCGATTTGTCAAGCTCCTGCAACCACCGGCATGTAACCATCGGGAACATACTGTGACTGTGATCCTCAACCCTATCCAAGGATGTCCACATGCAACGAGCGCCTTGTCATGCGTTGCACGATGCATCTCAAGCCTGCCCCAGTGCCCCAAGATGCACCAAGCATCGACAATTGTCATGCCTGGCTTAATTGGGTTTAAGGTGCCAACCAACCCTCACTGCGTCAGAGCAGCATCTTACCATAGCACGCATCGTTTTCGAACTCGGCAATCTGCCCGTTCACTGTGAAGCCTGAAGTCACAAGCACAAGCATCACGATTGGCGGTGCTTGTCAAGCCGGCTGCCTCCGCAAGGCACGAAGCAGGCTTCCAAATGTCGCTCCTGTGGCACACCAAGCCTCGCATTCACTCACTGCCTGAGCTTGACATCCGTCAACAATAAAATAAAGGCCAACAAAGCTTCCGGAAGGTACAGCCTGTCAAGAAAGCTGGAAACTGCGCTGTCATGGTAATCCGTCACCTGCGTGCCGGAAGCCAGTTGTCCACATCCACATCTCTGCACGAATGTCAAACATGTGCCTCTTTCTTCCTGCTGTCTCTCTTCGGCGCAGACTTGGTGCTGCTAGCCTCACTGAGCTTTGAAGCAGAGACATGTGATCAAACCGACACTGGTCCAAACACGTCCTGAGATGTCCGCCGAACTTCCACGAAACAGGAACAATCTGAGCGGAACTGAGGCGCATCTATCGGAATCCCAGCAGCAGCGTCCTAGAACTGAGCCCTCTTGCTGTTCCTGACTCTATTTTCTGCTTAGATGTCAGCGCACTGACACATGGAAGCCGGGTACCGCTGGGAAATCTTCGAGTGTTGCTGTTCATGGGGACTGCAGTATGCAGGTGCGCAATGGTTATGCATCACACTTGGTTTGCTGCGGTTTCAAATGCAAAACAAAACAGAAGTCTCGCACAACGTGCCAGAAGCTGCCAAAAGCTGAGACTGAGATACTCTGAGATACTGGCATGAGCAACGTTAACGCGACAAACACCTGCCGAGGGAGACCGTAACACACTCCGAGGATTGCGAGAGCAGATTGCAAGGCCCTGACAGCCGCCGGTGCCGCTCGCGCTTCCTGCGCCAGCTCCTCTGCTGCCTCAGGGTCTCGGACTGAGGCTGCGTCCCAGAAGTCAGATGTTTTTTCTGGGCATCCAACAGTTTTGAGCATCTCACTTTCCTCGAGTCGAGTCTCGAGAGCAAAGGCATAGCTAGGGCCGTTCGCGCACTACTGCGGCCCTTCCAGAATCTTCCGGTCTGGTTCAAAACATAACTGGTAAGCTTCCGGCTGCTAACTGCTGCCTCGTGCACGAAGCGCTTCCAACTTTCTCTGTCTTGTGATGTGCAATGCTTATTGCAAAAACGTAGCAGGCGCAGAGGAGCCCGCAAAACAGGCAGTTGCAAGACGCGCGACCCATATGCTCGAAGCAAAGCCTCGAGCACACTCACAACCAGAAATTTAAGTGGCGTTTCATTCCCTTTACTTAGTGGGCGTTGGTGATTCGAGTGCGCGGCGGTCGTACCATTCATCGCGCGGATGGGCAATTCGCAACTTTGAGCCTCCTGTACATGAGCACTTCGCCCGGTCCGCCCGACTGCAGAGAGTCAAGCACCAAATCCATGCAATCACAGAACACGCAGAACACGCACGTTCTTCGCTGACTTCATGCTCCGCTAGGCCACTAGACCTGGCCCTATAGCACAGTGAGACATTATCATAAGCTATTCCAGCTGCGCGCTTATGGCGCAGTGGCCTCAAGAGCCATGAAAGGGCTTTCAAGGCAAGAGCACCTCCTCAGCCTCCGACATCTGTCGGATCTACAGCTACCTCCACTACATTCACTACATTAAGACGCAGGTAGCTCTGAAACACCGAGCTCCTGCAAAGCAGCACCCATCTGCCTCACAAGGCAACATGCCACACGAATCTGATCTGCCACTCTCCAAGCTTGTCCAAGCTGCTGCGGCTGCAGCGGCTGGAGCACTTAGTTCGGCCACAGCCTGGATGGGGCTGGGCTTGAAACTACTCCGTGCGTGACAATTCCAAGCGCCATGCCTTTGCGGAATGTCGCCCACTGTAGTGCCTCACCACATGATTCTTTGCTCTGTCACGTGGTCGCGAGGCAGGTTCGCAGGTTTCTACTGAGTCCAGCACCACTTCTTGGCCTCGTCCTGCACGGCATGTCGGAAATCCGATAGCGCCTGCCAGCGCCAGCGGCAAGATGTACAAGACCTCTAGCCTCTCCTGTGCCTCTCAAGCTACACGTGATCTAAAACGTCTGAAGCGCTAGCAACTCAGCGGGATTCTGCCTTATGGTACCCATCCACGGCCATTCGACTTAGGCCAGCGCGGGAAGTAGCAATTTGCAAGCAATGAAAGAGTAACAAGTCCAAGCCATGTTCTGGAACATTCACATTCATGTCAATTTCATGTTTGCCCATCAAAACGACAAAGGCGCAAATGCAGCACGGACTTACCTGGAACAAGACACCTAACAAGTGGCGCAGAGATCAAGCCTCTTTTTGCGTGCATTGGTGTGATGGTTGAGAAGTTCGTTTTTGACTACCTCCATTTGGAATTCGCCTGGATCTGCCTGAATTGTTTCTTCCCTCACCGATTTGAACAAGATTTCACGGCAAGCCCAACATCTTCACAATCTTCACAACTAAAGCAACTAAAAAAGGCGGCGGGGCATGGCCCATCATGGCGTGACAAGCGTGGCCCCTTCGTGGGCGCATCCTGTGCATCGAGGCTCCGGCGAAAAGCGGCCCTGGGGAGTCAGAGCCAGAGCTCGGAGCCTTCAAAAAAAAGCAAGAGAATCCGAAAAAAAGGAGAACCGAGAAAGGAAGCTGAGTTGCTTGTAAGGCAAGTGCACAGTGGGGCCGGGACACGTTGGCCTTGCTCAGCGGTATAGAAATCAACGTATTTCTCTGTCCCTCTCTCTCACGTTTCCCCCGACCGTCCCTCAGAGCAGGACTGATAAAAGAGCATCAGGTTCTCGCTACGAAAGTTGCCCATAGTGCCGGCATCGACAGTCCCTACCTCGATGCAACTGGCAGATCTCATGTTATGATGACTGCCAAGTACGACTACTTCACGCAGCCTGCTGTACGGCCAACACCTCGCTCACTTCCGTGTCGGCAAACTTGCCCTCAGGCAACCAAGATTGCTGCAACGTCTTTACTTGACAAGACTCCAGCTATGGAGCCCTGCCCACAAAAGAGATGCCTTGAGGCTGCTGCGGAAAATGCCGCAGGCTCATAACAGAGCGCAAACCGCATAACCTGCAGGCTCCTTCTGCTACAGATACGGCCGACGGCAGGAGGTCAACAGCACCACACCTCTTGGTAGGGCCGCCATCCCAGCACTGGGACCTTCCAGCATGCCCACATAAACCACAGACTTCACCACACACCAAGTGCAACCAAGACCGCATTCCGAGTCTCCGTGCCGCGGGGGTTTCTGAGCTTCCTACTCGAACAGAGCACTTCAGTTCGGCAGCCGCCTGCCATGGCTTGTCCTCACCTCAGGACTGAAACACTTTTCCAGAGGACAATGCAAAACATGAGTCTGGGCTCCGAACTTATGTCCGGGCCCGACCTCAAACAGAACCCGCCGAAGGCGACACAGCTCGTGTGAGATTGACCGTCAGCTGCCGGCCACTGCACGTCACGGCCTCAAGCATGCATTGCAACCAGCCCGTACTGCCTCACTATGCCTCACTCGAACTACGATTGATAGCGCCCTGATGAGGTCCATACCCTGTCTTCGAGCCTGCCACACTGTGAAGCCACTGTGAAGCCTACTATGCTACGTCTGCTACGTGCGTGCCGCGGTCATTTCGGTCGAATGTTGGTCGCTGTACAACATTGGGAGAGCCTGGTAGCTCTGCATGAAAGTGCTGCCGCGACCCCAAAGTTGTCGAAAAATCTGAGTGTCTCTGCGGCACATCGTGAACGATTCAAAGCTCCTGCCAGCCCCCTATTCCGAACACCGAGATCAAAACATCTGCCGGAGGCAGGCCACTCCCTTCGGGTAGTAGCCTCGGTGAAAATGGCCATGTGCGAACACATTCCCACAGCCCGCGCATACCGTAGATCGCTGAAAGACGACTCCCAAAAGACCTTGACGTGACCTGCCCTGGGAATCCCGCAAAAAGACCAGAGGAAGCTACGACTACAAGAGGGCTGGTGCGCCCTTTAAAAGCGAGAAGGCCGGACGAAGCGTCTGCGAGCAGTTGCAGGCGGCACAGACACAATACACGGACATGCAGCATGCCTCTCTTTCGGTACTCTGGGGTAGCGGCTCTTGTGCATCGCAAAGGACCATCTGCCCAACGAAATGCTGCGACCGGCACTCTAAAGGCAGACGACCTTTGCGCAACGAGCCAGCAAAAGCCGGCCTCGTCGCGCAACATCTGCGACGCAGGAGTAAAGGTTGGAGAAGATCCCGAAGAAACAGAACGGGGCAGGTCGGCGACAGATCCTGGAACCCAACAGCTTCCCCGCTCCCCACACTCGGGCCATGCTGCATCCCTATAGTCTGAGCGCATCACTACCGGAGGTCGGTGCTTCACTGAAGGCACTGGACACGTCACCATCATACGGCTCCAAGTCTGGAAGCGCCAAGGCGTCCTTCACTCTTCACTCGCTCGGAGACAGCAGTGGCGCAGTGGCGACAGCAGCGCAGCGTCGGGTTGACGCAGCGATCTCCAAAGGTCCAAAGTCCTCCAGTTGGCCACCGCAAGGCCTCACATCTTGCATGCTGCCCGAGTTCAGGGAAGTCTGCTCAGTCTGAGATGCCCCCCCGATCTCGCAACAAATGGGGATCCACAGCTCTTTGCCCATCCGCTCTCAACCGTCGACGTGCACAACATTTGCGATCTCAATCTTGAGACACTGCCCGCATCAATTTGATTGATGCGGCAGATCAGCTTCTGGTGAAACAGCCTCTAAACAGAGAGTTATTGAATTGCTTGATCATTATATACTAGCCATCTCTTACATCGTCCATTCTCCTATGCGCAGACCCAGACATGTCAGCGGAAGCTGGTGATTTTCAACGACTTGTGCATTTCCTGGCTGTTCCAAAGATCAGCTGACTTCCACTTCATGGAGCGCCTGACCGAAAACAACAGGCTCTTCAGCACGCAGCGCCTGTCATGCAACACCTGTCTGCTGCATGCTGCTAAGGCGCATCGACTCTCGTAACTGAGCATCTGGTTGGTCTTGTACATCTTTAAAGCGGTGCTTGCTGCCTTCGAAGAATGGACATTGATAACCTTTGTCCTGCAGAAGCAAAAATTGCATCTGATGAAGTGACTGCATCATCTTTGGTGCCAGATGCCGTCGCGAGATGAGTCTCCTTCTGGGGATCTACGCCTTGCGCAAGAGCTGCTGGTGTTGATAGCTTCATCGACCCTCTTGTGAGCGAAGGGTGTGGATACCATCGAGAGTTCCTGGCAGGAACGACGCAAACCCTCGTTTGGCCTTTTGCGCTAGCATTGCTACCTGAGAACTTGACAACAAAACACAGCAACTCTTGGACAAGACACATCATCCGAGATTGCATGGCCCTCGGCTTGGGTGACTCGATAGCGGCAGGACGTGCCAGACGCATTGCACGACAACACGGAATGGCTTCCAGCCAGGCGGCGCCGAGAGTTCCTGAGACTCCTCAGGCTCCTGCGGGGGCTCACACGCACCGATGCTCACTGCGTTTCATCGCAACCGATGCAGATGGCGGAGGAGGGGGAGGGGGATGGTGGGGGGGGGGGATCCTCGTCTGCAAAGGCCGCCTCTGAAAGCGCCTCTTCCACGGGCTCCGGCTCGACCGGCTCTGGCACAGGCGCCGTCGGCTCTGGCACAGGCGCCTTCCGACAGGAGGGGGGGGGGGGGGGCAAAAAAGAGGCTACGGACTCAGTAACTTTGTTTACTGCTTACTGGAAACATGAGTGAGGTGGCTTAATCGCAAGTTGAGGCCTGTCTCAATATGCTTGAAAACATCGTAGGAAAAAGGTTCTTGTTGCTCTTTCTGCGCAAAGGGCAAAGAAAACCGATCTAGTAGTTGCAACTACGTTTGCACGTGGCAAGAACTGAGCACTGCCCGAGAGCCTGGCAAAGCTCTGTGGTTTAGGGTTTAGGGTTTAGGGTGTTTAGGGTTTAGGGTTTAGGGTTTAGGAACGTCCGCCAAAGGCATGCGCGATAGTGACAGTGCGTCTGGTTGCTAACGTTATACATGCCCCTGCGGCATGCTGCGCAACGCGACGGTGCGCGTCTTGTCCAGAAACATCAAACATCCTCCTGCAGTATGTTTTTCACACAAGCAACAACGCTGCAAACCCCCAGAAACTGCAACAAAACCAGCTCAAAGCTTGAGAATTAGCACTGCTGTCAACTACTACAACCACTACCACTACTATGAGGGCACTCTCCTGCCAACTCAAAGCTGAACAGGACAGGTCGGGAGATTCCAATTTCTGCGAAAACAAATGTGTGCAGTGCAGTTGGCCTCCTTCGATCAAAACGCGCCCTCTGTGCTTGAATAGTTACCCACGACTTGCTTCTTACGAGGTTGTGTGCATGCAGCCGCAAGCGAATGTCACCGTGTGTCACGAGGCTGTGGGAGCACCCAACAGCCAAACAAGTTCGCCAAAAGTGGCCCGATTGCTTCACAAGACTTCACAAGACTTCACCAAATCGAACCCATATTGCTGCCTTCGTCTGTGCCGCTGCGCGTGTGAGGCTTGGGACCGATGAAGCCCGAGAATTCGGCTTCTTCGTAACAAACGTTGCAAGCTTCCTCGGTGCAACTGGTGCCAAAGGTGTCCTTCCTGGATAGCAGTACACTTTGCTGACTTTGCTGAGGTCGGCACACTCCACCTTCTGCATGCCTTAACTGTCTGCGCTGCTCGCCCCGTTTACGATCGAGCAATCTCGAGACAACAGGCTGTGGTCCAGGTAGGCTTCCTGTAGCAGTTGGCCAAGCCGCTGCGAGTAATTCGTAAGCAGCCTCTCCTTCTGAAACCTCTTGCTCGCTGAATACACCAGCGCCGCTGATTGACCTTACGTACACAAGTGTACACAACACACTTCGCGCAGAATGCCTCATCCCTACAGTCCTACAGTTGAGTGATGGTGTTCAAGCACTGGCTTTCATTTTGCTTCTCCAGGTGCTCTCCAAGGAGGAGAAGCATATAGCAGTCTGAAGAACACAGTAGATGCGCGAAACAACACTTCGGGATTCTCCTAGACAGCGCTGCATCCTGAGAATCTGCTCGAGTTGAAACAACCCCCGCGTTATGATGCTACAAGTAGGTGCCGAATTTCTTGGTCTCCTCAGCTGGGCGAAAGTTCATTCGATCCTTCCACAGTTTCAACGACCGACTTCCGGTTTTGTTGCGTGCTGACCGGTGGCCTTAATGCCACTGGAATGGCTTTCTAGGTTAGAGGTTCAGGCCGGACGAAAGAACAGCCCTGGACGGCTCGGGGCCTACGAGTGAGCATGTGCAGCCTTGTGACACACTGTGGGGTCCACTAGTCCAGCAATCTGCCTTTGCTCTGCGTGCTCTATCCTGCAATACATGGATCATCAAAGAGAACGCATGAGAACACAACACCACTGCCACATCATCGGCATTCATCGGCCTCTGTGTTCCATCTCGCTCCAGCTGTCTCCCTTTGGGGAAGACATAGGCTGCAAAGGCCGTCTTGCGGAAGTTGCCTTCCAAAAATCGACGTGCAATGACGAGCATGCTAGCTTTCCAGATAGCCCGCCTCCAAAGCTACTGCCTGCAAGCGGAAGGCAGTCATGTGCCAATTCTACTCTGCTGAAAATGCTGAGAAGTGCGCCCCCTCACAAATGCGCACATGAAATTCTGAGCGAGGGTCCTCCGCTGGGCTTTTGCTCTGTGAACTGGGAGGCGAGGACCATATGGCCTTTTGCGTGGCCTGCCGGCGTGGGCGCATGACGTGTTGACATCTTGTGAAAGTCTTGGAAGCTGCGAAAGCCTCTGTTTGGCTGCGGCCCGTTTGGCTGCGGAGGGGACGGTTCTATTAGTTCTGTTCTACCAACTAGGCCCCAAAAGCCTCAGCCCACACGGCGACCGAGGCAGACTCAGCAAACTTTGTATCAGCTCTGCTTACTCTGCGGTTCCGCCTCACGTGCAAAAACCGGAGTGGGTACGCAGTGCTAACCGGGCTATGTCGAGTATTCTAGGGCCACGAGGCTGGCGAACTGCCTTCTACACCTCTCAAATACTCCCACATCACCGAGAATCTCCCAAACGAGCACGGGCCTAAGGCCTTACAGTGCAGTGTTCCAAGGTAAGGAAGGCACGTTTGCACTGATGAAGGCGCTGCCTCATTGAGATTGGCTGACATGGAGAGATTGAGGCATGTTCTTTTTGCCATCTGTCAATCAGGCCAAGCCGTTTTGTTGGCATGCGATTCCTGATCTTAAGGCTCACGCGAGAGATCCTCCGAAGGACTCTGCCTCACCAGCACAGAGATACAACGTTTCCAAGCATCGTGTGTTGTGAGCGATCCTTGCGGGTTGCATCATGGATGCGCCAGTGCAAGTCAGGGGGATCCTGGCATATCAAGTCGTGCAAACTAACACGGCCTTCAGCGCATGCCAGTCCTTTTGCAGCGTCACCATCCGCAAGCCCTCATCAACAACGAGGTACATGCCACTGATCGCCTGAGGCGGGAGGGTGGTGACGACACCAGTTCACATTTTTTCCTCTCAATTGGGTGCAGCACACTCTTGATGAAGAAAGGCTCATGAGGTGCAGGAGGACCGCAAGGAAAACAAAGCCTTTGCAGTTAGAGTCGGCTCATGCCCTCTGGCTCGAGTGTTGCAGCGAAGTCATCTGGCAGCACCAAGTGGGCTCCCGGCAACCAGCGCTGGTTGATGTTTGATCGATTGGCACTCTCAAGCATCATCGGGATCCCACCTTGCACACGTGCTTTCGTTTGTGCCCCTTCGATGCTACAGCCAGGCTCCTGCCTGTGAGAGCACGGCGGGGATGATGGTCCTGATCAAGCATATGATAGCACATGCATTGCATGAATCCACTCAAGTGCATGCATCTCCGAAGACGTAAGAGTTGCACATTTCTGATCAGGAAGCCCTCTGACCTGCCATCTTTTTGGATCCTGACCGAGCAAGGCTTGCGACTGTCGCTTCCTCACACGGACCACGGCTTGGACTCGTACAACCACTTGACATCCCCGTTCTTGCAGAACTGCCTCTCCTTCTGAACCTTGCAAGTGCTGCTGGGGGATTTGACGGGAACGAGGGAGCCTCTGCTTCTCAGAGCTACCGGCCTCAGAAACATGCACGATGTCGACGCGACAGTTTCCTTGCAGGGCGTCCAGTCTGCAGACAATACCATCAGTGCCATGGCATGTGCTCTTACCCTCGTCTTAGAGAGTGTCCATGCTGCTTCTTCGCGATTGCCCATCGATTCCCATAGACCTGAATGCAGAGTGTGCGGGGTCCCACTCGTGTGCCACTTTCTGGCTTTGTTCAACATACAGCGACCTACAGCCAAAGAAGCATCTCAGGAGTGAGCAACATTGACACGGGATGGAAACATGACGGAATGGGCGATAGGCAATCCATGTCCAGGTTCTGCTGGACTGCAGAAGTAGTGCTGTGAGACAGCATTCCGACTTCACGCAGCTCTGAAGATGTGTCTGTGACTTCGAACCTACTGGCTGTCAGATTCGACTTCCTGACTTCCTACCGGCTTAAGCCAGGCTCTCCAGGCGACAAAGCAAAGCAAGCAAAGCGTTCGATGTTGAAGCCGTGAACAAGCAAAGCCAAATTGGCTCTGCAAGATTCTGGAACGCTACTTTTGGGGTTCCGTGCTTTACGCAATGTCTTTGCGTCTTTGCGCGTCGCGAGACCTCAGACTTCACCATCCTCATTAACTTATCAGACTTGTAATGCTGCATCTTGCAGTGTCTTGTCGAATGCGGTGGAAGTCTTCCTACGCTTCTACTGAGATCAGCGAGGGACATGCTATGTACAAAGCTCATGCAAACGCACAGCTTGGGACGGAGTTGAAACATCAACACGTCCTCGAACATGGGCCTAGATTTGATTGGAATTCGACGGCTGCGCAGTACCCCGGTCACACTTGAAGACTTCGAAGAGGTACGCCAGTCGCACCTGCAGCCGCCCTCACAAACGTCCAACATCTCTAACAAGATTGCGGATGCAAAAAAGGGAGGAGGGGCAGGGACCGAATTGTTTGGAGTTGAGCCGACTGCAATTAGGGCTGTGCTTGCTGGACTTTTGCTGGCCACACACAGCTCCAGCAGGTCACAAAACAGATGTTCGTCCTAAAAAAGCATGCGACAACATGCCGCGGAATCATACTGCATCGCATCACCTCGACTTTGCCAGACTTACGCAAGACTCGACACACGCTGTGCAGCTGCCGCCACCTGAGCGGTGTCGTACACGATGTACCTGGTTGCTGATCGCATTCAAAGTATTCGTGCATCTGAAGCATGTGGGCATTGCCATCTTGCAGTGCGGCAAAGGCTCTCCGGCACGCGCAGTGCCCCGCCCTCCTCTTCCTAGGTTTCGGAAGTGACCATCGAGCAAAATGTGGCAGTCACACATATCACAGATGCAGCAAAGGCACCGTCATTCCAACCACCTTGCAGGAAGTCGGAGCGCGAGCCCACCCGTACTATGATCTTGTAACACGGCAGTCGCTTGGGCTGGGGCAGAATCATAGGCCTCAACTCATCTCACAGCATAGGAAACATGACTCACCACTGCTGTCGCCTGAGACTGACCCTCCTTGGATGTCCATGGAATGGCCCAATGCGGTCAAGAATCCCCTCTCTGACCTGAGCACACTGGCCAGTCTGTAATCAAAACGACATGCGCAGCAGACAGTTGAGGATGCGGCCCGTCAGCCAAGCCATCCAGCCTCGTCGGTTGTAGCCTTTTAGCTCCGGCTTGGCTTCCTTCTCCTTCGCACCACACCGGCGGATGGTCGCACGATATCGCACGAACAATGCAGGAGCCGTCCTCCCGGGTCTTGCCAAGATCCACCCAACACATCAGAATGTAGCCGCCCCGGCCCAGCACCCTTGACAAATCGGTGGGGCAAGGGGGGGGGGGGGGGGGGGGTGGTTGGTGCACAATTCTACCTTCTACCAGTCGTAGAATGAAAGCCATGCCATACCGTCGACGCGTTGGATGGGCGCCGGGGCCTTCGGAAATTGAAGTGCCTTAGGGAGGGGCCTTACGGCATCCTTGGCATCCTTGGCACTCGGCCTAGGACCCCAATTGCCCCAACTGGCTTCGTTGAAAAAAAGTGTTCGCTCGTTTCTCTCTCGCCTGCAGTGACTGCAGTGCTGGGCGTTTGCCATGCTCAAGCCATCTGCTGCGGCGTGGTCCGGACATGTCTCGGAAGCTCGCAAGACATTAGATGAAAAAACGTGGGCATCACTTCGGTGCGAAGGCCACAGGGTGGGCAGCGGCTGCTGAAGCCAAGGGCGGAAGCGAAGAGCATTCACTAAAAAAAATTGGCAAGGACAATGGTAAGTTTTTAGGGGTGCGAACTGGTCTCTTGCCGGTCTCTGTGTGTGTTCAAGCAGATATTCAAAATCAGTTTTGATGCAAGCACAAGAAATGGACCATTTCTCACATGAACACAGACAGGGCCCGGCCGCGGCAATGATTCAGCCATCTGCCTGCCTGCAGGTTGGTGTCGTGGTGCATCAAAGGCAAACTAAGTTCCCACAAGCCCCTTTGTGCAAGGCAAGACGCTTGAGAAACAGTACCGCCACGATTTCAACGGGCAATCTGCAAAATAGATGCCCTTGCCGAACATGCCTGCCAAGCACGCGTGTGATGGTCTCCTAGTATTCCAAGGAGGCTTTGCGCTTCAGAACTCCTCAAAGAACAGATCAGCAAATCAAACTTGCCAGGTCATCCAGGGGCAACGGGGGTTCTAAGTCCGCTTCATGAACGACTCCCATTTTGCGAAGAGGCCCCAACTAAGGCGGAAGAACAAGAAACCAAGGCGGAAGAACAGGCGGCCATTCACATACCAACCTGCTTTCACGCCGATCTTAAGATTCGCCCACTGTCTGCAAAATTAGATCAGTAGATGGTTCTAGTGCAAATCACAAAATGCTTCTACGGTCGTCGTACCGTCACGGCGATCGTCTTGCCACTCGAGCGCTGAACCTTTTCTATCCCAAAGAAACCAACGAGGACCCAAGCATCAACAAAGCACATGCCGAAACGGCGCCGGTAGCAAAGTTGTACACAGAGTCAACGCGAGCACGCTGTGACAGAGAGTGACCATCCTAAGTCATCCAAATCATTAGAAGAACAGCCGCTGGTTACGTCATGGTTTCTGTTTATACAATGCATCCTCCGCCAGATGTACCGACACATGAAGGGTGGGAGGCGAACAAAGACTCTCCGTTGGCAAGGGTCCCGTATAGCAGAACTTAAGGTAATGACCTCAATTGAGAACGCGTATCATACCCTCTAATTGTGAATGACCCATTGCTCTTCACAGGAGTTGGTGTCTTGCAGCGGCTGCGTTGCGGCGCCTACTGTCTAAACGTCCACCGCCGGTCATGCTCCCGACTGCAAGAACAAGCAACACGAGACCTGCATGGCTTGGGAGCCGGAACCCATCGCAAACAATTCCCATTGCCTTGGATCTCCATGTTGCACTATGTCGGTGTTTGAGTTTGGTATCTCTCGGACGCTTTCTGGGCCCAGCTACTGCTTCCCAGGGGGTGCCATGGAAGAGGCGCTGGCTCGAGCCTGAAGGCCGCGAGCCGCTCCTCAAAAAGGGGGAACAGAGCAAACGTGCACGGATGCCATCAAACCTGTCCCAGATGAACCTTAGGTCAAGGCGATGAAGCGGCGGCGGCGGTGATGGGCTTGTCAATGCCTAAGGAAGCAACAGGCACAGGTGAAGGTGATTGGCAGGCCAGCTTCATCCGACAGCATCTTCAAAGCAGACATGGTGCGGAAAACTTTCGAGACCTGCAGATCGAAGTCGTACTTGTGCGCCCAGGGCTGGCAAGATTTTTGAAAGTACTCCTTCAGACATGGATAGCGTGGCACGAGGTCGACATGTCGGATCTACTGAAAATGCGCATGGAGGTGCTTTGAGCTGAGGCTGTGCGGCCACGGTTCGGCTTGCGTTGTAAACTCCTCCGATGTCTTGTCCACCTGCCATCGAACAAGCGTGAGTGCTGTTGATTCATGCTGAGCTGCCGAACTGCATTAACAAATGCTGCTTGGCAGGCCTCGGTAACGTCTGGCCACGTTTTGGGGTCCAGATGATGCTGCAGGAGCAGGCTAAAAAACCTCGGTCCGCACTGGCACAAGAACACTGAAGCAGGCACACTTCCTCCTGCACGGGGAAAACACATGTTCCGGCCAGGCGACACCCTAGCACACCAGAACGTGGCCGCAAAGACAATCGACGTGCCGAACGGCTCAGTGATCAGCCATACCAGAAATCCACCAAATTGAACCTACAAGCAAGAAGGCTGCCATGCAAAATTCCGACGACACCTCATGACCTGCAGGTCTTGTACCATAAGGGCTGCTGTAGCACTGCTGTAGCCGAGCAGCCGAGAGCATTCCCACAACCACACCCACAACACAACCCACAAAGCCATAAAGCGTCAGCAGCGTCATCAGCACGGATATCGCGAAGCCCTGAGAAGATTCTTGTGCCGATTCCAGGCAGCCGTAGACTATATAGACTGGAACAGCGGAGACACATGCGAGCTTAACAGGCAGGAGTCTGCGATTATCAGTGCTGACAGGTAGTGCAACCTCAGCTTTCTGGACGACTCCGGCATTCACGCCTCTCTCCAACTCGCACTCCTGGAATTGCTACCACGTGGCAAAGAATGCGTGACCAAACCGAGAGGAACCACCATGACCCAGGCCACAGCCGCGGATGCCAACTGAGAGCAGCAGGTGTCTTCAACGTGGAAAAAAATAAAAGAAGTAGCTCTCTGGCGTAAGCTCGGTGAGACCGCAGGAGCGTTCCTGCTGCCGGGCCACCCCATGCTTGAGAGCCACTGTTGGCCCCTTCGTGGTCCAGTCCTAAGGCTTTTTTGTGGATGGCTTTGTGGACGAATACGGATGGATGCGGATGGATATGGGAACGGATGGGAACAGGGTCCGAGTAGGGCGCATGGCTGCGAAGCCAAGACTCGTAGGCGATGGCCACAAAAGCTATTGCACAAGGTATGGCGTATGTGGCCACAATCTGCACCACCGATCCTGCATGACTCAGCAGGTACGGCAGCGAGAAGCCCACGACAACCAAGCCCAGAAGGATCAGGAGATCTCCGCCAGAATACCTTTGGCACAAGAGAAGCACGGTCGTGGACGGCACATGGCACACCCGAGTGTTTCTGGCATGCAATCCCAGAGGCATTTTGCTCAGGGCTCCCAGCAGTTTTGGCTCCGTCGCCGTCTTGGGGGGAACAGGGGTGTACTGCATGGTGAACGTCTGCCCGGGCTTCATTCCTGGAGGAATCTTTGCCTGAACCTCAGCTTTGCAGATGCTGGCCACGCCTCAGACATGACTCCTCTGTTATAATCTGTTAGTCTTAGTTGGTCTTAGTTGCATCTCTTATACATACTTGCAGCTGAACTGCAATGGTACCGTCCGGGCTTTGCGCCTGCAACTCTTGACCTGGCTTCATGCCTGGAGGGATGACCACGTTCAGACTCTTCATAATAGCTTTGGGCGCCATGGCAGGCACACTGCTACTGCAGACGGCTTTGCCGCACTTGCAAGGCCCTTGCAAGTGCAAAACACCAATTGGTACAGTAGCTTCAGTTCACAGGATCGAACCAAAAGGATGATAGCTGATTCTGCGCCATACAAGGCCCTCACCCTGTAACATCTGCACAGGCTTAGTGCATCCCCGTACTTAGTTTGTGAGCCATTCTTCAAACCGAGCCGTGTGCTCGGCCAAACACAGGAACATGTTCACACGCACCGTGATCGCAGGACAGAAATGAGAGGCTGCAGAGAATTGCAGATCCAGACAGACCGTCAGAAGCCCAAGTGAATTAGCTCGCAGACCTAGCAACCTTTGCAAACAAAAGCACAAGCTTCTGCAAGCTCTTTTCTTGGGCAGACAGCAGCATCACTCCCGTGCTGGTCCCAGGCCACTGCGCTGCGGCAGTGGCACAAACCCCAGAAGCTCGTAAGCTTCAAGAGATACATGCTTAGCTGCTTAATCATAACACTATCATAGCTCTAAAGATGATTTACTTTGGTTTCCCATGGGCAATTTGATCGACTCAAACCATCTTTGTCATCCGCGCATTATCTTCAAGAAGAACTGTAAAGGAAATAATATGGCGTGACACACTCGCGGAGAGCTCCTGTGACAGCCCTAGCTTTGCCGCCGAGTGCAATTCCCGGTACATTCCTGTACCTCTCACTTTGCTCTCCTCGCATCAAACCCCGCCGTCCGCATTCTTTGCAGAGAGGAGTGCAAGTCCGAATCAGCAAAGGAGCAAACCGGAGCCTGCTCCCTAGCTCAGCTGCGGGGCCGAGACTCAAACGCTCTCTCCTGGTTCAGTGCAACGGCTTAAGGTGTGATTTGTCGTCGCACTCTGTGTGCGTGTGTGTGTGTGTGTGTGTGTGTGTGTGTGTGTGTGTGTGTGTGTGTGTGTGTGTGTGTGGTGTGTGTGTGTGTGTGGGTGTGGGGTGGGTGGGTGGGTGGGTGGGTGGGTTGTGTGTGTGTGTGTGTGTGTGTGTGTGGGTGTGTGTGTGTGTGCGTGTTGGAGACTGTGTCTTCCGAGTCTGAGGCTGCGTCTCCCTCCGGCGCAGCGCTCGAGTCACTTGGTGAAAGCCTGAGACTTCTTGGCTACTTCGACTACGTACTCTTTTGTCTCTCTAAGTGTCGGCCGGACTTGAACCGAACCTGTCAACATATGATAACATATGACAAACACATGCTGAACCACGCTGAAACATGCTGAAACGGGACGTGCCCAAGGCAGCGACTCGAGCACCATGTCCCTTGCGTCGAAGTCGCTGGCCCTTTCGGCCCTTGCACGCATTCGGTTTCTTAGCAAAGGCAATCTTCCGCAAAACTTCTTGATCGATAGACAGAGAGACAGAGAGACAGAGAGACAGAGAGACAGAGAGACAGAGAGACAGAGAGACAGAGAGACAGAGAGACAGAGAGACAGAGAGACAGAGAGACAGAGAGACAGAGAGACAGAGAGACAGAGAGTGAGAGAGACAGAGAGTGAGAGAGACAGAGAGACAGAGAGACAGAGAGACAGAGAGACAGAGAGACAGAGAGACAGAGAATGAGACAGAGAGTGAGACAGAGAGTGAGACAGAGAGTGAGAGTGAGAGTGAGAGTGAGAGTGAGAGTGAGAGTGGGAGTGGGAGTGGGAGTGGGAGTGGGAGTGGGAGTGGGAGTGAGAGTGAGAGTGAGAGTGAGAGTGAGAGTGAGAGTGAGAGTGAGAGTGAGAGTGAGCGAGAAAGAGAAAGACTACCTTCGAATACCTTCGAATGATTTGGGCCCTCTGGCTCCGCAGCTTTACCCTTTGGCCGTAAGCTTTAGCCATGTTGCAAATCTCGATATCCGCCAGAAGCCCTGGCGAGATGATGGGGTCTGGTGCCTGGCACCGCCAAAGGCATGACGCTGTGACCGTTGTAGGTTCTCTGTTCCGTGCCCTCTGATCCCACCACCTGCCAGGACATCCCTGCGCCGACTGAGGAGCTTCTCAACCTGAGCCTGAGCATGCTGGGAGATCAGTGCACGAACTTCAGATCTGTTCTCGCTGGCTGTGCGAATTTCTAGCACAGCTCTGGGCACTTAATTGTGCGACGTCCTCAATGATCGATCCGAGCCTAGGCTTCAAAAAAAAAGGCCAAAAGCAAAATGACCCGCATGCCCTCACCATTGTCGTTCAACATGCCTACACAGCATCAAGTAGCTACCATCAGCTACCCCAGAGGATGCAAGAACAGCGGGGACTACCAGGTTCGGGACAGTCCGGACGGCGCCTCGCCGGCGCCTCCTGCCCCCAGATAGCCTGCCGCCTGCAGCGGCACACAAAGGCTAGCAATGCTAGCAACACAATGCGCTGTGGTCATACTCAAGCAGCTACATGTTCAAGCACTGTCAAGCTGCCAGGCAGCCTCCGACTCAAATGCCATCCCGCCGGCCGCTCGGCGATCTGTAGACATGCTTGACTCTACACATGGGTCAACGGAGAGCAGAGAAAGGCTTGGGGTAGTGCCATCATTCAAGTCAGGCATCGCAGGCACAGCACCCCAAGCAGTCGGAGGTTGTCGTCCTTCAAAGCAGAATCATTGATCGCACTTTTGTGCTGCACGCCCGTTGCAGCATGCCAGCGATCGAAAACATATTGCTAGGCTGATTACTAATGAAACTTCTGCACAGCCTTGCACACGTCCTTCCGCTCCGTGGCCTTGCTGCACCGGCTGCGCAGTTGCGCGGGCCTCGGCCGCCTGCGACTTGCATCTTGCGACATGCAAAAAGCATCGAGTTTGGGTGCGGGCTTCGGCGGCGTCTTTGTGCCAAGGTGCACTTTCTGCAGGCACTGGGCTGCCGAACGATCGCCTTGCGCCCATGTTGCTTGGGAAGGTTCTGGTGGGACTGTCCCAAATCCAAATGTGAGCCATAAGTGTCGGCAGCGGCCTCTCTGCTGATACCGTTCGATGCGCCCTGGTGACACTCTTCTCAGGGCCACTAGGCCTCTCTGCTTTCTGCACTGGCAGCTGGGGAGGCAACGCCGCAGTGTAGAGATGACGTTCGGCCGAAGCCTCGCTGGCTGCAGAAGAAAAGCAGCTTTGCAGGACGCCACACGCTTTTCAACCCAAGGCATGTCCAGCCAAGGCCGCAGCTCGGTGGCCAGAGCTTCCACGGCTTGCCCGAGTGCTGTCCTGTGCTCCTTGTGCTCACAAGGCATGCCTTCTATGCCTTCTTCGATGTAACGTGCAATGCAAGCCCCCGCCTCTCAAGGCGGGATCCTTCCTGAACGACCCTGACCTGGCTGCTGTGCACGACCTTGACCTGCCAAGGCACGCAGAGAGAGAGGGGTAGAAGGACTTGGAAAGAAAGGCAACCCCGGGGGGTTGTGAAGTCAAGCAGCGCACGCATATGCATATCTTCTGCTCGCCCTGCCTCTCCGGATTCTGGACAGGACTTGTAGCAGACACCTCTGGAGCGCACTGCACAGCACATTTATCAGCTTATATATCTGTCAGCACTCATCCTCCCATGCACTATAAGCAAACTCTCACTGACCTTGATGGGTGAAGTTTTGGACAGCTTCGGGCCGCCTTGCATGGGCCAACCACAACAAGCAGCTCGCAAAGCTCGCGACGCCTTGAGAAGCGATGGGTCTGAGGTCGACACTGGCATCGAAGCGGTGGGACTGCCTGGCGGATACGGCAACCGTCTGACCAATTGGCATATGTTGCCGCGGAATCCCTGCACACGTCTCCCTTCCGTGTGTGCATCTCTTCTACACTTTTGTCAGAGCTCGTTCTCTCCACTGAGCGTACACTGTGGCACGACGAACCGCTCGTTCCTTACGCTTCTTGCACAGAATTGCTAGCTGAGCAGACAAAACTAGAAGAGCCCGAAAGGAAAGCCCCGCCACATTCTTACGGTCGCCAAGTTGATCCGTTGCTTCTCTTGCTTCTTATCTCTTCTTATCTCTTCTTTTATCTTCTTCTGTCTTCGTCTGTCTTCTCCTCTTTGCTTCTCTCTTCTCTTCTTCTTATTATTCTTGTTCTTCGTGTTCTTCTTATTTTCTTCTTCTCCTTAGTATTCTTCTTCTGCTTCTTCTTCTTCATTATTATTCCTTCTTCTTCTTCTTGGTATTATCATTCTTCCTGTCTTCTCTTTGCTTCTCTCTTTGCTTCTCTCTTTGCTCCTCTCTTTGCTTCTCTCTTTGCTTCTCTCTTTGCGTCTCTCCTCCTCCTCCTCCTCTTCTTCTTCTTCTTCTTCTTCTTCTTCTTCTTCTTCTTCTTCTTCTTCTTCACGCTCGCGCTTTCCCTCTCTCTCTCACATGTCTTGACTCAGGGCGCCATCGGCCTTGGCGAGCGCCCTTCGCAAGGCGAGCGCCTTGCTAGAAGGAAAGCAGAAGCAAAGAGGAAACAGGCAAATGCCTAGATTGTCTATTCAGCTCCGCGGTTCGGCATCGGATTTTTCTCGAATGGAAAAGCACGTACGTACACTGCAGGGCAGAGGTTCGTGTAATCTCATGTCTTCTCGCCCTGGCATCCGCTGGCCTTGGGTGCACGCCCTGCACGGATGGCCTGGAAAGGGCGCCAGCTGCACTGACAATCCACCTGGTGCTTCTGAAAGCGCCGGGCACTGAGCGAGATCTCTGCCTGAGAACATATGTCACGTAGCTCCTGCATTCTGGGAGGGCATCTTGAGATGCCTAAGGATCCCACATTGCTGGAGCACGTTTAGGGACCTGATGGCCGACCTCCCAACAGAAGGGCATGCAGTCCGGCAAGTACTCAACATTCTCACTGGGAAGATACTGGAAGAAGGCAGCCACTTGGTGCAAACGACTCACTTGAAGCGAAATGCTCAAGGCAGCTGCACAAAATGGCGATTGCTACTGGCTCAGCTCTGGCGGAAAGTTTTCTGAAGGCACCCTGCTGGGCGCAAGTGTCGTCTCATGGTGCAGTATGCCTGCCTGCTCTTTTAAAGATCATGCTGGCAACTGCTCTGCACGGAAATGCTGCGGGCACGCGCCCTCTCCACGATAATGGTGCGAAATGACACCCTGTATTCGACGCCTGCAGTGGCCACAGAACGAGTTACGGCACATGCCACACCGAATGTGGTTGAGGTTGCCCACTCGACCATTCCACTGTCCACAGGATGGGCAAGGGACGTCACCCATGCGTCTTCGAGCAGCCACACTGCCACGACCACCCGCATTGGGCATCTGAATGCCATTAGCCTGCTGAAACTGCGCGAACAACTCACGCTGCTCCCCAAACTCTTCTCTTAGTCGCTGCAGCTCATGGTCTACAAAACCGGGCTGCCGCTCCTGCGCCGCTATTCTTCGCACCTCTTCAGGGGTTTGTGAGGCACCCACACAAGAGGTTTGAGGTTTCCAGGGTTTTACATTGGTTTTAAGGCCGAGGCTTTTGTTTTTAGAGTCTTGCAGCCACTCAAACTTGTTGTTTCACATCCCTGAGCATCCTCGTCGTTATCGAAGGTTGTGCATTTGCTTGTCTTGAAATGGGCGTAGGGATCCTCACTATCCATTTGTGTACCGCAGCGATAGCAGAAGTGAGCACGGCACTGTGTGCAGTGCATGTGGTTGCAGCCCGCTGTGCGGTGCACACGCACCTTGCAATTAGGACAAGGCTGCGATTCACGTGCAATCTCCCTCAAGGTCCTTGGCTCCGACAAGAGGCTCCAAAACTGAATAACAGGTACGGAACATGACAAATCATGACAACCTCACAATAAAGGAATACATAGCATCGCAAAAAGCAGTAAGAAGTTCAGCAAGAGGCAGCAGCTCTTCCATCAAACGGCGCTGGCGCAGTCGCTCCACCGCAGCGTCAGCGCGAGAGCGAATCAAGCGGATGCTGAGAGGCCTGAAGGCGATTCAACAGTGGAAGCATACGGACTAAGGGGGTCCCACGCCGTCCTTATCGGTGCCTCCTAACCTAGTTCATCTGGCTCTCACTACAGGAGCTACGCCGCTACGCTTCGAGATTTGCAGGTGCCTCGTAGACTCCGCCAGTACTGTGGGTAGATTGCAGATGTTGTCGAGCTTGGCATCCCAGAGCGCTCGTCCAGTAAGCTTGTCTGGCACGCCCGCATGCACTGCAATTACCTTGTCGCCCTCGGCGACGTTGTCACGATCTTCGGTAACGTGCCCAGCTGCATCAACTGGGAGCATGTCTCCGCCCACGTCAATACACACCAAGTACCCTTTCTGTGCTTCACGCTTGAGCTTCCGCTTCTCCGCAGTACTTTGAGCAGATCCAAGGCGTCGCATGGCTGCTTGGTGTGCTCGCTCCTCCGGAGCCAAACATGGCTCTTTGCCATGGTACAAGGATGAGCACCTGGCGCAGAAGACGTACTCACACCGGCCACATCGAGCCACAGGGGGTGCTTCATCTGTCTCATCCTCTGGATCTGGGAGAACTGGCGTCTCGTGACCCGTCTCTTCACAGCGAGGACAGAGCACCAGATTCGCTGTTGTCAAGGCTCGGCGAAGTTTGAGCGTTTGCCAGCGCTCGTAGCCCTGCTCGTCCAGGACCTGCATCAACGCGCTGGGTGCAATCTCAGCCCGGCAACCAATCTCCGGACACAGCAGGTCGGCAATACTCCCTTCAGTCACGTGCATTTGGGCCATTGCCGTGACGCATGTCTTGCAAAATGCATGGCTGCACCCCCCCAAATGCACGAAGTGAGAACCAGGGTGCTCCGAGAAACACACCTTGCAGGTATGCTGTTGTTGCCTCCAGATGTCCAGACTTTTCCCCTTGTCGTATATCAACAAGTCCAGCAGCGTTTGGACCGGATCCAAACAGTTGGACTCGGCGCGCGGGTCCGAAGCAACAGAAAAGCCAACTTTCAGGGTAAGCGCAGGCCTCCCCAACGACCCGCCGCTGGCTAGGATGAAGTCTAACACCCCCTGCCGCAAAGCATAAACCCAGGTATAGATGACTGCCGTCCCTTTTGCCTCTTCCCACTGGTCATCCAAACTTCTGCACAATGAAGACAGCGTATCCCAGTCCATCCAAGAACAAGACAGCCGAAATGCAGGCGGTGCTGCGACAGGGTAGTCAGCTGGGAGCTTAAGCTGTAGTTGCACAGGTGGCAAGTGCCATACTTCAGCCTCGGCATAGTGCTGGCCGCTGGAAGACCTGTTGAGGCGCGGCTTTACTGCTGTTCCGGTCTCCTTTGCCGGTTTCGGTTGAACTCCCTGTGGGGCCCCTGTGGAAGAAGCAGAATTACCATTACTGTAGCCTCCACCGCCAGTGCCGTCGCCCACCTCATCATCATCTTTGGGCGAATCCACCGCGCGCAAGAGCAAGGGAGAGTTGCCAAGCTCACCAGCCAAATCTGGACTTACCAAGAGCGACAGTTCGACCTGTCCTGCATCATCACTGGTCACCTCAATCTCTTCTGGAAAGATGGCATGCAGCACTTCCACTTCATCCAGCTGCTCTGCATGGCAATCAACGTGTGACATACAACTGAAGGGTTGACGGTTGGAAAAAGCTGAGGTTCTATTACTGGATCAGGTGGGCTCGCAGATCGCCACATCTCAGGGATTCTCAGGGCATGTGCTGTGACTCATGCGGCTCTTGCCAAGCACAAGTGCTTGACAGCTTCAGCGTGAGGCAGCGAGAGTGGCGAACACGGCATCGTCTTACGTATAAGGATGGGACATGATGCATGATGTCAAGCATGTTGAAGCAGTGTGATTCAAGTTTCCGAGCTGCGAAGTACCGGCCAGCGCGGATGGCACGAACGGATTTCATCAAAACTATGCCTGAGGGGATCCTGCTCTTGAGTGCCCCTGCCGCGACCTTGGCAATCCGACTGTCCATCTGGTGCACTGATGCATATCATCTAGGTCGTGTCGTACCTGCCTACGTGTCTATACATGCACGTAGGCTTGCGACTTGCTTTCCGGAGTACTCCACCAACCTTGCATACCATGAGCGTAGCCACAAGGCCCTCACATCGACAGGGCGCTCAGCCCCGGCAACTTCTTGGCAGCTTCACGTGAAATGCTCTGAGGCTCAAACGCCCCGAGGCCTGGAAGATGCTCTCGAAATCTCTCGCAATCTCTCGCGATCTCTCGAAATCTCTCTCCATGGTGGGACTTCTGGGACTCGAGCGGCGGAGCATCTTTGCCGGCTTGATTCGAAGACGCTGCGCCTTAGCTGGCAAGCTAGGTACGGCCAGCGGCTAGTGCCTGCGAGCACTCCGTGTGGACGCCCTTAGACGCCCACTTGTTCCCACTTCCAGCATTGCGGTAGCATATCGCCTGGCGACGTTGTCTTAAGATCTTGAACAATCTGCACCGGGCTCCCAGGCCTCGTGCACGGGCAACCTAGATTCGCGAAACCGTCGTCCGCAGCAGCTGCACGACCTCGCGGGGAACAAAACGTGTGCGCATTTTTTGGCCTTTGAGTCATCCACGCTGCGAATGCAAAGGCGCTTGCCGTAAGTGGACCTGGCACTGAGTCATGTGGCATGCTGCAGTACCGCAAGCACGAGCAACATATGACAGGAACTCCAAAGCTAATCCAACCCGGTGTGGCTTTTTGTGGCTTTTTGAAGATCCGATGTCAGCTGTGTTCTTGAACGGAAAACGCCCTTTACGCCCTTTGGGGCCGGCGATGCATAAAAATATTGAACACTATGCTGTGGTGGCAGGCACACGATTCTGCATCTGAATGTGGTAGCTGCCTGTGCAACGACTAGAATCGTCATGCCTACCACTTTCCGTGCCAGCGCGTTTGCGAGGCAAGGACCGTCACTACCTGGATTGGGACAGCAAGACTGGCAGGTGTAGTGGCTTGTCGTTCGCAGGTTCGTCACACATTCAACGTCTTTGGAAAATGGCTGCTTGCTGCCTCTAGATTACAAGGCACAACCCCTTTAGGCGGGACCACAAACGCCCACGGAAGAAATTCGATTGGACCAGGTGTTGAGACAGCAAAAGAGATTTCACAGTTTGGCTAGCCGTGTGCAGTCCGAAAATCTTAAAGAGGAGACCCCCTAAGAGAGCCCCAAATCCTAAAGATGCACGTCTGCAAGCCTAAACCCTAAACCCCTCTGAACTCTAAACCTTCAACTTGAGCCTAAATCTGAAAGCAAAAAACGACTGTTATTCCCTCGTTCCTCTCTCTAAATCTTAAAGAGCGAAACCCCTTGATCTTTTCCCTTATATTTACTCTCAAATCCTATTCTCCCCTAAAGAGGGACAAGATGAAACTTATTCAAATGTCTTCAAACCTTATTCAACTATTCAACTTGGATAAGGCTTTGGATTCAAGATTCAAGATGAACCTTGAATGTTGAATCCGAAGCCTTATTCAAGTTGAATAACCCTTATTCAAGTTGAACAAGGTTTGAATCAATTTGAGTCAGTTTCATCTTGTGTCATCTTCTTCCGGAGTGAAACTTGCGCGCTTTTTTTTTTAAAAAAGGTAAATTTCGGGCTCGTCTCGGGCTCGTCTGCTTATCTACGAATTATAGAGTATGAGTTTCTCCCAAGAACCCACGCCTTTCTGATTCGGGAAAAAGGCGTGGGTACATTGGGGGTACCATGTATATATGGTTCCGTGTCCCGTGTCGGTACCCCCCTCCACCCCCCTATCCCCCCCCCCAACCCCCCCCCCCACCCCCACTAAACCCTAAACCCTAAACTCTAAACCCCAAACCCTTTTGAGCAACGGACTTTGGAGGCTGCCGGCAAACATGCAACTTCTTAGAAGTCACATCACGCAAAACATCACGCAAACTGTTCTATGCACCCATATCACCATGAGAAAGCACGCGTGAATTAAGGAAAGAAATCTGCAAGGCCGTGAGTATATCGAATAGTAGAATGCGCTGAAACTGTTGCCACATACGAGTAGCCAAGTGATGCAAGAACAAGAGCAAACTATCCGCCAGCTCTTCGCCCAAATGTAGCTGTATGACCAGGGGAGCAGAAAGCATGCAGATGTGCTGAAGTGTAGTCGCCCAGGAGTTACAGGCATCCGAGCCCTCAACCACAGCGAGATTCATCCAGCCCTCTTCGACAGACAACCAGTGGAGACAAAATCCTTCAGGGAGAGGCTGCACATACACCAACTGTAACCATGAAGGACAAAGACTGTAGAGCTTGCGAAGACAGGGCCAAGAATTGCTGGTACCGATCTTGGGACAGTAAGCATACCACTCAAGGACCTGGGGAGCCTTTGCAGCCCACCAGTCTCTGTCAGCAGCTCTCACAGCAAGAGCCTTATCAGTAGGAAGACTCGATCCACCAACCAACCGTTGGACCATGACCTTAACCCACCTAAGACTAGAGGACCACGGAGCTCTTTGCTGCTGTTCGCCCTGACAGCGAAAGAAGGACAAACGCGCAGGGTGCGAAGCATGCATTCGAAGAACATGCCCAAAATAGTTCCACTTGCGCATGAGCCAGGAGTCAGCCCACCGCCATCTGCGGTCAGTCAAGACAACTGACTGCACTGCGCGACGGCGCAATCGAAGCAAAGCGAATGCCAGTGATTGTGGAGCAGCATCTGGGATGTAGAGGTTGAGTGCGTTGAGTGTATAAGTGCATTGCCAGATGTCAACCTGTCGTACGTACTGCACTAGGGGGTAGAGCAAAGGGGCCAACCACAACCAAGTAGAAGCAATATACCGTTGCATGACCTGCAAAACCAGAACAATGTTGCACCACCCAATTCTGCACACAATCGACTGAAGGGACTGCCACGCGCCATGAAATGACCTCTGGCACTGTCGAAGCAAAAGATTGGTGGTATCTGCTGCACTGTTGGGGTGACTGAGCCTGCGTTTGAGATACACGATGGAGGTGTCCCAAGTAAACCTGGCTAGCATGGAACCCGAAGGAAGGCTGCTAACGACAGCATCGAAAACCGACGGGGAGGTCATCGCTTGCGACTTGCCCTCATGCAGCTTGAGACCAAGCTCGGCTAGTGCTTGCGCTACTTCCGGAAGTAGACGACGAGCATCAGAAGCATTGAAGAAGTTAAGGAGGATGTCGTCAATATAGACTAAACCGTAGGTATCATGCAAGCACTGCTCACCTCGGGCTCGCCAAACGTCAAAAAGCTGCTGCATGCGACGTGCAAGCACGGCTGCAAACAACTGGGCACTGAAACTGGAGCCCTGCTGTATCCCCTGCTGCTGATGCATAGACCACTGATGACCGAAGAGCTCGAAACAAAGTTGAGGATTGCGGAGAGCCTGAAAAAGACGTAAGGACTCCCAAGCCACCTCATCAGAGCAAACCTCAAGCAAAAAACTGCCCACCGACCAATGCGACATGGAATCGAAAGCAGCTTCAACGTCCAAAGAAATCCACACCGACGATGTGCCCCATTTCGCTTCCCTTTCAAGTCTATGGCAACAGCAGCTGACCGCATCCAGGGTCTGCGTCCCCTTGCATCCAGCCATTTGACACTGAGGCACTGGAAGCTGATCACCGATACGCCGAATCAACAAGGCAGTATTTAGTTTGGCCATAGCTTCGATTAGATTGATGGGCCGGAAGTCCTTGGCAGTCCGGATTACCCATGGTGAGGATTTGTGCCCCGATGTATCTTGCGCCCTTGAAAGTGCGTAAGACTTGCTTACACACCAACTTGTCGACGACAATCACTTGACCGAGGTACGAATCCAAGTCACTGGTGCCAAGGACAAAGAAATCATGCAAATCACTTTCCTCAGGAAGAAGATATTCATTTAATTCACCCATGGGCCTTGAAGGCACAGACCCCAAACCCCCAACTTCCTGCAGGGCAACGGCGTCCCAACCTTCACCAATGAGTCCACTCCAGTCCCCGAAGTTGAAGATATCGCAGCCATGGATATTCCACGACCCTACCTCAAACAGGGTTCCAGCGTCATAGGCCACTTGTGAGGATCAGTCTGTGTGTAGGGCCACTTCCACGTCGCCCAAGTCCTTTCCAGTGTACTCAGAGATGGCGGTGACATTAGCGTAAAAGCGAACGGTGACACCATCCTCACCCCTAAAGTTCACCGAGACTGCGCGGTCAGAGGCAGGAGCAAAAAGTGCATCCATGGAGGGCCCAAGTGCCCGCTTGTCTCCTGCCCACAGGAGCTGCCACTGCCAGTCCACTTCGATGCCTTTCTTACTGTCTTCGTCTGGGCATAGGGCCTCAAGCTTTCCAAGGAAGTGCCCCGTGACTTTGTTGCGCTGTCGTCTTTCCAAGGTACGATTTGGGCTAATCCAGATAAGCTGGCCAGCCGTCGTGGAGAACTTCTTGGAGCAGGCCGAGTGGATCTCATAGAACCTCTCTTTGGCAGTTTGGAAAGGAAGAACATCCAGATACACATGCGCGTTCCGTGTTCGTGGTCCTCTAACTTGCACCGACTTCACCGGGATCTGAGGGAAATTGCGCAGAAGAGCCCAAGCATCATCAAGCACGATCTGACGTCGACTATCTGTCCCCCAGCCGCCCAAGACCAGGTGGTTGAAGTCAGTCTCCATTGTCTCCCCACCTGGCTGGTTTCGATGGCGGTCCGGAAGCTGGTCCCTAGCAGGAAGCCTCGCCGAAGGTTGACGATCTGGAGCTGAGCTGGATTGCCCCCTCTGCAGGTTCGAAAGGTTCGAAGGGGGAGGCGTCGCCTTCATCTTCATGACTTCATTCTGCAAGGCGTCCATCTGTTGTTGCATTGTGTCCATGCGATTCGAGTGTGCTGCATCCGAGGTTTCGATCTTGGTGCGGAGTTCTTGGAAGCCGCCTCCGAGCCTTGCAATCTGCTCAGAAAAAACCTCCTTCATGCTGGTGGCCCACGCGGGTTCTTGCTGTTGAGCCCTGAGCAAAATCTGAAGTTGAGCCTCTGCCGACATGGTTGAAAGGCCTGGGAGTGCAGTTGATTGAGCCCCCTCCACCAAAGCAAGTGGCTCTGATTCCCGTCCACTTGCTAAACTAGGCCCAAGCTTCGCCCTTTTGGGAGATTCTCCTCCGCTGGCCAAAGCTGGAGCACCATCATTGGCGGGATCAAGTTCATCATCGCTTTCATCGGGTATCGGTATTGTACTCTGACGTGCCCCTTCAAGATCAGTCCCAATGCCCGCCATGAGCCCTCTACTTGGAACCCCACTCACGACTCAAACCAATCCTCGAGCCTAAACCCTTGAGCCGTAGCCAACCCCAAACCCTAAACCCTAAACCCAAAACCCAAAACCCCTAAACCCCTAAACCCCTAAACCCTAAACCCTCAACCCAAACCCCAACCACAGCACCCCACAGGGGTGCCCAAACCACAGGGGGGCGGCGCGGGGACCCTACACCCTACACCCTACACCCTAAACCCTAAACCCTAAACCCTAAATCCTAAACCCTAAACCCTAAAACCCTAAACCCTAAACCCTGAACCCTCAACCCTTAACCCTAAACCCTAAGCAAACCCAAACCCCAACCACACCACCCCACAGGGGGGCCCAAACCACAGAGGGGCGGGGCGGGGAAAGAATTTGGGGGGGGGGGGGGGGGGGGGCGGGGGTACCATGGGGTGGGGGGGGGTGGGGGGGGCAGCGACGCTGCACCACATGCACATATATTTTTTCTATTTGTTCAACTATTTATATTTATTTATGTGCTCCCGATCTCTCCCTTCCTTCTTGGATGGGACTTGCCCTTACCGGCCGCTGATGATACGGAATACTTCTCATCTTCAGGCTCTAGAAACATGACGTGCACCCTGCTGCCCACGACGACATCTGCTACGGAAATCAAAGACACTCTGGAAAGCTGCGCGGATGGCAGCGCTTCAGCCAAGTGCGGGCCTGAACAGCAAAAAAACTAACGCCTATATCGACTGCAAGGGAAGCTGGGCGCCGCTGAACATTGACTGAAGCTGAGGAAGAATATCCATCAGTCTCAGAAGGGCCTCGTCATGTTCCATCAGCACTGGTTCCAACGAATCTGCAAAGTTTGCGAGGGCCTTGGAGTTTTCGGATATGGCAAGGAATTCTTTGTCGAGTCGGGCTTCAAAGTCCAGGTCGGGGGGCCGCTGCACAGCGAACTGCACAGCTGATTGCGCAGCTGATGGCACAGCTTTGCATTCCTTGTCCTTCTCCTGTTTTTCCTCTTCGTGCTTGTCCTGCTTTGAGCTGCACTTTGATTCCTTCCGGGGCATCTCCGATGTTGTCCTTCAAGGTAGTCCCCAGCCCAGGTCCCCACAAAGCTTATATAAGCTTACTGTTGCAGAAGGGCCTTCATATGCCCAACAAGTTTAAAGTCTGCCTACTGGGCTACTAAGCGTCGTTGTGGCACCATCGGCAACATCGAGATCGTCCAGATTGTCCAGAGATGAGCTTTGGTATCGTGAAAGGCTCCGCACCCTGTCTCCATGCGACAGTCTCCTGCGGAAGATTGCACTTGGCTTCGAACTTCAAACCTACATTACACCTACCTTGACTTCCTCATTGCAATCTTTCAAAACTGCAGTCCAGAGCATGTCCACGGACCGCGGGGCACCGGCTCGAGTGTAAGACAAATGGTCGGAGCGCTCGTGCAGGAGCAGCAACAAGCCCTGGTTCATCTCACGCTGGAAATGCTGTAGAGGCAAATCGTTGTCGTCCACGCCAAATGGCATCTCTAACTCGGAAGCCACGATGTTGAGCGCGATCATCGCGAAGATGGGGACGAAGGCCACAGGGAGCGCCCAGTAAAGGGAAGTTGTTATGGCGACGATCGTGAAAGGTGTAAAAACTGTATGCACGACAAGTAGATAAGTGATGAGCTGGGCCCAAGGAAATGGGAAACTGGTGTCCCTGATTTTGATAGCGTTCAACAGATTAACAAGCCCTCGCGAGAGGGTTTGGTATACACGGGAGAGGATGGGAGGAGGTATGTCCAGGACTCCTGTGTGGATGTGATGCGTTACAAGCACCTGGACCATGTGCTGAAGGGCGCAGACACGATTCCAGCCATACTTGTCCTGGCAAGTCTCGGTAAAGCTCAACGTCTCCTCGTCCAACGATTCCTTGTCGATTGTGGGGAAGCGATCACGGCAGCCAGCTATTTCATCCAAGGCAGCCTCGTGCATGTGGCTCACGAGCCGAACCAGTGTTTGGCGAAATTGAAAGACTTCGGTCGGAGCTGATTCTATCGAAGCTTGCGAGAATGTAATCAAACAGCTGACAGAATCAAAGTACTCGCCCCGCATCTGGTGCAGCAGGCTGGCACCTAGTCAGGGAAACACAAAATATAAACAATGGCTGCCAACAGCTGCGTGCCACATGCTTTCAGCTTCGAGGTATGACTTGGAGCATGTGGCCTTCCCAAAAGCGATCGAGCGCCTGTTGAGTTCGAAATGCGATCAGAATTCCTAGCGTCACGGTCAAGCCAGACCACACCTGGAGGGGTTTCCAAACTCGAAACACTTGGCATCGCCCCGCAAAAATCAAGAAGGAACGTATTTGAGCCCTGCGACCTGGCCAACAGTGACATCACCAACGCTTATCTGATCCAGGCTAACCTCGCCATCCACAGCATACAACGCCGTCGTGAGGAAGAGGGACGGCAATGCCAATAGCAGTGCTTTCGGAATAGCGGAACCTTTCAGTTTTAACAGGGTCGCAAAGCCATCATCGTATGTGATCATAGTCGGGTCAAACTCACAAGCTGAGTCTGGACCCACGCTGCGGACAGTTTGCGACGCATGCCCAGCAATACTCAGCGATGCTCAGCAATGCTCAACGATGCTCAGCAGGCAGCAGGCTGACATGACATCAACACCTCAAAACCTTGAAAAACTTGCCATAGAATGCCTACGATCTACGACTGGATACGGCAAGAAGAGACAAGACAGGCCGGCAGCACTTCACCCAACTCGATTGTCGGGTTTCTTTGATTGCCCGTGGACAGGCCAGGGCCAGGGGAGGAGCGGCCAGAAACCGGAGAGGCTGCAGTTTTCAGTGGTGTGTGGTGTGCCCCTTCCGCCTCTCCCCGAGCTCTCCACACCTTCGAGGCGGAACCAGGATCTGCAAAAACACCGGAACTGCTCTCTGCCCATGCAGAATCCTGGCCCGAGGCATCCATGGCATTCGAAAAGGGGCTCCAGACACCCGTGCTGACGAGCGTGTCATCCTGAGCCTCTCGGGATCGACGTCTTCTGGGAGAGGGGGTTTTCGGAGGATGGTTGACTGCAAAACCGCGGTCGACACTTGCTGATTGTGTCTTCGGGCTTTTGGAGACGTGGCTCAGGAATCTCAAGATCTCCTGCTCCTCGTCTTGGGAGAATGTGCCAATATTTTCGGCATGAACGGCCTCCTGCGTGGCATGCCGCAAATTTGGAGGCAGTCGCGGGGGTTCTGGGCAGGAACTCAGGGAGTTCAAGCTTGGCGCTGGCCACGGGAATGGCGGCTGCGGCGAAGGGGCACCAGCGCGACGTGCGTCCACACCGGACCCCATGGTGTGGGTTTCAGGAGACGCGGCCCATGCTGGTGGGCTATCGACAAGCAGCTGTCTCCAGCTTAATGTACGCTTCCAGGGCGAGGCTTCTGCGCCACTTGGGGAGTCGGGACCTTCATTTCGTGGCTCAGATGCCAGCCGTGGCACCGGTGAGACTTGTCCCACATGTGGCGCAGGAGAGGCTAGCAGAGGGAAATCATCTCCCATTTGCGGACGCATCGCAAAGAATAAGCTGAGCTACATTAGCTGGGCGCTGATGTTCTTAAGCTTGATTCTCGACAATTGACGAAGCTGAGCCAATCCTGCCAGAAAGCGAACCCTGCTTTAAATGACTACAGGAAATTCCAAGACGACTTTGCCAAGCCTAACTTTGGAAGTGACGCAGCTAATGAAAGACAGACTTGCAAAGATTGCACTAAACTATCCTTTGTGCCCGAGCTGGAGGCCGACGGCAACTTGATCTCAAGCACTTCTGCCCCACTTGCTTCAGAAAGCTGCTTAGCCCAGCTGAGCCCTGCTTTGCTCTTTTCGTTGCACGGCCATGATCCAGTAACGAAGCACGACGTCCGTGCAAAAGCGTGCGAAACAGGGCAGCAAACATGTAGTTCAACCAATGTTCGCGCGATACGACTAAACGATGAGCGCTGAGGGCTGGCGCGGCTACCAAAAAGCCGCCCCTGCCGGCGATTCACCTGCAGGAGGCATTCACAAATCCAAGTACACAACGAAACGAGATGGGCAAGTCAAGGGAAAGTAGCAGCTGAGGTCTACTTCGTGCAGCAATGAGAACGGCTGGGAGTTGCTTTCTTGCACCATCTTTCACCGCTCTTTGGGCCCGATGCGAGGCCTCGAAAATACGGTCGAGGGTGAAAAGGGCCAATGGTGAAAACGGGGGACATGTCTTTGCGACGCAAAGAAGAAAAACAAGGTACACTTGCGGTACGCAACGAAGCAGTCTTCAGCTGCGACCAGTCAGACTTGTGAACTTACACTGTAAAGTCCTTTCCGTCGGCCCCCCGCTCTGAGCTTTGGCTCCGACATGTTGGGATCATTAGAAGCTGACTCTTCTGTCACAGGTTTCCTGCTGCTCAATGCGCGAAGCTCGAACACAGAAAGTCTCGAAGCAGTGCAACTTGTGTCCCTTGCTGTCCTCGGAGTTGAGATAGAAACCCTGGAAGCCTTGTCAGATGCTAGGAAGCATCCTTCAAAGCAGAAGCTGAATCACTGGCACTGCTGGTTGAGCTGCTTTAAGGCATCTGCACCGATCACACTTTGCCGGGCCAGCTTTGTCGCAGTTGCTGCAACGATCGGCGCAGCCAAGGCACCTTCCCACAGCTCAGGGTCTAGAGACGTCTCGAGACTTCTACTATCTAGAAACTGATGGTGCACGGGTTGGACGCCCAAACTGCCATCGGTAGTACGAGATTGCTAACCGAGCGGCTTTCCATCGCGAGCAACCCAACCACTGTGGCAGACTTTGCAATCGTCGATCGAAACACATTCTGCACAAAACTCGCCACAGTCTTGGCATAGACCTCCAGCACTCCAGCACATCACCACTGGGGTTGCGTTCAGCCTTGCCGGGTCCAGCCTGACGGAGTCACGCCGAATCCTTTCCGACCTCACGGCCATCCGAACAGAAGCTGCGTCTGAGTGTGAGGGATAAGCAAGACTGAGACGCCCACAGCGAGTGCAACGCCAAGGCTCTCCATCGCAACCCAGGCAACTCTCTACCTGCAACAAGATTCCTAACCCATCAAGCCACAAGCAAACGGTGACAGCCGCACCTGACAGGCCGTGCACCTCAGCATGGCGAGCATGCGCATGAATGCTCAGCATGCACTGCGGCATCGCTCTGAAAGGCCATGGGCCCCCACTCCATGCTCACCCTGTCCAAACCGAAGCCTGCACTGCAATCATCACAGCCGTGCAGGCCAGTGGACCTGGGGCCACTTCGCATCGCGGGATGGCGTTGCCCCCGTTACTTCTAGCAATGTGAACACTTAGCTCAGTCTGCTGCGAACAATTGCGGCAGTTCTGGATACAGGGGTGGCACTTCCAGTGCTGGAGAACCTTAGGTAGGCTGTCACTCACTCGCCCGTACTCTCGCCCGTAGGCTGACTCGGACGCGTTGTCCACAACATTCCAAGACGATGATTCGACGTTTTGTTGTTTGCCACGATTTTGATCTTGGCATCCGCATCGCTTTTGGCGTAGAATGGGGATTTGTCGGATTTGACTAGTTATTATGACTGATATCCCGGTCCTGTGGATTGAATAGATGTTGTCCTGCGTTGTTTATGATTCTGCTGGCAGTCTCTGTTAAAATCTGGCATCGAAGTCTCCAACGGTAAGATGCGGATTGCGGCTGCCGTGTTCGCCACGCTCTGAGGATGCTGTTTGCAATGCTGCAGCTTTCGTTGGATGGGCACCCTGCGTGTGTCGTGCGCGTGTACTCGTGATGTTCAACTCGGTGATGTTACTTTTGAATCAAATGGTAATAATACGGTTATCATGTTGTTCGACATCCAGCTTGCCTTTGCTCAGGAGCTGATTACAAGTTCTCATTCTTTCTGCACCTACGCTGTGCAGTTCAGTCAGGGGCAGTCCTTTTGTGTTTCTCGCGACCTTCTCGTGAATTTAATATTTCTCTTGCTCCTCCTGTGCTTTTGCTGCATCTTCCCGTTGTTTATCTGGCACTGATGAGGAGAAGACTGACTCCTCACCGGCATGGAAGTCTGTGGGGCTGGCGATGTGTGCTTCGTAGACAACAACATCTAACATATGCTCTTAATCATGTGCAAGGCATTTAACTTCTTGCCTTGCAGGTGTGTGATGTAAGCCTCTGGCTCCATCATAAAGTGCTTTCTTTGGGTGCCAAAGCCGGTGAACACTTCCCCAGCATTCCATATTGTTTGCGCCTTGCCTGTCGCTTCTGGGCCTCATCAGCAGGGAGGCTTGTGATCTGCAATGTTTCGGCCATTCTCGGTTTGATCTTCCAGGCAAGCTTGTCTTCTGAGTTTCCCTGAGTTGCTTGTGCACTAACATGTCCTGATAGTTGGCGAGGTTGATATGGGCATCTTTGTGAGCTTGTTTTTTTGCATTTGGGGCAGCATTTCTGTCGCCTGACGTGCTCGAAACAACTTTGTATTTACCGTGTAAAGGGATAACATCCCTTGACGGCACAAAGGCTCGTTGGACTGACATCATACGTTGAAGCCAGAGACAGCTCAGCCCAATGCATATCCAAGTTCACACGCTGTGCACTCTGTGTGGGAAAATGGACATTCTCGACAGCCATCCGCACCTTGGGTAAAAGCAAGTCAACATGAACGTTGTGTTTTGAAACTGACGTCCTGCGTGGACCTCCGTGGACCTCAGGCTGCGTCACTTTGCGCAGGTTGCGTTCTCGGCGGGGCCCCACCCATGCTCACAGCTTTCGCATCCGCCATTCTCCAGACATCTCCTTTCACGACGACTGACGAGTGCAAAATACTCTTGGCCTTGCCCCTGACAGCTGCTGTCAGATCGTATGACCGCATGACCCACGCGGCAAGTTCGCGCCTGCAGTGTGGCCCACCCTGCACGACTGAACCGGCAACCACACAGCACATGTGACCCATGATAGGACAGGCAACTCGACAAGAAACAACCGATAGGTACTCGGCACATGTTTGGCAGCTGCCTCAGCTGTGTCACGCTGACCCAGGTCCACCACTGACAAGAAGTCAAGTTGCAGACAAGTTGCCATTGAAGCTTATGCCTAATCCATGCTCGCACTCCACGCACTCGCCCAGATCCTTCTTGCAGAAGCATGCTCATTCAAAACGCTCAAAACAAGATCTTGGCGCGGCCTCATCCAAACAGCGTGAACAATTCGCGGCCTTGCATGGCTGACACCTGTAGCGGGTGTTGCATCATGTACCCGCTTTTGGCAGAACATCGGGCGACGGCCTCCCCTGCTGCAGCCCGAAGCCGTTCTTGCATCCCCCGCTGTCGCATCCAATGGACTCCTCGCGGGCATGGCAGTGCGGTTTTTGCCCCCCTCTGCTATGATTCACGCTGGGCAGAGGTCCGAATTGGACATGTTGTGCCCAAGGGCATTGAGCTCGCATCTGTCGCCTTAACATGTGGGCAGCTTTGGCGCTGTCCCGCACACTTGGGAATCAGGATAGCTACAGATTGCAAAATCCAATGGGAGCTCCCAGGCAGACAAGTCACAGTTCGCCGCACACGGGTAGCATTTGCCAACGTGAAAGTGCGTACCTGTCGGGCAAGTGATGAAAAGATGACTGTTGAACGTGTCTCTGCCCATTGCCTCTGGCCTTCTATGCACTTTCCCTCGTCGCACAGCCGAGGTCCCGCAAGTTCGCACGAAGTGCAGTATTGCGCACATGCAGGTATCAGCCTCAAGCAGACATGCAAGATGCCTGCGTGCAACATGACTGCACGCCGGCGCGAGAACCCACAAGTGCGCATGTCATTTTTTGCCATCATCGTGTCAAAAGATCCGCCCGACACGAGTCAAGCACATGAAATCTTGACAAGCCGAAAGCTCACGTGCTCTCAAAGCCTTGTCATACTCTTCTCTCTTAAGACTTGCAATGAGGGACAATGGTGGCGACTTGCATGAAGACTTGTGAAAACCCAAGCAGGCCTGTAAAGCTATGTCTGCCAAGTCCGAAGACACACCCACTGAGCGTAGCTGAAAGGCTATTCACAGAGTTGCTAGACCTCCTGTGTTTTGCCTTCGGACATATTTTGTATAATGCTATTTCTTGTGATGATGCAAGTGGACGAGTGCTTCGATTGCACAGAAAAATTACTGCAGGACGTGGAGCTCTGACACGCACCTTCGTACGAGCTACCACAGTACAGTAAGCATGAGCTTTGTTCCAATCGACAGCATCCAATGCGTGCCTGCGGCAGACGGGCAAGAGATGAAGGGTGATATAGAGTGACCCTGAGTCACTGGCAAGCTTGTTATCGCAGGCGTACCAGCCAAAGCATGGCCTCGGACACCCATCTCTCAGGCCACCTTGCGCCTGGCAGAATGCAACGGAGTGCAACCCTAAGCCTATCCGAGATCCTGGCTCATGGGATTCTGCGCCGTCACGTAGACCATGTACGTTGACGGGGTGTAGGTTGCGGGTGCGTCGTCCTGCTGAACCGAAGCCGAGATGAATTGCTTCGAGCTCCTTCAACTGCTTGCCAAGCTTGCTTTGCCTGTATGCCGGGGATCAAAAACGTAGCTTCGAACGGCTGAAAGGTCTTGTACAGCTTCTCCTGGGAAGCATGGAGCCTGCATGGCCTCATGGTAATGAAGCATCTCTTCGCTTCCTTGCACTTTGCTGCATGTGGGTCCTTCTTCAACAAGTTGCTGTAGATTTCCGGGGGGAAGGAATTCTGCTCAAGCCAATGGTAAGCCTGACTCCTTGCACGGACATATATGCAGCACAAGCAGTACGATTGCCATCAGCCAACGCTGGCTCGCAGCATGATGCAGCCAGGCCTGACCGTTTCTGCACCTGCGCGTCAGCTTCCGTGACATGGACAGGTCTTGATCTTGATCCGGCATACTGTAAGCGCCCGGCTACCAGACTTGAAAACACCGTTGTTATCTGCATCTTGTCCTCTCATGACCTGCCACAAATCAGAAACGTCAGCGAGCCACATTGCTCGGGAATTGCGAAAACCGGCCTGCAGAGAGGACGGTGTGATCGGCTGCGATGTATACTCCAAGGCCACCCAATGCAGCCCTCGCAAATCTGAAGAGAGCTCCTCTTGTCCTTTTGAAGATGACAACTGGATCAGCTGAATGCTGAGCAAAAGGCTGGGTGCCATGGCCAGGTCCTAAGAGGAACTGGGGCGCTGCTATGCGCTCGCGCCAAGCTGAGGCCATCTTAGGCCCACGCACTGTCGGGATCCAAAGCTGCAAGTAGCAGTACGGAAACATTTGCAGACAAGCCTTGTCCTTGGCTACTCAAAGTATGCAATGCCAACGAGGCGACAAGCGGCCAGGCTGCACATTCTAAACTCTTACGTCCAAAACAGATTGGTAGCACGCAGCAGGGTACACTATACTAGAGAGATCTTTGAGGTAGCGAAAGTCACAAATCCTGCAGGGCAATGTTGAAGCTACACGAGGCAGGCTCCTACATGTCTCCGCAACTTGCATGAATACTATCTGCAGGGCATTTGGACCTTGCACAGCCCCCATCCCCATGCAACAGGAGAAGCCTGCATATGGCAGACGAGACGACGAGAGTGCCCTGATGATCCCTGATGCCTCCGATACGTGCTGCGTGCTGCAGTCCAATATGTAGTGCGCACTCCACCGTGCACCTCGAGCCTGTGGACCTAGCTGAGTGTGAGGCCCTTGTGGTGCACCAGCCTCGTCATCAGCCCACGACGCGCGCCCCCCATGCAACCAAGCTGATAATTCATTGCTATTGGGCCACGGCTGTGCCACGCAAGTGCCAGCGTCAACTAGCATTTTGGGTGCATCTTCGTTGCTGACCTTGCCAAACCTGAGTATACAAGTAGGTGACTCAACGACATTTTAAACCCCGAAGCCATTTCTGTGAAAGATGATGCCCGTACTGAGTCTTTGGCATGAGCAGCGTCAAGGGAATCGTGTTGAAGTAGACAGACAGAATCAAGGACGCAAGGATCAAGATCACCTCAGACCAAACTTCTGTCACTCGACTTGAACGTGTGAAAGCCTTGCTGAGGCTGTAGCAGGCATGAACATAAAAATCGCTCGAATAGACAAGCACCTGCCTATCCGACCGTGGTGCCTTCAGGCCATTGCAAGTCATTAAACAGTGGTTGTGACCGTTCTGCTGTGCCCAGCACGCATGGCCTTCGAAAGACTTTGTGCCGTTCTGCGCTGACTTCGACACGGAAGTCCAGATGGGTCATTCCATCGACGAATCTGTAACAGCGCTTGTCACAGCGGTAAAAAACACTTTGCACATTGCACTGCTGATGGAGAGAATTATGTGCCCATGTCTGCTGGGTCTAGAAAGCCAGGCGCACCCGGCAGCTAAGTTGTCCATGTCAACGATGATGAACACGCTAAAAATCTTCAAGAAGCATGCAACCTCAGCCGCTTCCCGTGGCATTCGATAAGCCCCCATATCAGCGGTTCTGAGAAGCCCATTCAAGAGCCGTGCGCACGATGTTGCACCAAGCACAACTGACAGAGACCTGCAGCGGCACAGCGCAACATCGCTTTGTGATCTTTGTGCTCAACGGCTCTTTCCGCCCAGGATTCGCAATCACAGTTACGCGATTCCCACAGTTCTTGCCAAAAAAGTCTTGCAAAAAGGTCCGCAAACAGTTCTCGCGGTAGATTTGGGGTTGCAATTAGCGTCGTGGCGTGCAGGGCGCTGCATCGTGGGAAACTCAGGGCCAAACACGAACAGAACCGAAAGTGCCATGAAGTACTGCAGGGCAAGGGCCCACCAGCCCACGACCTGAATTGGACTTGGCTCGCACTGCAGGCTGCGCTTTACATTGAAACACCACAAGACGTGTATTTGGCCATTGGCAGGGCGGAAGCTCTCCGAAAAAGCTCCCACCTGCAGAGGGAAGGACTATGGTGCTCATGCAGCCAGCAACAAGAAGACTCGTTGAACGGCTTTGCCGGGAGTCTAGCCACAAGGGATCTGCAGAGGCGCTGGGCATGACCAAGCTCTATCGACACCTCATGAGAAACGACAGTCCGACATGGTGGGTGAGTCTGGTCTCCCCGATGCCTTAAAGAGAGACAGCGTGATTGAGATCAGCCTTGGCAGCTACAACTTTGCACTTTGCGCAGCTTCCACGGAGCCTAAGCCTTCTTTCAAGCTGAGCTGCTTCATCGTGTTGAGGCTCCTGCAACCGGGGAATCACGAGAAGCATTTTAGAAAGCAGCTCAGAAAACGCATCCAAGGCGCCAGTAAGGTGAGATCGGCTGTTTCCACTTGCCACCCTCAAACATCGTCTCGTTTTGGTAGGCCAGAAAGTACAGCACCTCGAGCGGGCATGAGCCTACGACTGGGCTCAGAGCCTGTTGGAATCGTCTGCCCCACGATGAGCATCCCGATGGTCGGCTGGCGTCACCCGCTGAGCAAGCCGCCAGCAGCTGCGCAATGGAAGATGCCAACGGCGCACAAAGAGCGGCCCAGCAAGGCACCTGCACTTGAGACGCTTATTATATCTTGCATCTCGTTTCTGTTGCAGAGCTTCGAGAACCTGTTCCCACGAGTACGGTCAAACCATACTGCTTGCTTGTCACGCCTGCGGGGTCAAGGAGATGGAGTAGAAGTCGTGCTCCAGCTCAATCACCTACATGCAGGTGTCAAGCTGGAGTACAGGTCCGGCGATAAGCTCTATGAGGACCACTGTGAGGCAACCCAAACGAAAAACCGTTTAATTATGCTACCCTGCGTCCTTCGGGCTGTACTTTGCTAAGAACTTTCGAGGATGGTTAAGCTTCTCAGGCCCCTTTTGCTTACTCAATTGTTCATGTCTCTTGCATCTCTCATCCCAGGATGCATCTCTTCGGCTGTCAGTTTAGTGACGACTGTAGTATTGGGTGCTGTCAAGCGCTCAGGGCGCGTATCATCCATATCATATGCCTCTCTTCCGGCGTTACGCTGGCTTAAAGCCACATAAAGGCGCTTGGAAACTCAAAGCCACTTACGCTTCACCACGTGTCTTGGTTCAAAATCGAGAGTGCTTTTCTTCCGGGGGGCCACGGGAAAGAGGGCTTCACATTAGAGGAATCACAAGTGAGTAAGACACAGTACGACATCATTTCTCCACACGAATGTTCTACCGTTCTGTGCCATGCAACATGAGTTGCACCTCCATGACAGCATCCACAGTAGGGGACGATGCCTCGACACAACACCCGCCCAGCTCTCTGGCTCTGTCTGAGAGTCGACTGGGAAGGCGCGGGCAGGACGCTGCAGCGGACGATCGTCAGTGATGCTATCACTTCCTTTGGGCACTGAACCGACCCAATTCTTGGCCCGGCTGATAGGAGCAGAAAGATGCGCAGGATTTTGTACAGAATTCTGGGAGAGCACTCGGAAATGTTTGGTGCCAAGCAACTGCCCCAGATGGCTGCCGCCTTCTCTGCGCGCCATGGTGACGCGGCTTGAAGACCGGCTGCATCCGGATCCCTATCAGGAATACATGGAACACACATTCTGCAGACATCGATTTTGTGGACTTGAGGCCCCCAGCACTTCCACTTCTTCCGCTTCGCGCTTGCTGCCGTCAAGCTCCCTTCCTGCAAGCTCAGAGTGGCAAAGTGCTCTCGGTTGCGTGCTGCTCCAGAATCATCTTACAAAACCAATCTGCGAATCGAATGGCGAGCCTTGCCCAGTCCATGACCCGCCCCGTCGAGGACCCGCCCCGTCAGGACCCGTCCCGTCGAGGACCCTTCCCGGGGCGAACACGCGACACGAAGAGACGACACAAAAAGGAGACGACATGAAGAGACAACATGAAAAGCCAGCGCAGGCCAGCGCTGGATGTTCGCGACTGATGCTTTCTTTAGACACGCGAAGACGATCCGAGGGCCCAAAGCTATCACATTTACAGTGCGCACATGCATCCCGACGTGCCCCATCTGTTGACGCTTAGGCAGGTGATGACGAGTGGGACAACGGTGACACGCCCGATCCCAGTGACAGTTGACACTCTTAATAGATGCGGACTTTTTCACAGCGACATGCCGATGCCGCTGCGCGGCAAAAATTGCATGCTGCGCCCACCCTGCATGATGACCAAACCGATCGCGAAAGAAGTCTGCCACCTCGGTGTGAAGCTTTGGGGTTAGCGAAGTAGCCAGTCTGCTTGCAAGCTTTGGCGGCGCCATACGCCTGGCCACCCGGGCGACATGCACATCCACAGGCACTGCATCGCTGAAGCCCAGGCCATACAAAGCCACGCAGGCCGCAACCTTTGGCCCCACACCAGGGAAGCGCCTCAGCTCCCGTTCAGCATCTTCGCGAGTTAGATCACGCAAGTCTTCAAGGTCTGTCGATAGAAGCTCGTTGGCAGTTGCTGCCACATAGCGGGCGCGATAGCCCAAACCCAGCTCCACCAGCCTAGTCTCTCCAAGACCAACTAAATCCTGCGGAGTGGGAAAGCTGCAAAGCCTTCTCCCAGAAAGAAATTCACGAATGTGTGATGGCACTTCTTTTTGCCCTTTCCTGTATTCCTGAGAGATTCGATCGGCCATGTCCTTCGGAAGGCTCGACATTGACCTGCCGCCGTCTTGACGCATCCTCTCGAGCATCAGGCTGATGCGAGGGACATTGTTGTTCGCCGAGCAAATGAAGCTGATGAGCGCTTCTGCCGGATCCTGTCGGAGCACTCGAGCTCCAGGGAGTGTTCGAACAGCTTCGGCCGCATCGTCACCCCAAGCATGCTGCAAGTCCAAGAGTGAGGGGTGACCGGTGCCATAGTTCAGGTATCTGCAGATGGAGGGCACATCCAGCTCACCACCATCGCCAGCCAAATACTTGACCATTGTGGTATCCGGAGCGCTACGCAGCTGCACACAGCAACCACATATCAGGCCGAGCCACTCATTCGAAGCGATGCGCTTCCAATGAAAGCACTGGCCGGTTTCCAGGCTGGATTCAGCGCGGAACTCAGAAGCCGGAATGCGCAAGTCAACCCACTTGCAGTCCTCAGCAGGCATATTCAGAAGCTGCCTTTGGCGACGTTCGATGGGTTGCTGCTGTCGGTGTTAAAACTCGTGTGCTGCCTCATCTTCCCCTTGTTTCATCGCACCCGAGTCTTCCTAGTCAGGTGAGGAGGGGCTGAGCCCAGACTGGTGGCTACGCCAGTGGAAGGTTACCAATCGCACTTCTGCAAGCAGGAAAACTTGCCACAGCACAAGAACCTCGCTAGCTGGAAGCCTGTTGCTTTAGGAAGCGATGGAGCTGGCGATCGTTCCTGGAGCTGGCAGTTGAATTCCCTCAAAAGAAGTAGCGGTCACGCCCTGTTGCTCACTACTTTGACCAGTGCCTCAGAAGACTGCGACTGGGGAAGTTTCAAGTTCGGCGGATCACTGCCTGGCCTCAGAAGCGGAGCCAGAATAAAACATGCAACTCAATCGAAATCCGTGAGAATCACCGAAGCACAAAGCTCCACACACCCAGGGTATGGGACGAGAGTCGTGCGGCAAGGAGCCTCGCTCGTCGCTCGTGCCCCATGTTCAACGGTCTGAGTTAAACGGGTCTTGCAACAAAATGGTCCGAGCAAAGCACTGTAGCGCCCGTTTTGGGCACTGCTCAGCCTCTCCCCACTTAGGAGACCACGATCCTCCAAGCACGCCACCGGCGAGACGTGCGGAGAGTGCAGTCATGCTAGACTCCTGGACCTAACTGACCTAAGGAGCACGATTCGCGATTCCTTCGACGGCGATCCAGGCGATGAGCTTGTGGGTAACCACCACCTCCGCCGTGGCTTTGTGATGCTTTGCTATGCTTTGCTGATGGCGGGACATGCGCTTGGGTGCACTTGCGTCGTGATGAGGTCGAGGCGGCGCAGCTGATGCCGACTCAGACCTTCCCTGGAACCTGTGCAGGCCCGACTCACATATGCACGTATTCAAGCGGCTGCTACTTGAGTGGCAACTCTAGCCTGAGGACCCACCTGATGCTGAGCCAGGGACAATGCTTGGTCGTTTCTGCCGCCTTCTGCCGAACATCCAAGAGTCCAAGAACCCTTCAGACGATCTCTGCTGAGCTGAGCCTTGATCGGTCTTGGCTCGCACCCATCGCCGCTCCTGACCGTCTGGGTCGTGGACGGTGACATGAACACTCAGGCGTCCTCAGGAAAGCGTGATGTCTCATTCAGGGCACTCCTGTGGGCTGCTCCCCTCGGCGCAAGCGAGGAGGCGCTCCTGACAGGCTCAGTCTTGAGTCCGGGCTTACGTGGTCTGAGCCTCTCATGCACTTGGCACTTGGCTGAGCGTGGAGCTTCAGCATTGTCCATGCTGGTCGGTATTGGGCCGTAATCAGAAGCCTGGAACACTGCCAGCCGCGCTTGATATGTCGAAGGTCCAACCACATGCATGTGCGCACTGCCCAGCATGGAATGGAGAGCTTTCGAGGCGGAATGGGCAGGGCTGGTGTTTGAGCTGGAATTGTTCAGCATTGTCCATCAGCAGTCGTTTTATGCAAAGCTGGAAAGCATCCGTCTAGTGCATTTGTTGGCACATGGACCTGATACAGGCTCGAAGATGCTCGAAGCTCAACGACAGCAGACTCTACTCTCCGGGTCTACCAGGAACCCGAGTCTACCCGGAGTCTACCCTTCACGCGCGCGTGTTGCTGTAAGAAATACCTATCCGGGCTGACTCCACAGGAATGCGTTCCCTCTGTACCTCTCCCCACCTCTTCATGCATTGGCATGGACTGGCAAGTGTCTGTCTTGTTGCCGTGGTGCCCGCAGCATGTCCGGCGCATGTGCAGGTTCTAAGGTGCACGGATTAGTGAAATTCTCAGTCTACCAGTATGTGGCAGCTGGCCTGTTGTCGAGACTTGAGCCACTCCCGCACAGAGACTGCTCGAATCGGTGGATCTGATTGGAGAGACCTCGGTGAGGAGTTGTCAAAAAGACTGGACTCGAAGCACTACCACGCTCTGCCCAGGGCTGTGCGTGATGACGACAGCCGTCACCGGCCATGTGCTCAGGCTTTTGTGTTTCCAAGAATCAATGTCACGTGCGGCCATACTCCTTGGAAGCTTTCAGTTGGCAGCTATTGCCTCGTGCTTAACAAACGATGACACGTGTTGTCGCGTGTTCAATACTGCCTGCCAACGACAGCGCATGTTTGCAATGCCTCTTCTTTACCTCACGCACTGGTCGATCAGCTGGACAAGTTGAGCCAGATTGAGGAGGCAGTGCTAGTAATGGCTCAAGCATGCGGCCCGTCACGACGATGTGGAGGCCCAGAAGCCAAGGAGGAGACACGCAGCATATCACAGCATCATGCAGCGAGGCCTGGCCCCCACACCCATGCCAGCATAGACCATTCTGAACCTGTCCATGCAGAGCTGAGATGTTTGACCATGATTGAGCCAATGATCGACCGTTTCGGCTACATCAACAGAAATGCTTAGTGCAGGGGAATGGTTAACAATCACATGTCTTCATCCCTGCTGGAGGGTGAACTCTACACTCACTAGAGCCGTTGGTCATGTCGTCAAAAATCAAACCGAGGCCCTCGCGCTACTGGTCCCGAAGTCCAGGCAAAAAGGCCCGGTTCAAAATTCGCATGGTCAGGGCATCCTCGATGATTGCCACAAAACAGGAAGCGTTACATCCGTCGGCAGCCTGGCCGCTTGAGGCAAAAAGGCGAGGCTGCATGCAGCTCGGATGGCAAAGGGAATGAAGTGGGGAAAGGTGAGGTTGCGCGCAGCCCGACTCAAAGTCACAAAAACGCAAACCCTCAACCCGAAGCCCTAAAACTCTAAACCCTGAACCCCTGAGTCCCAAACGCAAAAACCCCTGAGCTCCTCAACCCTGAACCCTAACACCCTAAAACCCTAAACCACTGGACGCTAGCTTTGGAATACTATGTTGCAACTAGATGGATACAGCATTCTGTACATGTGTTCTAATATCCGTTAGGACTAGCGTTAAAGGACGTTTAAGCGAAGTGTTGTCGATTACCAAGGCGCAGGCTCTACCACAAGGGCTCACGGTCGGCCTCCTCCGCGAACATCCATCGCATTGACTGGGCAGACGTGCGCAGAGTCGCAACACCATTGGGTGGAGATATGTCTGACTTTCTGATTTCTGGCACGCGGTAGCATTCCGGCATTTCATGCATTGGCGCGCCTCCGCTGCTCGGGCGCCGCCAAACGCACGGCGAGTGCTCCGCCGACGTCTAGGACCTGAGCAATGGGCAGCGGGGGCGGAGGCGACCAAAACCCGACCGATTTCTGTGGCTTGCGGGCATGCACTACAATATGATCTGCGCTTACATGTGCTGCTGCGCTGTAACATGCTGCACTACGCCACTACGCTTGAAACATGTGATGGGAATTCTCCAATCAAATGGTTTCTCCCAACGTCATAACGCGCATGGCTCGGTCACAAGACAGCAAAGTCACATGGAGGTGGCTCCTCAATACATTGACTGAGGCCCGAAACGGACAAAGGGAAACGAAACGGAGGAGACCCTCGTTGGGGAAGGTTGACCGAACCAACCACGGAGGCCAATCCACGCCAGGCAGCCCCGTACATGGCAAGCAGTGCCGACGATCTCAAATGGCATGCCCCCGGCGATCCGTTGCTTGGCGCACCGGTTCTGCGCTCGTCTCAGGGTTTGGGCTTGCATGGTGTCCTTGGAGTACTGCCCTTCTTGACTCCAGAGACCTCAAGATCGCAGTCGGATTTGTCCTTCACCTTCAACTTCTTCACTTGCTCAGTGAAATTCCCCCACACCTCTATGTGAGGCTCAACAGTCGCTTGGAGCAGCTCCCTGATCGACTTCTCAACCTTGTACTTGTAGGCTCGTGTGCAAACTCCAGCACCGTTCTGGTATCTCTTATCGGTGCAATAATAGTCCAACCGGTAAGTTTGCCCCTCGACGTACTCGAAATCTGTCCACCCAAGTCGTTGCGCCCACTTTGTGCCATCAGGCAAAGCTCCATCCGTCAAGATGTAATTCGTGTCCCCGTCCTGAAGGGCAAATTTCTGTTCGATGAGCTGCAGTCGCAGCTGCACCGCTTTGTCCATCATACTGTGCGCTTCTTCAATATGGCCTTCCATCCAGTCGACAATCTCCTTTTGGATTACTTCAGTCTGGAAACACTCTACACTGAAGTAAGACGACATCACGCTCATTGCCAGCGTCACGTACATTGCATGGTATACGACAGAGAAGGGTGCCTTGGCGTCGGTGAAGATGTTGGTCTTGGCGGCCATGTCCTTTGCAAGTGTGTGCATGTCGGCAAAATGGCTCATGGCCTCACTGGCATCTGTCAGAGTCGCATTCGTCTCGTAGGATCCGTCGCTTGTGTTCCATGTACCTTCTATCTGTATGCCTTGTATGGCGCAGCTCATGAGATCTCTGGCGATCTTAAGCTGCACTACAAATGAATCATACTCGAACTGGTCGAATGCTTCTCTGACGTATTTCTCCACAAACGGCTTGATTTCGCCCCAGATGCACAGTCCGTAGTCTTCCTGACCCTCGCAACGAGGGGTCGGGGGTCCGGACTCCGGGAAGAGTTCAAATCCGCTTATCAGCCATCTCATGGCAAATGCGATGAACCATCCATGAATGTCACTGAGTTCGGCTATTGCACTACCAAGAAGGTCCGCCATCATCTTCAGAAAGAACTCTAGGCCGTCACCTGATTCAGCAATAGCATCATCGACTTGCGGAGGTTCGGCAGGCTGCCCGCAATCGTATTGTTTCACTTCGTGCCAGAGCTGCTCGTGACAATAAAGCTTCCCGCCCTCAACCAACTTGAAGGTTACCCAATGGTTTGCATCATTGTCCTCGCTTCCACTGAGGTCTACAAAGCCAATAGCATTGATTTCGTTGCCTTCGCCATCGATCGCCCAGACTTCCGCAAAGCTTGGGCAGAACATGTCGTTCGATCTCACGGTCTCGTTTGTCTCAGTGGGATGTCCTGGAGGGCATCGCCAAGCAGCGAAGTATGTTTTCGAATCAAGCTTAAGCTGAACACAGAAGGCAGCCAGCACATTGAATTTGCAACTGGGATGGCAAGAAAGCATGACAACCTGAGAAGGAAATGCAAGACAAGAGTAACGCAGGAACCCCAAGTAAAACAATCAAGCAACGTGAACGTTGAAATGAGGCTTCGCCACAAAACAATTCGAGTCCTGTCCGTTCGTTGAGCTTTCGAAAAGCGAACTCGTGCAGGGTGTCGTGGGCTTTGACTTGAAAGTCGCGATGTTTAATCTCATTATTCCCCATTGAGGAGGCAAACTCGTGCCAATCGACAACTGTAGCATCTTTCACATCCGTGATCGTGATGTGAATTGGTTGGGCTGTGGCGCAATTCAAAGCACCGCGGTTTTTCATGAAGACTCTGATGGAAGCCTCCGCCTGGACTCCGCCTGTTTCCGCACCACGCTGGCGCCACAGCTGAAGCTCACTGCTGAGGTCGAAACAGTTGCCGCTGTCGCATTCGCCAGGCGATGAGCCAAGGCTTCGGAAGAACGCGGAAGCCAGCAGAGCGAGACCAAGAGCAGCAAAAGATCCATCACTGCTTGGAACGTGGGCCAAGGAAGGACACGCGAAGTCACCCAAATCAAGAGCCAAAAGACTCATGCCCAAGTAGATCATGACATGTGCCATTCATGACAATTCTGTGGCATGCACTACGTCATTCATTAGGTTAAACACCCTGCCAGATCCGTCGCTAGGTAGCCGGCCCACGCAGCCACAGACTAGCTTCTGCGGCCACCACATGCTGCTGCGCCTGCGACACCTGCTGCAAACTTGCTGGCGTCACCATGTCCCGGGCAAGAGCATTCGCACTGAAATCCCCTTCTGGCCGTGCTGCCCAGTCTGTGCCAAGCGCCTTCTCCCACTTGCAACCCTAAGACTGGCACCGCTGGTAATAGCAGTAGCAGATGTAGCAGGCTTCGCTTTCTGTTTTGACCGCCGCGCTTCGGGTCCGCCCCTACTTTTCTGCCATTGCGAGTGTCAGCACGGCATTGCCAGTCAGATGCATGGAAGATCACAGGACGTTCTAACGGATCTGTGCTGCAGCGCCCGGAAAGCATCCAAGGACAGAGCTTCTTTCGGCACTGTGACAGCATGGTAAGAATTTCTTCGATACGGCGAAAGCAGGCGAAGGTGTGCCGAGTTAGGGCAAGGGCAGCCAATGCACCTTCTTGGCAAAGCCTTTGTCGTCGAGTAACAGCCGCACGCTACATCTGCATCCGGCCTGAACCTTGGAGATCTTGAAGTCGAAGCCCTCACACCTCCACTTGGGGTCAGGGCCTTGAACCACCACCCCTCCCTGGCATCTTTGTGGAACTTCGCCAGCATGCAGGCAAGTAGTGCCTTGCTGATCCAGCAGCACCTGAAAGGCCTCCTGGCCAGACTCACCGATGCACACGGAATGGAAGAAGTAGCCCTCCTCCGCGCTCCATCGCATCTCCTCAGCGCTCCAACCGTTCCACGTCCCCGAAATGAAGTAGGATCGTCTGGGCACCATCGTGGGTACCGACTCTGAACTGGGCGAGACGGTGGTCACGATCTTCTCCATCGCCTGGTTCCTCGCTGCCTTCTTCTCCAGCAACCTTGGGTATGCAGCATGATCAGGTCATGGCCCTCCACATCTGCTTTAACATTCGAAGAGTGGCAGCAGGAAAACAAAAAAAACAGTCTCCAGTCAAGTCGCTGACTACGCTTTTCCTGGATCTTTGCACGGCGCAGGGCTGTCCTCTCGTCCTTGACCACCTGATCAACCATGGGGCGTTGCCCAACCAGCGAATCACTAACCTCGAAGTTGTCTTCGTGAAGAATAGCGCTGCCCACGCCGTCAATCTGCACCTAACAAAGCGTCACCGCAGGGCTGGGTGGAAACTTATTCCCGTGTGCAGAAGTGCCTGCCTTCCACTTGCCCTCGCTGAACTTTTGGGACAGCGAACCAGTCAGGCCGTTCTTGCCATGGACGCCGGTCAAAACAATCCTGGCACATGCAACCGAAACATCGGCAGAAACATGAGTCAGGATGGAGTCTCTTATTCCAGCGAAGTTGCCGCGTGCCCGTCTGCAGCGGTTGCTTCATCTTCCCTGGACAGACATGGAGCCCATGCAGCGTTAGCGTATCTCGTCTCCTCTTGGATTTTTGAATGAAGATAAGTCGCCTTTTCGCAAGTCAAGCGCATCGTTCATCAAAAGGTCAGGCCAGCCACCCAGTGGTGAGTTTGCCAGCTCGGAGCCCATATTCCCTGGAACGGGTCCTCACGCGAGCCAGTGCTAACTGAAAGAACATTGAAGAACTGGTCACACAGCATAACCGGGGCAAAGGCGGCGATCGACGGTCTCGAGGTTCTTCAATGCCTTCATACAACTTGGGCTCTGCTTCTGAGTCTCTGCAGGCACAGTCGGACGTTCTGAAAGGCGCCTCGCGATCTCTGGTCGCTGCTAGTCCCTGCCAGTCCTTTATGGCCGAGTTAGGGCTCTAGGGCTCTGTGAAGGTTTGGCGTGTCAATGCGTTGACTATCCCGACTATGCCAAGCGGCACCAGCAACCTCGGCTGCTTTCGCAGCCTCGGATTCAGCTTCCGGCATCTCCTGCCAGCTCACAATCGGCTGACCATGGAGCACGACGAGTCCCTACATTCCTACATGAACCTGCACTGCATCGACCCGTTCCCACACAAAAAATCTCTGTCCAGCTTGATCATCCCCGCAGTTGGGGTCAAGAAATGCTTTCGCGTTTCAATGTCAAATTTGGACGGCATAAACAAAGGTGGCGGATGCATCTTCGTACAGGTAAACTGCACGGCCTGCAGGGTTCAGAGAAGCGAAGCATGGCTTCTAAGGCAAGAAGTCCCCACATGCGCTTGGGCAGCTGTACGGTTCCACCTCGCCTTGCTTGCATCGCCCTTGGTCATGGGACAAAATGACCTTTAATTTGCCGAGCCATGCTCTGCAGACATCTAGTGACCTGGTGCCGACACGCTGCAATGGTGAGCAGACCGTCTTCGATGAAGCCTAAAACCTGGACATCTCGCAAAGCCATGCCGAAAGCAAAGTGGGACGCGCGCGGATGTGCAGAAGGCTTGGGATGCATTCCGAGGGTTAGACTCTCACATTCGCGCCAAGGTTTAAAGCTGTTTGTTCAGGGCTTGAGACTGGTAGGGCTGCAAACTAGAAGCACGCCAAGTGGTCCACGCCAAACGGAGTTTGAAGCACCCCGAACCGCGCGCCCTTTGGACTCCCGCACTCGCACGAGGCAGGCAAGGCTTCGATCCAGTCAACCCCCAGATCAAGCAGCGCGAATTAACGCCAGTCTTACCCCTGCTCAACCCACCTGCCACACCCGAATCTTTCCCCCCGTTCCCCCCAACCTTCCAAAGGGCTAGTCTTACCTTCCATTATCTCGTATCCATGCCACTACTTCTCTCGCATTGCTTCCCTTTTCTTGTATTCTACCTTGGCAGTATTGAGGCTTGCTACCCTGCCCCCTACTCTTGCCACTTTCCAAAGAGCCAGCTTTGTTCTTTTTTGAAGTATTCTTGCTTTACTTTTGACAGTATCTGCACCTTTCCTTGAAGCATGGACTGAGCCGGCGCCAGCACACTGAAAGATGGACACTTCTTTCCAACACGATCCCTAGACCTGAACGCCCCTAGATCAGGGTTCATCCGGACTTGTGTGGACACCGTAGCATGCAAGCCCGGATGAACCCTGAACAGTAAACCAGAACGGCAACATTGGAAACCAGAGAAGAATGGGAAACTAGAAATGGAAAACTCGGAAACTAGGCCTGCATCGGAAACCAGAACGACGGCTGAATCGGAAACCAGGACAGGAAAATCGCTAACCAGGAGGCGGGCGACTCGGAAGGCGCGAAACGGGAGCGCGTTTCTGATGCTCTGGCTTTCCGGACACGATTACCCCCTGCCCAAACCCTGATGCACAGTTTGCCAGATTCTGATTTGCTGTTTCTGATTCGCGCTGGTTTCTGATTCTTGGTTTCTGATGCGCGGCTGGCTTCCGATTCGCACTTGCTGATTCGTAGCTTCTGATTTGCAGGTCGGCTTTCTTAATTTTTCACTAGTCGCATGAAAAATAGGGTCCCCGCACCACATCCTCACGCACTAAGTTTCCAAACTGGAAGCACACCAAGTAGTCCATGGCAGAAACTTCATCTACGGATCGATGATCGAGAAGCGTCTTCACTAGGAAGCTTGCCGCAAGTGCTGCGTGCTACAGGCACACTGCGCAAACCAGAAGCATTGTCTTGAGGGGCTAGCTTCAAAGGTAGGCAAGCAAAATTTCAACTGGCTTCACCGTCAAAGGTCGAACAACTGCCCGGCATGATAAGCGCCGCACATCCATTGAGGCGAAGCTCTTCCAGCGCATGCCGATGCCACCCCCAACCCCGCCCCACATGATCGTGGAGGAATCCACCCTCGGTGTGGCACCACTAGAACGCCGCACTCTCACGATCCAGAAATATCAATTCTCAGCCAAGCCTATAGCTCAATCCAAGGATCTCCGGTTTGTTCCGCGCTGGAAATATGTCAACCAGGGCGTTTGCTGCCACGTAGTTTCCTGTGCAGTGCACCACGCGGTATTAAACATAAGCCAGTTCCACCCACTTACCCAAGATTTGTCGGTGTCTCGACGAGAAGCACCGCAAAGCCAACATATATACATATATGCCATAGAAGGAAAGTATATGTGCATGACTTGTACATGCATGCACGACTTCGGTTATGGCGCGAGTCCTTGCCCCAGGTTTCCCGTCATGGTGCTGCCGGCAGAAAAGCCGACAAACTTGCCCAACTTCATGGTGGTGTAGTTCAAGCGCCCCAGGGCTTCTTGCCAGGGCATGTGACGAGGGCCGAGATCAGCCACAGAAACCACCTTGCAAGGGCCCGCATACGGCAAAGTGCAAATTCGGTCAGCAAGAGGATCTGCTACAATCCAGAGATCCCCTCTATTGCACGCATAAAAAAAATTGACGTATCCCACCCGCGGCTTCCTGCTTGGGTTCATCGGAGGTCATGCTACTCCCAACAAAATACACACAGCATGCTTCCTGTGCTTGGCGTGTCATGTATTTTCGACAGCACAGGGCACCTCGGCTTTCTCAGCCTTTGCTTGCCCAGCCTCTGCCTGCGCTGCATATTCCTTTGCCAGGTGGGTCTCCCCCAAAGCAGCTTCGCCTTCAAGTCCGAGTTCATGCCGGCGTGAGGCATGTGCATGAGAGGCCGCCCGTGGGTCTCGGGCAACTGCAGCTTGCACTATCTCTACATCTGCTTGGAACTTAGGCAGCAGGAACTTTAAAGCTGCGCCATTTCTCTTCACAGCCTCAACTGCAAACTCCTTGTCATTCTGCAGCTCTTCGGATACGAATCGCACCGATGCTCCATCATGCACCACCATTTCCAACACCAAGTCCCGATCGGACTTGAGGCTGTCTCTCGCCCCCTGCAAGCACCAGCCGCTTCCTGCTTTCGCGGCCTCTATCAGGAAGCTCTTGTCACTACGCAGCGCGTCCGACGCATACGCCAAGGCAGCGCCGTGGCTGCCAACAGCGGCAAGAACAAACTTCCTGTTTCCTAGCAGTTCGGGGGCGGCATCTGCAAAGGCGGTGCCAAAGAAAGAGGTTGCCAGCAGCACCAGGTTCTCATCTGCCCGAAGCTCCACAGAGGCATACTTCAAGGCCCTTCCCTGGCTAGAAAGAATGGCATCCTTCACTAGCTCGCGATCATTGGTTATCTCATAGGGAGCATCAGCTAACAACTGCCAGTCTTTCTTGACACCGGCAGACCACATCCCATAGCGCCAACTCTTGGGATTCAGAGTCGGCGTGGCCTGGACCTCCTCCTCGCCGTTCTTGATGCTTTCCAGCTGCGTCCTGGCAGCCGTCATTCCGCTATGAAAGATGCTCGCCGCAGCTAGTTGCGATAAATCGACATCCACATCTTCGCCATGCTGCTTCTGCAGGGCTGTATAAGTTCGCCTGAGATCTGCCTCCTCTTGCGCGGGTAAGTCGTTAATCATCTTGTACTCCCTTCTCAACTTATCCGCACTTTTGTTGTTGGTCATGCATGCGAGCTTGGCATTGATGAGAAAATCCAGGCTCGGAATGCCCAAAGTTGTGGCGGCAAATCCGATATCAAATAACGTCTCGAAATCGACGTTCACAAAGCTGCAATCCCAGCGGGACGCTCCACAGTCTCGCAAATCATTGCTGGGCAGTGGAGTAGTGATCTCACTAACGCTGTGATCCCTGTGATGCTTCAAATACTCGCAAATCTTGGACATGGTCGCCTTTTTCACCTCAAACTTGAGCACATGGTCGCAACCATTCTCTGTCCTTGGTGTCCAATCATCAAACTCTGGTGTCTTTGAGGGGCGTGATGCATGCTGAACAGACAACTGTCACACTCTTACAGCATCGCCAGCATCGCTAGTTCCGAGGTTCGCTGGAAAGCTTCTTCTGCAGGATGTCTGCAGCCCCGCCCACCCAAGCCCCTCTATTTGCAACCGCGTTGGTTGATCTAATCCGCCGACCCCAGCGGTAGCAGGGCGGCGTCAGTGAACCCCCCACCGCCCTCACCGCCCTCACCCGCTCTCACAGCATGCTGCTCATGACACCTTGAATTGGAGTGTTTTTGCATTGTTTGGCTTCAGTGCATGCCCAAACCCCGCCACCCATCGCCCTCACCCATGACGCCTTGAATTGGACCTTTGACCCCCCCCACCCCATCCATTCAGGTGGTTTAAAGGGTCCAGTGCATGCCCGACCACCCCCCCCCCCCCCACGCCCCCCCACACCCCCCCCCACCCCCCCCCCCCTCCACCCCCCCCCCACCGCCCCTCCTCTACCCTTCGCCCCTACCCGCTCCTCCGCCCTGACCAATCTCTGTGTTTTAAAGAAACCACACCCTGCCCTCACCCACCCCCCCCACCCCCCCCCCCCCCCCCCCACCCCCACCCCCCCCCCCCCCCCACCCCCCCCACCCGCCCCCCCCCCCACCCCCCCCACCCCCCCCCCCCCCCCCACCCCCTCCTGTAGGCCTCGCCCCTACCCCCTACTCCACCCCTGACCATCTCTAGTGTTTTAAAGGAAACCAGTCCATGCCCCCGCTTTCACCACCCTCACCCCGCCCCCCCCCCACCCCCAACCCCCCCATCCCTTCCCTCGCCCCTGACAATCCCCCCCACCCCCCACCCCCACCCCCCACCCCCCCCCCACCCCTCCCCCACCCCCGCCCCCCACCCCCCCCCCACCCCCGCCCCCCACCCCCCCCCCCACCCCCCCCCCCTCACCCCGCCACCCCCGCTCTCATCACTCCCCTGCCTTCCGCCCCCAACTCCACCAACCCTCGACCGTCACCTCCCCTGTCCACCCGCCGCGCTCCACCCTGCCTTCCGCCCCAACCCTGTCAAATGAGTCAGGCCCCCCTTTCCGCCAGCCGCCCCCACCCTCTCCCACTCCCACTCCCGAACCCTCCCACCAACCCTCCCCACCCTCATCAGTAACCCCCTCCCACATCGTGCACCATCCGACCGCCCCCCCGCTCTCACCGCTCTCATCGCTTCTTCATCTCTATGCCCCCCAGTCCACCCCTGCCTTCCGCCCCCAACTCCCTAATCCGACACCAACCCTCTACCCCGTCACCCCCCCACCGCCGCCCCCCCTTTCCACCCCCACCCACCCCCCACCCCCCCCACCCCCGCCCCCCCCGCCTGCCCGCGCTCCACCCTGCCTTCCGCCCCAATGCGACTGTCTTGGGTCTGGGGTCGGCAGCACTGGCGGTAGCCATTAAATATTCAACTCATTGATGCACACATCCTGTCAGATTTGGCTTGGTGTCGACTTCGGCGCTTGCCTCCTGAGGTTTTGCGGCTGGCTGCGATAGTTGCTCCTTTGCTCTTTTGGCTGCTTGTTTTTTTGCATGGATCTGCTTCAACCGCAGCAGGCTTGGCAAAGTTGGCTTGGCCTGTGCTGGTCTGGCCTGGCTGAGCAGCGCAGGCGAGCGAAATGAGAATGCCTTCTCTCGTCGTTAATCCTCCTTTTCCCTATCTCACACTTCAAAGCCCCCTCCGCTTTCAGCAACCCCGCCTCCTCCACAGACACACCATTGCCTATTTCAGACTGTTCTCGACCTGCTACAAACCAAGGCACCCCCAAAAAACCATGTTCAGAGCTTCCGAGACTAGCCCTTTCCCGCCCAACTCTGTCCACTCATGCACATGGTCTGAGTTCTCCTTAAGCCACGGAGCTGCCCCCATTGCCCCCTCTGTCTCCTCTCTTTCCTCTCTTTCCTCTTCCCTCCTCTCTCTCCACTAAGGACACGCACCCCGGTGTTCGGGCTAAGTGACAGAGTACACTCTTCGTCCCCTAAGCAGGATGAACCCGAAAGACTTTGCTCAACCCAACATTAGCTGCGTCTGTTCCGAACATCGACTACAGTGACTACACCTCAAAGGTCAGTCAAGTCGCACGAGGCTTCGAACACGCCCGGCCAAACAGGCCGCTTCAGCCGGAAGTTCGAATACTTCGCCTCCATTTCTGGCATTTGCTCGAACAGCGACTCTTTCCAAAAACTCACGGTGCGCTCCTCCTGCCTTCTAGGCATTCTAAGCGAACGAGCTTCCCCTTCAAGTGTGAAGGACAAGATGGACCGCCGCGCCCAAATTTCAGAAGTCCTCGCATTGCAGCACTCAACAATCAAACGCCATCCAGCGATCAAGCCTCGCCTCTAACTTCATAGATCTCGCCAGCCATTGTGCGAAGGCTTATGGGCAGCCGCGCTTGCACATCATGGTTCGAGCAGTCTCGAGCCACAGCTTGCCACAACATGCATGTGCTTAAGGTCCATCGCGTGTGTGCGCATCCACGCCTCTACTACAGTACAAAGGGAAAGCATACCGCACATAGGCAAGCAGGGCTTTCATGATCCATGGCAGCCTCGCAGCGTGCTTCGGCGAGAACAAGACGCCAGCACGATGCAGTTCTTCATCCATCTCCTGACTGCACAGGTGCACCGGCTAAAGCAAAGAGAAGAAGCCTGAAAGCCCATGCAACCAGCATGCCTGAACATCGGTCCATCGTTTCAGCCATCGAAACACCCTCGTTGGAAGCTCCTCAACCAAGATTGCGCAACAGAACGTGAAGGGCTTTCACTGAAGAGCTTTCGCTGTCACAGCTCAGCTGAAGCGCAAGATATCCTGATGTAGCAGGTTCGCGGCGTACTCCCTGTTCTTTGAGACGACTCCAGCACGCGAATCAGAAGGTCTCGAAGGGAAGATTAGGACTGTTCAAGTCTTCCGGGTCCTTTGCTCCTGCTCAGGAAGGCAGCGGTCGCGGAATCACAAAAGGTGGCTGAATCACTCAAGCTTCACAATCCAACATTCTCAGGAGAGGGCCTTGGGACCGGCGTTTGCCCTGGCAGGACAGTGGCGGCCCTGCATGTTTCTGTATATAACTTAGTCTGCTAGGACCCGCTGGACCCGCCTTTGACGTCCTGTTCGGCTCGCAACCATTAGCCGCCTGAGGCGTCTCCGCAGGATCTGTGCCTCCATTCTGATCATTTTGCACCGGCACATCGCCGTGAGATTCTCGGGCTTCCTTGACAATGCCAGGCTTCAGCGGGTCCCCAAGCACAGCTTCTGGACTTGGTGCCGCTTCTTGGACGCTGCTGCTCCTTGCCTTAAAGCTTGCTTCAAGCTGTGCATCTGCAGTTGTGTGAACTTCTCCGTGTGCGTCGTCTGCCGCGATGTTGCGATCTGCCTCCTTCTGCGAGTGTTGGTCTTCAGATGAAGCTCCCATCCGATCCTCTCCATCGCCCAAGGCAGTTGCAGTCGGTTGTCGGGTCTGCTCTGCAAGCGATGCCTCAAAGAATCACGGCGACTAACACAAAGAGTAATCTTACCTCCCATGCCCCGGAAAGCCCAAAACATGTCTTGGGCTTCGGCTTCTTTCCTGGGTCGAATAAACTCACAGACGGGCTTTCAGTTGACAGCACACTGGCAGCCTCTTTGCCTTGCGCTTTTCCTTTCGCTGACCTTATTGGCACGGCAAGACCCATGCGGCGTGATGTGCGGTGATTTGGTGGCATCGCAGCTGCTCAAGGGCCCGCGCTTGCCGTCCGTCTGCTCTCAAACAACTCACCTGCGCGAACAGTCCGGTGCTTTGGGGCGGGCACGTGGCATCTGTGCTTGCTGCAACCTGCTACTGCTACAAGTTGTAGCAGACTAAGGAATGCACGAGACTGCTGGCTGAGAACCACTGCACTCTGCAAGGCGACGGTCGTTTGGAAAGCGTCCTGTCCGGACATCAGTGAATGCGAACTCGGTGCAAAATGTGCATAGTCACGGCGTGTTACAATGCCAGTTTATGCCGTGCAGAATCAAAATGCGATCAATTCGGAATGTTTGGTTTCGACGCAAGATCTCGAAAGCATCCAAAGATGAATTAGCAAAGGGTCGTGCATGGCCCGGGTGGGCGGGGTAACTCTTCAGGCAGGAAGTGCAGGAGCTTGTGCGGGTCCACATCCTCCAGGCCTCGTTTCTTGCTGTATGTCCTTTGATCGAAAGGCAAGAAGCCCAGCGAGATGGCATCACCAGCAATCCGATGCACCTGCAGACCCGGCACAGATCCGAAGACCGAGTGCAGGGACATGTAGCGATGCAAATCTGGCAGACCACCAGGATTGAAAACATGGACGCCATGGAGATGCCCAGGGTTCGAAGAGCCCATAAGCCTCGCAAGCCTGGCCACAACTGCGCCACCAAGAGAGTGGCCCGTTGCCGTGACACGTCGGGCCGCATGGCAATGAAGCTGATGGAGCAGCGCTGCGTGGGCTTCTGCTGCTCGACTGTGCAGCGCCTCGAAGCTCTTCCCGATTGCTATGCACGCATCTCTGCCAAGGTCTTGCACATCTGAAATACAAGTCCCTCGCTCTGCTATGACCAGGTGGCCACCATTCGCAGGGCAGTACCAGAACCCTTGCCGAGAATCACCCCCAACATACGCGTACCAAAACTCACCCTCGTCAGTCTGCCCATCGCTGAGAACCATCCCATACAAAAGTACTCCCCGGCGATCAGAAGGATTCCTGTAAACCTGCTTCGCGAGTCGCGCATGCGCTTGCGCGTCTGCACTCGCCGCATCGAAGAAGTGCTCCGCGTGCTGTGGCCAACCATTTGCAGCCACTGGAAGCTTTCTTGTCAGCCTTGCACAGAGTCTGCCGGCTTTTGCCTCTGCGGATGCCGCGATGGCTGTGAGGCTGAGTTTGACAGCTGCCTCCCGGACACGGTTCTTGGCCTTCTGTTTCAGAGTGTGCTTCAACACCTTGACCAGATGCTGAGCGGCGCGGCCGGGTCTTGCACAGGCCATGACCGGGCTGACCGAACTCGACATGCCACTGCTGCCAACATCCACCAGCAGCCTGTCCGGGTCAGACTCTTATAAGATGAACTTGGCTTGAACTGCCCGGGTTGTCGGGTGCGGGATTTTGGGGGGCGCTTTGAAAATTTGCAAAAACTGGGATAACAGCCCACCGGCAGCCTGGCTACGGCAATGGCAGCCCCTGTCTTGTCGCCAGCGGATGCAGCATCCAGAGCATCGGTTGCAGGGCCGACAATTGGGCAAAAGCCAACAGCCGTCCGTAACAGGACCATGGTGCTTCAAGGGGGCTGTCTTGAGCACAAGCACAACACACACATCGAGCAAGCATGACACGCAGACCGTCTTGCTCTCCTAGTTTTGTCCTGTGCTCTACACTGCGTGTTCCGGGACGAGCATGGGCGTTGCCTTAAGATGTTAGGAAAACTGATGCCAGCGTACTCGTACGCCACTGCCAATGCTAGCGCTGCCCTGGTTCTCAGGGATGCTTCCGGCTCAGACTTGCTAGAAACTCTCCTGCGCGACCCGCCAGGGTGCGTAAGATGCCTTTTGCCTCCAGCCAACCCCCATTCAATGTGCACCATCCGGTGCAGCCGTGCCCAAGACCGCGCCCGCCTCCGCCTTAAAACCCCCCTGCAAGGAAGCTCGAAAGAAACGCTCGCGGACTCCACAGGACGACGTGGAACCACTAGCAACGACGTGGCCTGCATGCTAACACATACAAAGCCTCATCAGGCCTCTTCCTTCGGCTCCTGCATTGTGTCCCAGTCCTGTCAACAAGTACAGCAAGTACAGCAGAACCCTTTTGGCAAAGATGCTTTCCGCGACTCTTCTGCAACTGCTGTCCAGCGCAGCGGCCAGCTCGTCTTTGGAGACAACACCGTCTCCGTCCGTGTCCAGCTTTTCAAAGTCGACCTGCATCCGGGCGGAACTTGCACCAACATTGCCTTGCTGGCGGGGAACGTCGACGTCACGAAGGCCTCTGCCAATTTGGAATTTTGTGCCTCAAGCACAAACACCAATCAACACATGTCTATCAACCCATGGACTCACAGCTCACTCAGCCGGCCACCTGCAATTTCTTTAACTCGTCCCTTGAGAGGACACCATCGCCATCATCGTAGCTCTTGATCATGTCCTCTGACCACGCAACTCACGATAGATATCCATAGGTCACTGCAGCCGAACGCTCCGTCTGTGCATGTCGAGCCTCGGCCTTCGATTCCTGCATTGTGTCCCAGTCCTGCCGACAAGTACAGCAAGTACAGCAGAACCCTTTTGGCAAAGATGCTTTCCGCGACTCTTCTGCAACTGCTGTCCAGCGCAGCGGCCAGCTCGTCTTTGGAGACAACACCGTCTCCGTCCGTGTCCAGCTTTTCAAAGTCGACCTGCATCCGGGCGGAACTTGCACCAGCAGTGCCTTGCTGGTGGGGAACGTCGACGTCACGAAGGCCTCTGCCAATTTTGAATTTTGTGCCTCAAGCACAAACACCAATCAACACATGTCTATCAACCCATGGACTCACAGCTCACTCAGCCGGCCACCTGCAATTTCTTTAACTCGTCCCTTGAGAGGACACCATCGCCATCATCGTAGCTCTTGATCATGTCCTCTGACCACGCAACTCACGATAGATATCCATAGGTCCCCATAGGTCACTGCAGCCGAACGCTCCGTCTGTGCATGTCGAGCCTCGGCCTTCGATTCCTGCATTGTGTCCCAGTCCTGCCGACAAGTACAGCAAGTACAGCAGAACCCTTTTGGCAAAGATGCTTTCCGCGACTCTTCTGCAACTGCTGTCCAGCGCAGCGGCCAGCTCGTCTTTGGAGACAACACCGTCTCCGTCCGTGTCCAGCTTTTCAAAGTCGACCTGCATCCGGGCGGAACTTGCACCAGCAGTGCCTTGCTGGCGGGGAACGTCGACGTCACGAAGGCCTCTGCCAATTTTGAATTTTGTGCCTCAAGCACAAACACCAACATGTCTATCAACCCATGGACTCACAGCTCACTCAGCCGGCCACCTGCAATTTCTTTAACTCGTCCCTTGAGAGGACACCATCGCCATCATCGTAGCTCTTGATCATGTCCTCTGACCACGCAACTCACGATAGATATCCATAGGTCCCCATAGGTCACTGCAGCCGAACGCTCCGTCTGTGCATGTCGAGCCTCGGCCTTCGATTCCTGCATTGTGTCCCAGTCCTGCCGACAAGTACAGCAAGTACAGCAGAACCCTTTTGGCAAAGATGCTATCTTTTTTGATGGATGCATGAGTGATGCATGGTTCACAAGCCTCTAGCCCCTTCGGGCACGCGTCCAAAACACGGGGTGGTCATGATACCAATGGTTGTCGTGCGAAGTTCCGCGACTCTTCTGCAACTGCTGTCCAGCGCAGCGGCCAGCTCGTCTTTGGAGACAACACCGTCTCCGTCCGTGTCCAGCTTTTCAAAGTCGACCTGCATCCGGGCGGAACTTGCACCAGCATTGCCTTGCTAGCGGGGAACGTCGACGTCACGAAGGCCTCTGCCAATTTGGAATTTTGTGCCTCAAGCACAAAACACCAATCAACACATGTCTATCAACCCATGGATTCACAGCTCACTCAGCCGGCCACCTGCAATTTCTTTAACTCGTCCCTTGAGAGGACACCATCGCCATCATCGTAGCTCTTGATCATGTCCTCTGACCACGCAACTCACGATAGATATCCATAGGTCCCCATAGGTCACTGCAGCCGAACGCTCCGTCTGTGCATGTCGAGCCTCGGCCTTCGATTCCTGCAGCGCATCCTGTGACACCGCATGCACAACGCATTTCCAAGGTCCCTCTGTACAGCACATTCGAAGGCTCTGACCGACAAAGCAACCACTTCATCGTCGGCATCCGACTTGTCACAGTCAGCCTGCTCCATTGCAATGGCCTCTGGACACTATTGGAAAGTGGTGAAAGCTGCATGGGTTCCAGCTGCTTCAGGAGGATTCTTGCTAAGCTACGTGTGAGAGGAAAACCGCGTACAGGTAAGCCTTGCAAACCATGTCGACCCCTCACACCCACATGCTTTAACCTGGAAACCTAAATCGGAACTTGGGATGACTCGCAAGGAAGCACAGCAAGCCACAAGGATCTAGGATTCGAGGGCAAACGAAAGAAGCGCGCAACACGCGCCGTTGCCTTCCAGAGTTGCAGAGTTAAACAATCACTTCCAGCCTGCATCTTCTCGAACGACAAAGAACCATCACCATCAGCATGAGTCTTCAACTCGTCCTACCAAGGGGTTCGCTCAACCGTGGCCTCTCAACAAGGCTGTTGAGTGCCTTGGCATTGCCAAAATGACACCTAGGAGACCATGCGGCGTTCCGTGCTGCATCATGGAACTTTCCGGGTCGCTGGTGCACATGGCATCATGCTGGATCGGCCTAAAGACAAGTTAACATCGCGAACACCAGATCTGAACGTCAAGCAGAGGGTTTGACATTCAAGCCTACAACTTAGTAGATGATAAGGGGTTACTTCTTCGACACCACAGCCTGTCCGAAGCAGAAGCCTCAAGGTGCGCAACCCTGTCCTGCACATTGACCTCTGCATCGAGCGGGCGGCTGCTGCGCTGCTCAGTCTGCTCGCAAGTGGTCCCAGCCTGCAGTGGGTCTCCACCTGCCTCTTCGCTGGAAACAATGCCGTCTGCAGCGCTGTCAGTGCGGGCCCGGTTCCATGGAGGTGGGCAGATCTGACTTTCTGCAAAAGATGCAAGAAGCCGATGGACCCAGTCCTCAGAACCTCGCAGCTGCGATGTCTCTTCCGATCCATGTTGCTGGCTGGCTCCTTTGCACTTCATGTTTGCAGGCCTTGGCTTGGGTGCAAAGTTAGCCCAATGCTTTTCCAGTCGGCTGGCCAGCGGAATCTGCGGAAGGTCTCCTGCCTGCAGAGCTCGCACCTGATGAGATGTCCAAGCATCGTGAGAGGCACAATCATCGGGCCGTCCCAGCTCTGGCTCATGGCCAGCTGGAAAACCAGGAGGGTCATGAAACGCCGCCATCAAGCGCCGCTCTACCCAGAAGTACTGCGGTGAACTTGTGGTGTGTTTAAACCTTGAAGATACCACTTGTGACAATCTGGCCGGCCAGCGGCCACGACTCGCGCTGTGTTTAACCTCGTCAGCTATGTCAGGTTGGGGGATGTGACAATCTGGGCAAAGAGCTTCTCATGCGTCTCTGGTTTTCTGGTAGCCGGGTCGCAACGCACCCAATTGCACGCAATCCATTCCTACTACCCATAATTTAAACTGTTGGCCTCGCTTGCATGTTTGCTGGACAGGGCTGGGCGCATCTGTGTATCATCGTATGTCACGTTTTTCTGCGGATCTGCCAGATCTCGTTGGCCCTCACGCAGTATAGCCGGCCTGTGGCACACGGAGGATAGGCATCCAATGCATTCGAATGAACAAGTCTGTCCTGCTCAAGCTTGCGCTTGGCTCGCGCGGTCAGCAAGTCACCGGCATGCTGCTGCAATTGCCTTGAGTGGATAGTAGAGTCTTGCATGCATCTCGGCCGACAAGAATGAAGCAGGTGTGCCTTGCCTCAAATCCTCATCTCCTGCCATTTGGCAGGACATCAGATTTAGCAACTTGCTGTGGGCTTCACCAGTTGTCTGAGCAGCAAGCCCAAAGTTGGAAGCTTCGAGAGAATTGGAGCCAAAGCCTTCACAGGTGACACAGAGTGGTGAGGAACAAACCGTCAGAGGGAATTCGTGGTCGAACGCTGCTGAGGTCTGAACAGGCTGCGTGGGGCTGCTAGGAGGTGGCAGGCTTCCTACGCCCCAAATTTCAGAGAGCATCCCAGCGAAACTGCCAAAGACTGGCCCCGAGAAAGACGTGCTCATGCTGCCCTCTATTAGCCTGCAACCCGGTCTCGCAGACCAACAACCTCACCTGATCTCAATGCCAGGGCTGCGACAAGCCATTCTTTGCAACAGACAACACAACGTGAACACCAAGGCTCTTGCCCATGAGAATCAATGCTGGCCCTGGTAAATCCTTGCGATCTCTAACCTGATTACATGCGTCAGTCAAGTGTCCCACCTCTTTCGGTTGCCAGGCAAGGAAAAGACTGGAATCACTAGAGCGCATGGCTGCTGCTGCAAGAGTGGCAACCGTCCCCGTGACGACCTGCATCTTCCCATGTCACACAAGCTCTTGTCGACAGCAGTGCAGTGCGCCACAAGAGGTGCATGGACCTGCATCTCTGGCAGCGACGCCCTGTCCACGAGGGCCATGGGCATGGCCTGGACCAGAGTGCCAGTGTCTGCACTAGTGAATTTAATGTAGAAAACTAAAAATTATAAACTAGTGAATTTTCTTCTTTCTATTTTTCTACATTCTTTTTATCCTTTTATAATTATATTTTCAAGCGAGAGAAGAATCCTTAATTAAAATATGAAGGAGATAAAATATGATTTCCACTTAGCTCTTTTGTTTCAACAACTCAGCGATGCACGCCAGAAACTCCCGCGGCCATCATCTTTTGCGTGACACCTCAGGATAACTCTACACCGTCTATACCAAATCTGCAGCTAGACATCGCAAGAAGCCCCCCAAGAAGCCCCCAAGCCCCGCGAAGAAGGCAGAGCTTCAAGCTCTCGACGACGTTCAACCTGTGCAAACGGTCACCAACAGCGGAGAACGGTCCGCATGGTCCGAATGGTTCACTTTGCTTCGCTGGCCGTCGCACCCCATGTAGAGGGCGAAGGTCGCGCTGGGGGCGCCAAATTGCGACCAGTCAAACCGCTCATCTTTGATGGTGGAGGGGTTCATCGTGTGGACCTGAATATAAGCTGAAGGATCTGGGGGGCCTACTCACAGTCACCACTGCGTCTTGCCGCTGAATGCTGGGAGTCTTGCTCGAAGAGAGGTGGCACAATTACGAAAGGTCAATGGTATCCGAGCGTCGGCCCCTTAGGGAGCTGGTGTGTCCCGGCTGTGGCTCTGAGAAGGAAGGTGCTAAGCCACCCGCCTGCTGCTAGGCAAGCGGTGACCTGGGCTTTGCCGGTCGCTTTGCTGCTTTTCGTTGCTCTGTGCTGGCTAGACCAAGGTCCCCACGGCGGGAACAACCTCGTAAGGGACGCCGGCCGCCGCTAGCTCCTAACGATGGTGCGGTTATGTGCAGTGGCTGGCCCCTCATCACCTGGCGCGGAATCCTGCTGATGTGGCTGCCCGAACTATACTCTTCAGCAATGGTGACCGTGCGCCACTCGCTCACACCAAATGCCACTCTGTGCTCAGCGGAGTCTTCGCGCTTTTGTAAGGCCGTCCTCCATTTCCTCACCAGCACGGCCGAAGATCATGGGATCTCCTCCCTTGAGGCGGCACCTGGGATCCGGGGCTTCTATGTATGTTGCTATCGTGGCTAAGAGCTAGAGGGCGCAGCTCACGACATGTTCTCGGGCATTTGTGAAGTGACCCGAAACTTGCACACGGCAATCGAATGACCTCCTCCTTTGCTAAGGCGGCTGAAGGGTTCCCGGCACGATCGGGGTCATGTCATGTCCCTGCGCTTTTAAGCTCCGGATCGCGGGACCAGCTGGGCCAGGCAGTGGTGTCCCAAGCACGCCGCTGTCTGGCATCGTTATGGCCCTCATACGAGTAGCACTCTGTAGAGAAGGCCACAGGCGGAAACCCAGCTGCACGCCCGCAGTCGCGAAACATTGCGCAACTCGCTTTGCAACATCCCCGTTTCATCGAGCAATGTCCTTGTGCTGCGAGTTGCGACTTGTTAGCAAGAACTAACCCGGGCGCGCGCCGGCTCAGAATCCGCATTTGGAGGGTCAGCATGTCTGCGCACGCACCTACCATCGTCTTTTTCGCAAAACATTAACGGATAGAAGAGGAACTTTTGACCGTCAACTCTAGCGGGGTCGTTGCAACTGGCCGTGGTGTTCCCCCTAGCATCCCTAGCACCCACTGAGACGGTCTCTCTGCCCGGCATCATTTCCAATTACCCAAAACCCAGAAGCAGAATCACGAAGCTATGCACCCAGTAAGCCACTAAGTCCTAAAGTCCTACTACCAGACCTTCACGGCAAGAGCATCACGCAAATTGTCTGATGTGCGGCCAGTCTTGGCGATCTTCATGGACTGCCAACCAAGGTGCGTGCACTGACTTCCCCTGCTTAGCCAGCACGGCAAGCTGAGACGAGATGCTGTCCTGCGAACCGAAGCGGGCTCAACATTGTCCCAGCAGCCAGAACCGGATCCTTTTCCGAAGAGAACATCGGGACGGTTGCACACATGCAAACACGGCTTTGCGCGGCTCTGCTGCTTTTCTTGGCGAGGTGATGTGAACAGCGACGCGGATTTCAGGGTTGCAGTGCCATGGTCCTGCTGCACTTTCATCTCTGCAGTAGGCACATTGGTTTCCTCCGCACGTCTTCAGTGTGGCACCGAACACACGGACATACACTGACATCATGGTGCTACTGCCATACGCCACCTGCCTTCCCGACATATCGAACCTCCGCCGTTGGCTTGGCCAAGCCTATGACCTGCCAGATCGGGGATGCTTACAGAACAGGGTGCCTCACAAGAAAACGGAGCACAAGCTCAGAGAAAAGTTCTTTTCGGCGGCAGTTACTGCCAGCGGAGTGCGTGAAAATGCGTGAAACGTAAACGATGCTTATACTACCACGCCCGTCGGCATGGAAACACTGCAGCAGGCTACTACACTGATTAACTTGCGCATGCTACGGCAAGCTCAGCTGAAGCACAATGGCTCGTCGGCTTCCTACTTTGCGGAATCGCCGTCGTGAGCCGGGCAGTCTGCACAGGAGGGTGTGAAGTCGGTCGAGGCTTCAGACGCCGCATCGCAACCTGAGACGACAGGTTCAGATCGTCTCAAGCTTGGATTTGTGCAATCGAGCCTGCATCTTTTCCTGTCTTGGCCTCCTTCTGGCTCCTTGGAGATCATGGCTTCAGTGCGCAAAGACTGTGGAGTAGTTCTCTAAAATAGGGTCTATATAGTGGACCCGAAAAGGGACCCTGATTTAGAGAGCTACCCTACTGGCAGACGCAGGGCAGACGGTTAGCGACACACAAAAACACAAGTGTGGACTTCAGACAGGCTGCAGGCATACTGGTCCCTGGTTGTCCTGCCAAAGTTGGGCAAGGCCTAGCTCACTTCTCTCATTCAGCAAGCTGCCCCTGTCAGCACATGCACGACGCGGTCCTCACAGTACATGGTGGCGTCTCGTTGCCGGTATCCCAAGGCAGGCGACAGGATGATGGAGCCCACGACAATGGAAAGCATCACTGCGAGTTCAGTGCCATCCGACAACTGCAAGGGCGCATGGGCGGTAGCTTCTGTGTTCTTGCGGATCTGATGCCAACGACTGCTCATTGCGACTCGCGCATGCGGCCTGGACATCATCTCTGAAGAGCAGCAGGATGCCGAAGAAAATCCTAAGTGTAAGGCCCGGTGAGGCACAGCAGGCGTACCCATGATTTGACTGTAACTGGTCGAAATGGAAAATGAGCCAGGCTGCACAAGGAAGCTAATCCCGATTTTGAGGAGGTAAAAACTTCTCAGCAGCTCCCGCACCACGACAAAGAGCTCAGGCAGGGCGAAGGCTGCCTTGGGCTTCCAGCAGCAGAAAGCGCCCTAATGCGCCGCAATGGCCAAAGCGGTGAGAATTCAACACGTTGCTGCTTGCTGCCTGACAACTCTACCCTCAACCCCCAAGTAAAAAAGCACGTCATCCGACGCCGAACTGAAGTTTCAGAAGCACTTGTTCCTTGTCCATTGGGCGGCTATGGACCGTGGCTTCACGGCCACATATCAGTGCATATCAGTGCTGGACTTCTGTAGTGCGGATGACAATGCACCTTTCGGGCTTCCTTCCGTTGCCGAACTCTTCTAGCTCTGAGCTGCTTCAGCTTTCAGTAGATCCTACTCTCTTTGCCGACTCTACGGAATAGGGAACTATCTTGCCTTCTGCGATTCGTCCAATTTGCGAGGTTTCGTCTCCAGTCAAAGAACTGTCGAAGAACTCACGTTCCGCTCGCATGGGCTCCAAAGACTGGGGGACTTGTGGTGTTGCTTTGGTCTCACCGGGAGGGAAGCCTGGGAGTGTCACCCCCAAAGCCGGCAATACAGCTGTACCTCACAAGGTGTATTGGGATGTTTTTAGCAGACGGCGCAATCGGGGTTTACATTGCCCTCGTGCTTGGATCGCACACGATCGAGACTTGAATCGCACCAAGTGTTCGAATCGGCCTGCAACCACCGCGGCTGCCAGTCGGCCCCCTATCCCGCAAACTGCCCTTTGCTCTTTGTTGCATCTTCCGGCAAAGCAAAGCCCAGCTGCAAGCACAGATGAAGACCAGGCAATGAAATGGCTGTCAATTTCTTCAATCTTGGTCAAAGTGACGTCTACCTGAGGGGCAGCCGACGCAGCAGCGAGACAGAGCAAGCTGAGTACGTTGAGTCCAACTTGGCAACCTTGACTTGAACGACCATGCCTTTGCCAACAGATACTCCCGAGCCTCCATCGCGAACATTACCATTAAGAGGCAGCAAGTAACGGGCCCCATCATCGTGACCTTGGCACTTCTCAACGCAGCATCTGCATCCTGACGGCTGCAGATTCAGACTCTCTGCAGCCAGGAATCACAGACGAGCCCGTTCCTTGTCTGTGTGCTGACTGCTTGTTGCATCAGTCAATACCTCCTACCCGTACTGTACATGGCATGCTTGAGTAACGCCGGGCAGCTTGTACACGAACACACTGCCATCAGGTTCGTAATTTGGGAGCAGCCGATCTCCCATGGCAAGTCGGAAAGTCTTGTAAGACTCTGAATGTGCAGCATCAAAGCCTGGCGACGCGCCAGTGTGCATAGGCAAGTCTGGATCAAGCACCAAGTCTGGGCTCCCCACCTTCGTGGTCATCATCGCCTTGGTGACTAGGCATGCTCCGGCTCCCGCAACATCCCGCAACCCCGCTTGGTGGAAAGGCACAATGCAACCAAGATTCGCATCGTTTGAAGGCCAACCAAGATCAACCAGGCACCCAACAAGTACGGCAGCACCTTCAATTCTCGAATCCAAGCCTCAGCACAGGAACTTGCGACATGCATAAACGCTACTCACGGGTGGTCACTGAACTCATCTGGGTTGCCAACAGCTATGCCCATGAACATGAACCTCACAAGTCTCACAAGCATGAAGGGCGACGACAGAAACAATAGCATGCCGGCCAACAGCTACCGTCAAAAGTTCCAAGCACCAATATCTCGCAGAGAAGCATCTGGAAAAGCATCTGAAAGATGGACACGAGGAAAAGTGCGTAGCGTGCCATTTTGGCAGGGACTTTGAAAGCGACCAGGATCATGTGGTAGAGGAAGATGTTCTCCTCAAGGCCCGATCTCTCTGGCAAGCTACTTTCCCTCAGCGTTGGAGGAAGGCAGAATGCAAACGGGCTGCCATCGAGAGCACCAGCTCCATCACGTAGCCGTCCAGCCACTTTTCTCCGGCGCCCATGCCGGAGGAAGCAAAGGTCCAGGTTAGAAATCCCATTGCTGCCTTCAACAGGTATACAAGCGATTGAGGAGCTAAGGGGGTGCTAAGGGCGGGGGACCATTCTCAGAGCTAACTAACTGCCCAGCATGCACCAGCTGCGGAACGAGTCAAGTGCCGGACTAGGATCCAGATGCCGAGAGCTATAACCTGAGCGAGGTCAGCTATTCGACACCAGTCGACTAGATAACCTGGGGAAGCAGTAGCAATGCAGTAGCAGACAAGACGGGCAGCGTGAGAGAGAGAGGACTCGAGCGCCAGCTGATGGATGAACAAACCTGAGCCGTGTCGCTTCGCATGTTTGACTTGCTCAGCAACTTGATGAGACTTGATAGCTTCTGAAAAGCGGATGGCAAGCGGCTAAGCCGCAAAAGCAGTAGCCAGACCATGCCAAAGGCCACCCACTGGCCAGCCACGGTCGAAGAGAAGAACGCCTCTTGCATTCTCATAGCATGCTTGTATTTGACAGTCGGAACCCGGGGATCATGAAAGATTCGGTCACCTTAGAGGCCCCACCTCGATGTCCATGTGCGGGTGCTCCCGTTTGACCGAGGGCTTTCGACTTCGTCCCACCACTTTCCAGAGCGGGGAATGCTTCAAGACCGCGCGGTCTGCGTGGACGGGCGCGATGGGCCAGAAAGAACGCGGAGAACCCACATCAGACCCCAGGTCTCCAATGGGGCCCAGCGACGGCTGCGTTGCCTGAAAGCGGGTCGACGCTCGGATTTGGATGCGAATGATGCGAGTGGCCGAGCAATGACAAACTATGTCACTACATCGGGCACTGCCTCTAGTTGGTCTGTGTCAGGTCTGTCCTGACCCAGAAAACCTGACGAAGCACCGGCTCTTCTCGGCGGAGCAGCCTGCAAAGTCTGGATGACACCCAGCGTCCTGCTCTACATCCGTTGCCAAAGCTCCAGGCCTGTGTAAGCCTTCCTAGAAAGGCCGCAGCTAAGGCGATCAAAACAGGCGTCGACCTGTGCACATGGGCTTTAGCGAGTGTCCTGATCTTTGCCGACATGTTCCAAAAAACTGCCCACATCTCAGCATTTAGCTGCGGCTCAGCTTGGCACTCATTGCACTTCCGTCTTCACAGCACACCACCGTCCGCAGCAGAAACAACAGGAACGGCATTCAATAGTTCGGGTGCTCAAAGATTACCCTTATCTGGCCTTCGGCCAGAGGTCAACATTCGTCAAGCCGGAGTGGTGCTTGAGTCCTGCAAGGAAAGCAAAGCACTGCCACAAGCGCGCGTCCTTGAGTCTTTGGGCTTTTTGCACTGCAGAGCTGTACAACTCCGTCCTCCGTCGCCAACGGCGAGCACTGCGGAGGTCTTGCAGTTCTAGTACCGGATGAAGTAGTTCGGAGGTTGTGATTGCATGACTTGGAGCCAAACCCTGCGGCCTCACGACCTTACGCAAGCCGTGTGTCATGATTTTTGGGAACGTGGATACGAAAGCTAGCAACTCGTGCGGGGAAGAAAATATACTCTGATGATCTTTGGGGGCTAAGACAGGGGGGCCTCTGGGAAAGAGACGTGTGAGGCCCAGCAAACCGGCTTATGGTCAAGGCTTCGGAAGGCCTAGGTCCTCAAGCCTCAAAAATTAACGTATGCCTGAAGGCGATCGGCTTCATGTCGGCCACAGCCGACCTTCGTAAACTCAACTGCCGCTCGACTCCCAACGTGCCTCCTGAGCTAGCCGGTCATACAGTACCACATCGCAGGATTGCAGCACCTGCCCAGAAAAAACACATTGCAAAACGAATGCAAATGTCATGCTGTGGCTGAAAGCCTCAAGCGCCCGAAGGGTCAGTAGCTTCGCTGAGCCCGGACCAGCTCCGACAAGGTAAACCTCAGTAGTGCTCATTCTCGACACTTCAACTTGCTGCTCTTGCAAATAAAACTTCACCCATCTTCCCAGAATTGAGGAACCGACGCACCCAGCGTGGACGGCACCTCCGTGCCATTCCATGCATTTTTACAGTCTAAGCCTAGGCACTTCGATCCCAGCCTCCTTCGCCTGCCGAGCCAGTTGCCATGGAAAGATGTGGTGGCTCTGCGACTAGATGCGGTCATGAGCACGTGGACAGCTAGTGCTGGCTGGACTTTGAAGATGAAGAGCCACGACTGGATCTTTGCACCGTCTGTGAAGCCGAGAAACTGCGGGGTTCAAGCGCTAATGCCGTCTTGCTCAGTGATTACTAGATCCCGGTTGTAGCTTTCCGTGCGCTGTTTTCGTGCCACCATGCTCCTGCGCGCAGCTACTACGTCCACTACTCGTGTATTGGGCTTCACCGCCACAGGCAATCCACACTCGGTGCCAGAGGCCTGCGGTGCGGAGGCGACTACCCTCGCCCTCCCATTGCGTTCGGCTGGCTCAGCGTGACCTCCCATGTGCCTGGATAAGGAAGTCCAGCCAGGTCTTGGACATGCTTCAGAGCATCAACTGCCTTCGCCATTCGCGAATCAAAATGTGCAGTTCCGGGCTCATTTCGTCTTAGTACATCGAAACCTATAATCCGAAATTTTGTGGCGTGCTTTACCCATACTTGTGTACTGCCGCTTCGGCAGTCCCTACGAAAGTCTACGGACTCGGGGTGATTGGGATGCACAGTAGGATTGGAACTCGGAAATGTTCAGCACCGGGGCTGAAGGGTTGAAGGGTTTCGGCATTCAGGGGTTCGGGCCCCCAAGCAGACGGACAAGACCAGGAGCGGCTGCTTAGCCGGAGAAACGCTGAACGGTCACACGGCACAGAAACAAACAAACAGAAACGCCGGCACGCCAAGAGCGTCACACAAGCGATGCACGAACCTGCTTCGACTTGCTAATTGATCACAATACCTGCTCCCAAAACAGCCCCTTTCTCCCCTATCAACCCATAGGAACCCTACCTTTGGATAAAAGAGCTCCGGACTTGAGGGCGCCAGACTACCCATGCTGTGAAAGCTGCGAGACTTGGACACCCCATAAGGGGGTCAAGTTTAGGGTTTTATCCCCCAAGATTGAAGTGGGTCCAGACTTGTTTAAGGTTGGGCGTTTCTTTGCTGATGTTTTGGGTTTTTTAGGCCCAGCCTCATCACTCCTTTAATCCGAAGCATTGAGATCGAGAGTCACATGATTCAGCACAAAATCACATCGAGAAGTGAAGCTCTTGCGAGCTGGCCTTTTCTGTGTTCTCAGGCATCCTATGGTATGCCCCCTTCAAATATTGACAAGAAGCACAGAGGACGACGTGTATGGAAGAAGAGACAATGACAAGCCAAAGACAAAAATAATATGAACCAAACGAAGCAAAAAGCAAAACAAAATCAAGACCACAACAAAAAAGCAACAAGCAAGAAGAAGCAAAAGCGAAAAAATTGAACAATGTAAAAGGCAAAAAGCAACTCACTAAGAAAAAACACACAAAAACCCGAAAGCATGAAAGCAGAACAGAGTGGGAACAGGCAAAAGGAACCAAAAGCATAATCACAAGGCCCAAGCAAAAAACACAAGCAACTCCACAATAATTCATCCCGCGCCTGCCCACTCTCAACGGCCAGGCGCCATGCCGCCACTGCCCGTGCTGCTGGTCGCAATCCACCTGGCGGCAACAGAACACCACTACCACTCCAGGCCCTTTTGCATCGCATATTGCCTGGCCCGCGAAGGTCCCGCAATAGTTGCACTTCTTCTTGAAGCCTGCAAAGCCAGGCGACATGCACTTAAAAATCCTGCGCAGATTGGAAACCTCGCATACACTGGTTGGCTACGCAGCGGCTGTAGGTTGGGCTAGCTTACGCTCTTTCGAGTCTTAACGTGGTAGCGGAAACAAGACTTCCCATCTCTTCAGGGACATGAACGACAAAGTATGTGACATGCAAGAGCTTTGCACCGGACACCAAGCGGGATGACATGAAACCCTTTCGTACACAGGCCTCTTGTCACCTTGCCGGGTAAGAAGCCTTTCCTTCTTCTTTCTTTCATGGTGTATACGGGCACGCCCCCGTTCAGCCCGCGCGCCCCCCGAGTTCGGAGGCGAAAAGCACAGAGAGCGGGACGTCTGAAACACACCCTCCTTCTCTCTCTCTCTCTCTCTCTCGCTCTCTCTGTCTCTCTCTCTCTCTCTCTCGCTCTCTCTCTCTTTCTTTCTGGGGCAAGCCCCGCGCCAAGGCGCGACCCGTTCCCGCGTCTGACGAGCTACAGCCACTCATCGGCCGCCGCTGTTCGGCGGTGCTCAACCGGATCAGTCTGTGCGTGGTACTACTACTTTGCACTGAGTAAAGCTTTGGTCATCAAGCTCCTAGACCCACCAAAAAGGCTATCTTTCTCCTTCATCTTCTCTCACGCTCATGCCTCTCACTCCCACACGCACACACTCCCACACTCCCACTCTCCCACTCTCCCACTCTCCCACTCTCCCACTCTCCCACTCTCCCACTCTCTCACTCTCGCACTCTCTCACTCTGACACTCTCACTCTCACTCTCACTCTCTCGCTCTCTCTCTCGCTTCTTCTGCACAGCGGAGAGGCCCCCCCTAGGGAAGGCCACGGCCACTCTGGCCCGCCGGTCTGTCTTGCGGTGAGATGGCGACCCGGTGGACTCATTGGTCACTTATGGGTCGGGTTGGGTGTCTCAGAAGCGTCCCGGCAATGTGCCCTCAGAAGTCGAGCTGGTGAAAGTGTTCATCACCCCCTTTGTTCATGATCTTCTTCCCGTGGCAGAGGTTCTACATGTGGGTCCCCCATTGTTAGTCTCGAAGGTTGTCTTCGTTGTCCGGTACTTTTGTTCGTAAGGCAGCGGTCCAAAAACATGCGTTCATTCACGGCCCCAGTAAGGCTTCTGCTGCCGCTGCGGTTCAGGAGGCCCACCGCTCGAATTCACCATTCGCAAAATCCCCCCAACAGTGGGCCGGCTACGCAAACCCTTCCCCTCGGCTCGTCTCCCCCTCAGCGGTAGCCAAGGTTTGGACCCTCGGGTCGGGGCGCGCCCGTGCACGACACTGCGTGAAGGGGCTGGCTGCCTTTCTGTGCTCCCCCATGGTCTGCTCTGTGGTCAAGATCAAGCGGATTTGTATATGATTCCTTGACTTCGGTGCGAGTGAGTGAGTTTGTCCGAGTTCTGTAAGTGCCATGGCTCAAACGAGTAGTTGGGGACGCGCGCTAAACTGAACGCCCGCTGGCCGTATCCCCTGTTTCGTTTTGGGCCAAAGTTTAGCACGTATGGCTCAAGCGGGGGGTGGGTTCCTCTCTCTCTCTCTCTCTCTCTCTCACACTCCCTCTCCTAAGTTCCTTTTTGCAACCCCTAAACCCCAGACCCCTAGACCCTTGACATCCATGCCTTAACCATACAGCCCTAAACCCGTGTTGCCCGTCGTGTACTGTTGATATGTCAAAATGCGCACCCTCACCCAAGGTCGCTGTAAACGAAACAAACTGTGCAGCACGACAGCAAGAGCGCGCCACGCATCCACAGATTCACAGGCCAGAGCACCAAAAAAGGAGCCCGGTTCCACTACAGACGGTCAAGCCGTCAATTTCCTTTCCTCCCAGCGCAACCCTCATCTAGCACTGTTTGGGGAAAACATGGGAAACACACACCGAAGTCTCAGGCTGCAACAAAATGCCCTGATCGACATTGTCTTGCTCCTGGCGCTCTGCACATCTGCTAGCGCACACATTACTTCCCCATCTCGCCCTGGGAAAAGCTGTCCAGGCGCGACAGTAGCTGGCCCAGACCAACGGCCTGAAAACATGCGCTTCTGCTTCACCCATACTCCATTGTGCGGCGTCTCGTCTACACACTCCGGTGCAACAACCCAAGGGTCACACGTTGGTCTCCACACTTCCAGCCTGGCATTTTGACTGTAAGGCTGTCCGCACATCGGAAAATCCAAATTCACCGTTAACCGGCCTTCATGCGACGAAAATAATCCAGGGAAAGGCCAGGATCCTTCAAGCGTGCATGGCCGCTTGAGCCTTTGACAAACTGGCTTCACAGCTTCTTAGGTGGCCACCGGCAATTGGGCGAGCCTCGATCGAACAACACTCTGGGGTGGCAGGAAACCTTCTTGGGCACACCCATTGAGGACACTGCGCAGCGAGAATGGCCGTCGCACCCGTGCTCGACTCCAAGAAACCTCTGCCACAGCCACCCACTTTGCATGTGCGATCTACCATGTAGAACCACGTTCGAGACAAGTCATTAGCTACTAAGTACCGTAACGAGTTTTGCTGAAACGGTTGATGCACCTGATCCACGCTGAGCTTTCCACAGCCTTGTTTGCAGTAGCGCATGGTTCAAAATACTCGAAACACATGGTGCTCATGTCTGGCTCGTAGTTTCCAACAGCATGCTCATGAGAAGACAGATTTTTGCCACGCGAATAAACAGCCTCCAGCTCAGCTGGACCGCTACCTTGTGATCGTGGTACAGCTCCGACATTGACATTGGCAGCCATCCCTTAAGGACTTGCCAACGATACCCACTTCAGACCCCTTGTTGGTTATGGACTTGTCGGTGTTAGCTATGGTTTGGTTCTCAAGACCACAACGGAAAGGTTGTGAGACCCTTCAGTGAAGGGTTGACGTGAAATGGGTAAGGTGGGAAAGGTCTAAAATGGTCCTATCCCCATTTCAGACCTCCAATTTCCTGACCCTCAAGGGTCACCATTCCAGACCCCCACAAGCTGAGGGGATCTCAAAATATGGACGTGGATAACTCGAGCATGGCTTCCGCTTTTAACTTTAAAGATTGCATGGGTCCAGAAGCATGCAGGTGAAAAAGGTTCTTTGATCCTTCTCGCCCGCCATCATTTTCTCATCAGCGACAGCTTTTCTGCAATCTTGTCCACAGAGGATCCTGCGATCTAAAGTTCTGAAGCGAAGCACGTGCGGACTGTGGTCGGCAACCAGTGGCAGCCAGAGTGCATGCCAGTGCACTCTGAAACGCGCGAAGGATGGAAGGAACGAAAGAACCTCACATCAATCTGAGCGGCGCATCTCTTGAATATCAACCTGCATTTGTCCTGAGATTCTTGAACGATTTGAAAGTGCTCCCAGGGGTCCCACATGTGCACTCGAGGGTCGACCAAAGTACTCCAGCTAACAATTCAAGGCACCAGAGCTCCGCATCAAAGTCACCAGGTCGATCGACTGCGCCGTCCCTTTCAAGCGCTTCGCTCCGGCCAGGAACTCTTGATAAGAGATCTGTCCGTCCCCATCATCGAGAAGCCTGAGCGAGAGAGAGAGAGAGAGAGATTCAGGTGCAAAGTAAGGTGAGGAGCGCCCTTACACACACACAATTCACCATATCGGTGTTGCATCGAGAAGCTTGAAGAGATTTTCTGCATCAGAGGATTGCAGATCCAGGGCCGCCATCCAAATTTTGAACCGTGAATCCTTCAGGGCCCTCTTGAACTCAGTCAAGTCCAGCGCACCGCTGCCATCGGAATCCAACTCTCGGAACAACATGCTGACCTTGGAGGAAAGGAGAGGATCGCTAGAGGAAACGTGTGTCCATCAAGGAGGCTCGTAGAAGTTTGTCATCCTCACTATTAAGTGGGAGGACAGCTGCAGCCGCCAAGTTACCCCTTTGGCATGGCTGTCGACGAGCCTCTTCTTCTGCAACAGCAGGAGTTCGTCATCCTCGTTGGCCACTCGCATTGTTTGCTGGATGAAGATACCTGTGATGACCTCTCCACAATGCAAAATTGCGACCACGTGCCAAGAGATATGTCAGAAGACAAGAAAGAACACGGCATGCACATCTCCTGTGGCCAGCCTTAAGAACTGCGAAGCCAACCACGAGCTTGTACACCAGAATCGCGACCTGAAGTTCATCATTCACCACGCACTATCATCCTCGGACCCTCAGCGTCTGTGCACCCTACCGACATCTTCTCCGGGGATCCAGCAGCAAACCAAGCACTGACATTCTCCATCAGGGATCGGGTGATGCCTGTCAGCATGTCACTCCTGGCACTCCTGCTTGCAAGTGACCTCTTGTTCCAGAATGTGCAGGGAAGCAAACTGCCAGCACCGGAAAGGAAACCCGTGCCGTGCCTGAATAATTAGCAAGTGTCAGCTCAAACATCGAGACGATGGAGCGGCCAACAGTCCCAAACAGCGCCCAGACTTCTTGTCGGATGACTTTGTCCGCGCCTTCAGAAGCCTCGATCCTCACTTAGAGCTGCTTCCGACGCAGAACAGTTGGCACAAAAGTGGCGGAGCAAAAAAAGTCGAAACCAGCCACTGCTCTTGAGTTCAAGCCTGCCGTTCTCAAGCCGAGCGACCACCCTTGAAGAAACTGAGACAACGCTAGAGCACACACCGTCATCATGATCAGCAAGACGAGTGCAGACCTGACGAAAGGAATGAAAGGACGCTGCTACCCTACAATAGCAGAAATCAACACGCAGCTCACCGACCATCCAAGGCATGCAAGGACGAGGCAAGCTACCATGCGAGGATATCGAAAGATGCTCTGATCGAGCCCAAAAGGAGGTGGAGCGAGTCGAAACGCTGGATCACCTTCAGCACTCGCACCTCAGCAAGCCGCTGAGCCGCACAGCCCAAGTGCAGCTACACATGTAGCAGCAAAGCCACAATTCGGCCAAGCTTGGCAATCCTGACCAAAGAGAGCCCGTGTGTTCCCAACTCTGCAAACTCTGCCCATAGGACTGGCATGCACTGGAACACAAAACGAAATTCAAGCAGCATCAAGCTCATTCAGCCGAGAAGTAAGAAATACATGGAATAAAGTACTGGGAAGCTCGAGAACGAGTGGCCGTAACATTCGGAACCTCAGCTCATGCTGCATCCGGAGGTATGGTGATAGAGAGCTGGCCGCGCGCCGCAGCTGAGGCAGCAACACCATGGGATTGATCTCCACCGCCAGTCCGGCAGCGTCGACAGCCCAGGAAAGGACCTGAAAGGCTTAAATGCTGCTCACTCCTGGAACAGACATCACTTGCGGTCACTTCAAGCAAGCAGGCGTGGGGATAGAACGGAGAACTCGTACTGAAGAATCTGAATCTGGGATGCTTGCAATGAACAAGTCCAGCAAGTTCCAGGCATACTTCCAGAAGTCCCACAACCCGAAGGCAAAGAACTTGATAAGAATCTCCACCGAAAATACCAATCCGAAACCGAGCTCGATGTTATAGAAGACGTCGCTGTAAGCAGTGGTTGCTGATGTTTGTATATCCAAAGTAGTGGCCAAGAACAACCCGAACATCTCGATTTGCACCATCATCGAGATACAGTTCAGCACGATTAAGAAAACAAAAAACAGCTCGAAGGAGTAGCTGGTGACCACTCGGCGTAACCATGGCACTCCGGTCTTCACACTCCTCTGTGATTGTTGATTTTTGCCTCTCCGATGCAGGGACCTTATGAGCAGCAGCTGTGCAGTGTTTGTTTCGAACAGCACAAGTCACGCACAAAACAAAATACCATGGGATCTTTATGGCTAACAGCTAACATGGCTGGTGGCATCAGAAAATTCTGGCATCGTTGCCAGCATAGACGACTTCATGTTCTTTTTCATCTTGTCAACCAGGGACATCTTGTCGCGCTTACCCAAGAGATTCACGATTCTTGCAGTCGCAAGTTTCCATCTCATCTTGGCAACGCTCCCGCTCTCAAGCGCAAGTGCTGCAGCTGCTGCATTAGCAACCTGCGCATGGCATGCAGGGGACATGAGCTTGGACTTTCCATCGCCACAACGACACCGCCCTTCCAGCCATTGCCAAGAAAACTACCAGTACTGCTACGCCGGGCCACAGCACTTTTGTGGTCGCTTATCTCCACAAAAGCCGAGGTCTTCCATCTGTCCAGCTCCTCCTTACATGGTGCACTGTTGCTCCCAAGCCTGCTGCTCCCAAGCCCACTGCTACGGCAACATCTCCCATCATGCCCTGGCCCAGCGTCTCTCTCTCGTGCCAGACTCTCGGCCAAGGACTTCAGCCTGGCCCTTTCTGATGCCAAACTCGACCCCTTGGTGTTGGCCCTGCTTGGGTTGGCTTGGATATTGGCTTTGATTTGCAGCAACGAAACAGCATCTCCAGCGAATTCAAAAGAGTTCACGCCCAAGGCACGCCAGATGGACCAAGCTCCTGCCACGTCAAGGGGACAAGGGAACATTGTCCGTGGGCCTGCACCGGGCTTCGGAGTCGAGGAACCCTTCTGCCGTTGAAGCGGCACTTTCAAGAACTCCTTGGTGTTTGCTACCGCCATGGTTCCCTGAGCAAGCTATTCCAAGGTTGTACCGTCCTCTGTCGCCGATGCGAGCACCGCCTGAACAGGACATGTGCGCAATGCTCTGAAGATCCACACACGAAAGGCAATGCAAGGCACCTTCTGCAACTCAGCTTTTGCGCTTTTCGCCTGCGGCCGTGCAATGAGGCCACTGCATTGGGGCCAGCCAAAGCCAAAACCCCCTCTTGGCCGAATCTTGCCTGCACCTCGCTCCAATCCTGGAACCTTCTCAACCTGGGATTGCCGTGATGCGATACCAAGCACAGTAGAAGGGCGCATCAACTGCACGTTAGATTCATTAGATGCGGCTGGAGAGCAAATGACGATGTTGATCCTCCATGTGTTTGACCATGGTTGCTGCCATGGCCGCTCGGTCGGCCTTGAGCACCTCATCCAGCCACCTTTGTTGAACAATCAGAGGATAGACCCATCATTGAATTGGGGGGGTGGCCTGTGGAAACCGCAAAAGAACTACAACATCACGAATTCCCAAGTTCAACTAACCATCTTCAATGTACTTATATGCCACACGCGGAGCAAGACACAAAACTTTCATTGTCTCACGCATGTTTCCTCCAGCGCTGCACTTGCTATGTTTGTAATCGCAAGCAGCAAACGAACCGAACTGCATAACATAACCCACTCACGGCGACAGGAAGGGAGGCATGAAATTGTTGCATAATATAGCCACAGAATCCAGTAAGCCCTCTTTTGCAAAACGCTGCATGTCATGAAACATGATCGAGCAATGATTTCTGGGAGCGCTCTGGCTGAAAAAAAACCAACACCCTAAAACCCCACAGCCCATTTCTTCTCAACCCTTTGTTCTTTCCGCTCCTCGTCTATGGCATGCCGTAAACTGTCAGTGATGCATTCAGGCCACCACTGCCCAGGCGTGGCTTGAGCAAAAAAATCTTGAGCCGTAGCCATTCATTCTTGCATCTCCCCCCCCACCGCCCAGCCCCGTTTATAACTGATGAAGTCGCCTCTCAGCCTTGGGAGGCTGCTAGCAGGCTGTGGAGAAGGCTGGCGGGATCTGTCAAGAAGCATGTGGCACTACAGCCTGGCACTCGGAAGGAGCGGTGAAAATTCGGTAAACATTCTGGCAGGGGGGGGGGGGGGGATCGAATGTGCCAAACTGCAGCAGAATAGAACTGAACATACTCTTTTTCTTTCAGTTCGCCATGTGTATCCACATGTCTTGATGCATGCAGGACGCGTAGCATTTGCTCTGGTGATGGAGGAAGGGCCTGAAGGGCAATGTATGAAGCAAGAAAGCACGACATGCACCACATGTACCATTTGCCACTGGCCGCGACCTGCACTTGAAGGCGGCTTCGGGTCTGGCTGCGGCATGGGGACGCAGCGGCGTTCCAAGACCGATATGTCTGCGGAAGAATCACGACGCCACGAAGCCACACATGTGCCACAACGTGCCACAACATGTCATAACAGCAGGGAAGGCATGTAACGAAACTTGAATGCAACCAATGAAGAAACCCACGAAACCTGGACCAAGGATGCAAAAAGTAAGACAATAAGGCAGATGCCCTGGCACTGCACTACAAGGTCCCGACGAAGTTTGCCATACAGCAGCAAACGTAGGAGCGTTCCAGTTGCCCACGTCCGCAGAATCTTACGCAACAGCTGCCTCGTGAATCGCTGCGCCAAAGGTTTGGCTGCAGGTTTCATGAGCATTGAGCGCTTCCTACACATTCCAACAATGTCACATCAGTGGGTGGGCTTTGGGCTCCATGCCTGTGTGTGGTTTTAAGAAGCGCTGCAGATTTGAGAACGACAACGCAGCGAAGCTAACGCCGTCTTCTGCCGTCTTGTAAGTGCAGCACCAGCTCCTGAATCTCAAATTCAGCACTTTTCTTCGTAACGTTGACCTGAATCACAGCTTGGGTGTTTGAACCTGGCCAGAACACTGAATGCATCTAGATGCGACATCTTGTTGGGCTTCTGGCCACCGATGAAGCTGAAGACAAGCTGCCCGATACTTGCAGCGTAGCAGGAGCCCACACCTCAACGATTCTTGCGGTCTTACTAGCACTGGTAACACCTCAGGCAAAATCAACAGCATGCAGGCGCCCCGCGCGCAGCAATTTTTCAGGTGGGTCTCTCGCCCAGCGCTCGAAGCTTAGCCTCGACAACCAGTTCATCACACAGTTCGCCAAAACAACGTTCTGGCAGAACCAACCTGTACCCAATCCACGCGCTCACACTGCTAGCATCAACCCGCTTGGCCATGGTTGATGCGACCAATGACGGGCTCACAGCCAGCTGCGCGCGCGTCCACCATGCCGGTGTTCGGCGAGATGCTCCGCGAAGAGAGCTCGCTTCCGAAAGCAAACGAGCCACAAAACTGGGCAGGACGTGTGCATTTTGCACACTGGGATTGCGAATTCCATCACGAACACTAGGACATTTGCGATTCAAGGCTGCAATGATAGCGGCAATAAAATGGCGGCACAAGGAAAGCCCCAAAACTGAGGGCAACGCAGCATGTATCCAAACTTCATGCAACATGGTCACATCGTGCACAACTCTGGATCTGAAAATCGAGGCGTCGTACTTGCTTTGCAATTGCAGAACGCGAGACACCACATGAACCAGGATATCCTGGTGTTCAATTGCGCGATGGTGATGCTCGAAGGTTGCCAGGGCCAATGCAATGGTTTCTGCGTCCGCCTGCCAACACCAGTGAGGGCATTCGCGAATCGTTCGTAGCTGCTGCACGGACTGTTGCCATGGTCCACAACTCAAGAGGAACATCACGTGCCGATGGGATATCGTGTTTGCATCTATGCTGCGGTAGGCTGCATGGACAAGCAGGGCAAGACCTGCCTGCCAGCAAGCTCCGCCCCTGAAGCCGTACAGCAACCAGTTGTACGACTGCAGATTGGCCTTCTGATTTTGCAAGGCCAATGCAAGTGCTTGTTGCCATCTATGACTCTTAGAAAAGGCTGCTACGACCTCCGTCATGCCAACAGGATTGAGCACCTTTGCCATGTTTTGCATTGTGCACAAATCCAAAGCGAGGTCCCATCGATGCGCCTTCTTGAAAACGCCAAGTGCCGCATTCATCAAGACTTGCTTGCAGCCCAAGGCTTGCGGCAGATGCTGCAGCAATGCCACGACTTGGATCCATCTGTGTCCCGTTCCCAATGCTGCAACAACGGATCCGAAAGTGACCGCAGTGGGCCGCAGTCTTCTTTGGCGAATTTGATCAAAACATGCGAGGGCGGGCTCCCAATGGCGTCGGCATGCATGAATGCAGATGTTGATGCTCACGGTATCCAGCATCATGCTCCTGTTTGCCCAGCAACGATTCTCAGATCACAACTGTCACCGAACCAATCACGACTTGCATGCGCAAGACTTGCAACCTCACCCCCGTACTATGCCACCTCCTTTCCATTGCGTGAAGCATCGACAAGCACTGTTGCCAGTGTCCGGCGCGGGCCATCTGGTACAAGGGGCTGACCATGCCAAAGCCAAGCAAATCACCAACCTTAGCAGCATAATCTCACACATAGTGGAACTGTTGGACCAGTGTTGGACCGTTGCCGGTTGCAATAAAAGAATAACGTGCGAGGGAATACATTCGACCCAAAAACACCAATAACGGCAACGTTCGCGGCAGATGGTCTGGGCAGAGAAGCCACAGCGGGCCGGCGCTGGCATCACCACCGTTGCCGCTTCTGCCTGGCAAGTGGAACCCTGACCTGCCAATCCCATTTCCAAAACATTCGCATTTGGAATGAAACTACTACATCCTCTGCTCCCTTACAAGACCATAGTTCTTGGGTAAAAACCGCTGACGCCAGTTTATCTATTCTGAAACTGCGACCTTTGGTTGTTCCCTGGAAGATGGCAAAACCGAAGCTGCGAAAAAGGGAAGGAAAAAACAAACAAAGCATAAACACGAAAACATGCAAACACGAATGTTGCCAGTCGACTCAAACGAATCAACTAGCCAGCCCGCACTCACTCGTGTACTGATCTTGAGACGGTGCACGGGTTCGTACATGACGCTTGTGCATGCTTTTGGCGATGTGGGCTCCTTTTCTGAATTTCACTGCAAGGTTTTTTTGCTTCCTCGCCTTCGCCCGCCCGCGGTCATTCTTGGTCACTATTTACAAAATGAAACAGAATGATATCGACATATATACAGACGGGGCAGGTAGGCCACCTCACAGGTTCAAGCCTTCCAGCTGTGAACGCTGGGTTTGACACACGCCAGCCACAAAGAGCATGTGGGCTGACACTTCCACAGCCGCCCTGGCTGGCTGCTGCAGCTGCTGCCCTTTGTACCAAGTCGTCATCTCCCGAGCGACTGTTTCCCGTTTGCCATGGCCCTTGCCACCTGTCTGCTTGCCACCGCTCGGCTTGGCGCCGCCCGACTTGCCGCAGCCCGACTTGCCACGAGGCGGGCTGCGACTGCCGCGACGCTCCGCTGGTTCCGCTCGTTCGCGTTGGGCCGCGAGATGGCGGCTCATAAACCATTGCATTGATGGTATCCGCTGCTCCGATCACAATTAGTTGACGAACTTGGTGCCAATTCCTTGCCACCCCCCCAACTTGATCGCCCCCTCAACTCCCCAACTTGGGCACAGATTCGTAAAAGTCAAGGAAATTTAGTTGACGAATCCCCACCCCCAAACTTGGCCACAGACTCGTCAACTAAGTGTAGTTGACAAATTTGGTGCAGTTTTTTCTTGTTTGGCGCAATTTCCTTTTCAATTCTCCCCTAGGAATAGGCCACTCCATCCCACCAACTCCCTAACTTGGCCATAGACATAGACTCGTCAAATTTAGTTGACGAATTTGGTGCCAATTGGCCTAGTAGTCTCTGCCCCGGGCCCCCGACGGGGACCCGCGGACCAGACCGTGATTGCGGCAAACGCAAAACGATAAACAAAAACTGTGGTCAACCACCGCGCAAATTCAAGAAACCGTGAAAAACACGCGATTCTGGAAAGCCGCGATCAGATTCAGCAATGCCCCCCCCCCGACCACTCCCCACCCCGCTACCACCCTTTTAAAAAATGCGGGTGGGGGGTGGGGTCGGGGAGGAGAGGGTGAAGGAGGAGGGGCCGGGGAGGGCTGGGGGCGGCGGAGGGGGGCTGGGAGCGGGTTGATAACATGCCAAGCCTGCGGATCACCGGCTTCCAGGTTTATCAAATCAGGTTTTTCCAATTTCCGTTTCCGAATCCGCTGCTGACCGAGCGGATGGTTGTTCTGCGTTGGACGGGCGAAGACGGGGATCTTTGGGGATGGAAAGGGGGCAGACGGCTCGGCGCCGGAGACTCCTCTCTCCAGCGGGCGTCAGCAAGGAGCTCGTGCGGGTGCTAGGCCTTAGGGTGGGCAGCACAGGGCTGGGAGCTCGAGGAATGGCGCCCGTTTTGCGCAGCAGCGGAAATGATGCCATTCCACCGAAGACCCGCGTGGGCTCCAAGGCGTGGCCCGCGCAAGAAGTACGTGACAATGTCAGTCTATCGCCGCATTGAATGCTGGCGCTTGCTTTGTCCCATGCCATTAAGAAGCTTTGCACAGTACGCTTCTCCCGCGGCATTCCTCTCAAAATCACAGAGGCCTCTTGAGCCCCGTGCGCGACAACCGTGAGGTGTGAGAAAGCGTGTATGTTTGACCGAGTTGCACTTGGACTTCGAGGGCCGAGCTGCTTGGTGCACTTTCGTGCTACCGTGATTGGTAGCGGGGCCAAGTTCTCCTGGGCCGCTGCGAACTTCGCTTCCAGATGCCTCCTCCTGGAACTGGTCCCACAGTTGCTGGCCGTGAACAGCCAGCTGCGGCGGCGGCAGCCTCTGCCTTGAACCAGCGTGGGCTGGATTCAGGCCTTGCAAAGGCCGCGCCTACGGCCGAGAATCTCACTGCGAAGAACTACAGGTCGTATCGGCGTCGCTTGGCGCTCTTTGAGAAGCAATGCACAAGGAGAGGCAACAATGTCGCCATCGAAGGGGCGTTCTTGGTTCTGAGTCTGCTGCAAGACTCCGCCTGGGATGCGGCCGAGCAGTTGGACATCGACGAGATCGAGAACCACGACAAGCCTTTCGAGCCGATCCTCCGTTTGCTGGACCGCCTTTACCAGTACGAGGATGACGTGGAACTGCCAGCCAGGTGCGAGGAGTTCTTCCAGGAGTTCTCCAGGAACAAGGGTGAAGAAATGCAAATGTACATCATCAGACACGCCACCTTGAGGAAGAAGATGAAGGAGGCCGGCGTGGATGTTCCGGACTTGCTGGCCGGATGGCACTTGATGGCGAGAGCTGGGGTTCCGAGATGGACCCACTTGCAGGTGAAGAGTTTGTGTAATGGTCAGCTCACCTACCAGAAGGTGTCCCAGGCATTGATGAAGATGTTCGGTGGCGACCATAAGCCGAACATGAGAGACCTGCAGAAGACGACCGCCGCCGCCGACAACAACTACTACGCCGACGTCTCCGAGGACCAGGCCTTCTACTACGACGACACTCCGGAAGAATGGGACGACGGCTACGTTTATGAGGACACCTTCCATGCGGACGACGTCGCCGAGGAGGTCTACTTTGACGACTACGACTACGCCAATGAGGGCGAAGAGGGCCTGCCAGAGGAGCTTGAGCACGCCGTGGACGCCATGGACGAAGCCTTCATGAATTACACGGACAGCCGGCGGAGAATGCGAGACATTGCCCTGTCCCGTGGGTTCTTCCCGGTGGTTGCTATGCCCCCGAGCGACTGGAGTCCTTCGACAAGACCGATGTCCGGAGGCAAGGGCAAGGCAAAAGGGAAGGGCCGAGGAAAAGGAAAGGGCAAAGGCAAGGGCGGCAAAGGCTTCGAGAAGGGAGGCTTCCGGCGCCTTGCCTTCAACCGGAGGCCAACGGCAGGCCTTCCACGGGAGGCTGCTGCCAACATGTCTCCCCCAAGCAGCGACCTTGCCAGATCAACCGGAAGCGGCTCCACCACGAACCATGGGCCACGTTTCAAGCGGTATCGGCTTCAAGATGCTGGAGTCAAGCCAGCCGAGGACGCAAACATGGTCGAGGACGTGCGCATGGCCGACCTGCCGGAAGAGATCTTGTTTAGCGAGGTGACGGCCGGGCATGCCATCATGGACAGTGGGGCCACTCGGAGCGTCGTCGGCGAAGGTGCCTGGCAGCAGTGGCTGCCGATGCTTGGCCGCGCTGGCGCGGATGTGACGGCCAAGAAGGTGACGCGAGACTTCCGCTTTGGAGACGGCTCCGTGGTGAGATCCAACACCGAGGTGTCCTTTAATGTCTGCTTGTTCGGGCACAACCTGACAGTCTCCGCGGCATTGATCCCTGGGGGTACACCGCTCCTTTTGGCCAGGCCGGTTCTTGAAGAATGGAAGGTCGTGCAAGACTACGCTACTGGTCGCATCAAGCTCCTGGATGGTGACCAATGGATATCGCCCGCGCGAACCACAAATGGACACTACTTGCTGAAGCTCGTGGACCACGAGGGCGACCAGGTCATGGCGAACGACACGTTGAACGAGATCTACGTCGAGACGCCGCTCATTGTGTTCCCTGGCGAGTACCCGGACGACATGTTCCCTGAGGATGATGTGGCGAGCCTCGTGGAGATGAAGGTGGACGAGGCTGAGATCAAAGAGGCCATCAGGTCGGCTGAGCAGGCGATCTACTACACCCAGTCCAGCCGCGAGAAGATCTTCTGGGAGCTCTACGTGGACCGTGGCAACCTGAGCCAAGCTGTGGCTCACGTCCCTGGGGCTACTGTGTCCACCTTCAGCCTTCCTGACTGGAATCTGGAGGATCCCACGACGCAGAAGGCCTTCAAGAAGTTGATGTGTGAAGTGGTTCCCTCGCATATCTGGATGACGCCGCCGTACACATTGTGGTCATCGATGCAAAACTTCGCACGCCAGACCGAAGCTCAGAAGAGAGCCTTGCTGATGAAGCGCCGGGCCGCGGTTAGGACAACTTTGACATTCGCCTATGAGGTCTTCCTGTTGGCGATCGAGCTCGGGATCTTCGTGACCATCGAGAACCCCGCGCAGTCCGTGATATGGAAGACACATCCAATCAGCGAGCTGCGAGGAGCTGGCATACATGATGTGCTTGTCGAGCGCTGTCAGACAGGTCTCGTGGCCACGGACGAGAATGGATGCACCGGGCCGGTTCGCAAGGCAACCCTTCTGAAGACTACGTCGACGAACATGGTTCGAGCTCTGTACCTGCCATGTACCTGCACGGTTGCTCATGTCCAGGTGCTGAAGGAGGTTCAGAACTACGAACCTGGTTTTGTGCGCCTGGCTAAGCGCGCCATCCAGCGCGACATGGAAGAGACCTGGGCCAGACGACAGGCAGCCAACATCATGATGATGGAGGACATGGAGACGGTGCCAGACGGCCAGCAGGCGATTGAAGCGAACAACCGCGACCTCTTGCGCAAAGCTGGCCGAAACGCTGTGTTGACCGTGGCCAAGCTCCACAAGCAACTAGG